GATTCGTTTGCTGCTTTGCCTCTTGTCCTCTTCTTTTTCCGCGAGGTTCAACTGCCAGCAACCCCTGCCCCTGTCTTGATTTGCCCCTGCCCCTGAACACTTTTTGCCGGTTCACAGCCACAGGTACGCACACCGAATGGAGACGCAAAACAGAGAGTGAATGAAGCTCCAAAGAGGCTGTGGCGATGGTTGTAAGATGGTACCAAGACAAGGACTACACTTGGCCGTGCTCAGGAGGCCCCTCACGATCCCTACCCCGCGGGCTGGACCTGACATGCCACATTGCATTTGCACCTATCGGTGGTTTGCGAGCTGAGCAAAAGGAAACATCGCCACCAATGTTTCGACTCATCTTTCCATTTACTCATCTTTTCCCTTTTGTTCGTTTACTGTCGTTGTTTCGTCACTTCTTCTTGTGCACGTTAGCATAACACAGCAGACATATGCCTGGTTCACAGCATGATGTTGCAGAGGGAGAGAAAAGAAACAAGAAACAAGAAACGTCTACGATTTACCACTTGGGGCAGAGTGTACACAGTTACGTGAACCATCGCGATGGAAGCAGCCCTTTGAAAGCTGAGAGAGACTGAGTAATAAAAGGACGACAGCGAGCCATCACTAACACCACTTTCACATCTTTTTTCTTCTCTTAACGCGCGCGCCTCCGCCACCCGTTCGGCCGCAGCGTCACATCCAGGACGAATACAACATTGGTGGGCGATTGTAAAGAGCACTGGGCGGAATGAAGAGAAGGGATCTTAACAGAGGCATCTTATATGCCGCGTCCACAATCGGGAACAAAAACGAACAAGCTTGACGATAGCCGACTCCACTGATTCGTCACGCTCTTCTGCCAACGGCATGGCTTGCAAACACTCTACTGCACAAAGACGCAAAGTAGGCACAAATGATATCCAGTAGCGGCGTCCGCACGCACGGCATCGCAAACGTCCAGGGGCACGTAAGTGACGAGCGCATGTAACTCGATCTATCATGCAGCATCATATATCCAAGGCAAACTCGAGAAGGGACCGCAATGTTGGCGTGAGTCGGACAAAGAAATGCTAGCAAAACCGGATGGATGAAAACGTGCGAGGTGGGTTGCGGTTACGGAGTGGTTTCCTCTCGGTGCGCATGTCCTACATCTGATATAATGTTTTATTTCTGTCAATGACGCCTCGCCGTATTTACTTGGCACACTTTCTTTTTTTCTTTCTTTCGTTCTTTTTTTTTTTTGCCTTCCTCCCACAATTTAATCTATTTCGCCTGTGTCCCGCAGAGCGGGATATGCATTCCACATAGATTAAGCCAGTTGGCAAGTCTTGTCCTTTATCCATCGTTCTTTATTTTTCTATTGTCTTCTCCAATATAAAATAAAGAGACCGACCCGACTCTTGGAGCTGACGCTAGGGTGCTTGCATAAACTTTTAATATCCGGGGAGGTGTGTGTCTGTGTGTGGCTGTGGAGAAAAAAAAACGCAGATGCAAAGTGTGAAGAGGCCGAAGGCGCACCCTGTCCTGGCCTCTTGGGTCCGCTCTCGATAGTGCTTCCCGCACCTCGACGACGTCCACAATGTCCACAACGCCAGAGCAACAGACAACAACTGACGGGCGTTGACAGCGGTCAGGAACGATCGAGCACGCGGTGATACGCTGGAACCAATGTTATATTTGGCCTTTGAGATGCACGCCACCCGGCTGAGTTGCCGTTGAGCATAACCGTAGGTGATCCTCGAGTTGGTCATGCTTTCTCAGCTGTGCTTAGTCGTGACGGTAGACGGCAGACCGCCACACAATCTGTTAAAACGATGCCACCGTCGAGAGAATAGACGAAAACATGACCATGAGAGGACAATGTGGTGACGCGGGGAATTGCATACGGCTAAATAGAGAGGCGTGGAAGATGTGAAAATGTGGCGGACGTACTCCCAAGAATACAGCGACATGCAGCAAAACAACAAACGGAGATGGCGGAACCACTACTGGCCCGACGACATCCACAGGTTCCGACACGAACGATCAGTCAACACATCATCAGCCAACCAGGATGTCACTCTTTTTTTGTTGTAAAATGCATGGAAGCGTAGTTCCTCGCCAGTCCACCCGGCCACCTCGGTCCCATTGTTCTCCTACCGATCCCTCTACCCTGAGCATACACAGAATCCCTCAATCTTCTTTTTTGTCACGCTCTCGTATATTGGCTTACCTTGCCCATTTTTGCCTCTTCCCCTCCTTGCCAACCCCTCTGGAGCTCTTCGAACCCTGCTTGCATCTCTGTGGAATCTCTGTATTCCCGTATTGATGCGTCATTCTGATCTGTACCTGGCCGGCGATCGTCCTTTTGCGTCTATGTTACGTCTGCGGAGAAATTGCGACGTACGCCATTTTGAGAACAGACTCGGATCCCCGTCAATGTCGTAGCCCGGTGCGTCCTAGTGCAGGCACTTTGCTTTAACTGCCAATTTTACTTTTCATCCCCCTGAATGCGCCTCTCTGCACACACTGTTCAGCCACGACACGCACAGCACGACCCTCGTCGGTGCTTTTATTTTATTTTATTTCACTTTTAAATATTTTTTTAAATATTTTTTTTTCAACGTGCTCCCGGCCATATGGGCGTCGTCATTGCATATCAGTGGCCACTGCTTGTGCGGAGGGAGGCCGAAGAGCATGCAGAAGCAATCCTGGTGCTTGACCCGTCTGGGATCTGGCCCAAACCCTCCACTTCAAAGCCTCGCCAATCCTGCGGCGAATGCCCGATCCTGTTCTAGCGGGCCTACTGGGCCTGTTATCGAGGCCGCTTGGGTGCCTTGTCTGGCGTACGCGGAGGTTCCCTTTGCCTGTTTCTCCACTGAATGACTCGTTTTCATTATTACAGGCCTCACGTTTCCGTGCCCCGTAAGGGCCCTTGTCCAGTGTTGGTGTGCATTGCCCACTACGACATACTTTCATCTTTCACCTTTCTAGTGGGCTTCTACGATCCTTGCTTGTTCGTGTTCTTCGTACTTACTGGGCTTTCCGCGGCCCTCTCTCGGCCTACCCGTAGCAAGGGCCCCAGCCAAGAAATGCCGGGACAGGCTGGATTGGGTAGCATCATCGCAGGGCGAGAGGCAGCTGGGCGAGAAACAAACAAAACGAGTTGTAGAGAGGAACGAGCAGACCAACAGGCAGGGGCTCCCAACGGTCGGTTCCTGTTCCTTGTGTTCCTTCACGTTGACCGTCTGATTTTTTTACGCTCGTTTTTCCGCTTTCTCGCGCTCAGCTGACGCTCGTTAGGCACCTGCTTTTCTCCTTCGCTCTGTTTTCCGCATCCTCCAACCGTTGTGTTAACGCATAACAAACTCGTCCGTATTAGGAAATATTTTAAGATTGCACATCGACACTGTTCGCCGTCAACGCCGTCCGACTTGCTTTTAACCGCACAGCCGTACCGCGACAAAGTGACAACGGCCCTACAGAACCTGGGCCTCGTGAGCAGGAAACAAAAACGTGAATAACAATAATACTAGACACGAGATGCGATTAGCTCTTGTCGGACTGTTATACGGTGTAGATGTATCAGTAGCGAGGCTTTGTTCCTGCATCCGATGGCCATCCTCGGCGAAGACGGAGGCAGTGGTAGAGCATATATACGCCTTCTTTGAAAGCGGAGCCTAGGAATACAATACTTTTGTGGAATTGCTCAGCTTGTGAATGTCTTGAAGAGAGTTGAAATAAAGAGCTACATAGACTCCATCACATGTACGACCTGGATTTCGTTGAAGGAAATATCAAGTTCATACTGATAAGACGTATTTTAAATAACTTCAGCTATCCAACGGCTTCACCGTGTTACGAAATATGTCATCATCTTACTTTCGCCCGTCCAAGCTTGCTTGCCACTTTATGGACTCCTAGATTGCATCTCACATGTTTACAGTTCCGCACAACCTCACGGTCGGTCAGCTTAGTTTCGTGGTGCTTTCCACCGTACGCCACCACCTATATCTAGGCAATGACGGCAGAGGTTGTCCGGCCAGTCTCGAAAATGGTTAGAATGTCAACAACGTCGGTGTAAGGCCTCAAGTCCAGATAGCGGCACTGGCTCAAATATCGTGTCATCGGATGGCGCTCACATGATTGAATTTAACCGCAACAGCGACATTGTACAGGACGGAGGGAACAGCAGAACACGACTCCTGCTTGTCCAGCCCATATACGGTGTAGATGTATTAACGACGATAATGTCAATATTTGAACTTTCTACGGTGAACTATGTCCGCTGCTTGGGGCAAATCCCGTGGCTCGTTTATTTGTCTGCTTCACGATACGGCAAATCACTTAAGACTTCGTTGACGCTTAGGACTGCTCATATTTCTTCCCTCTACCAAGACGGATGTGAATCTCTGCTAGGTTGACGGCGCCCACACCAATGTTTCCAATAGTCCTGTTTTCCTGACCACCTGTCCTGTTGTAAAAGCGCTCACTTCATATCCTTCCAAACCGCGGCACCTGCTCGTATTGGTAGCTCAAAGTCTGACAAAGGAACGACTAAGGCGCGTTGGATAAAGTGCCCAAGATAGTCTGCCTCGTGTCATCCATTCCAGTCGTATATATATACCCTCATGGTTGCCGTGGTGGAGACGGGCTGTTTGTTTTGTGGTGGCCAGGCTATCGTGAGGTTGATGGTATATGTGACTGTGCCGCAGGTGGTGCTTATGTTGATATGTGTATTGTACGCCCTCTTCGTTTCCATGTCCTCCTGTGAACCGTCATAGAGCGTCAGGCACTATGTCCCACACGCCCCCGACCCCTCGTGAGTTGAGTGTCTGGTTCGATTGCTTTTTCCAGGCCAATAATAATCCAAGGTTTCTAAATTATAAACAAAAACAAAGGAGTCACAAAAAACACAGCTCAACAAAAACAGCAAAAACAAGACGCAGAAAACACGCGCGCGAAAATGATTGACGTGGGAGGAAAGGTGGGCTTTCCTCGGTTTCCACCTCTGCACCCCCTACTCCTTAGCTCTGATTGTTGATCCGCCGCCACACCTCCGTCTCCGCTGCGGACAGCCGCTCACCGGCTGACACGGCAAACTTCTTGGCCGCGTCCCAGAGGCCCTCGCCGTTCCCGTCGTCAAACGTGGAGCGGTTGCTGCTGTTGAACGCGCTGTTGCTGTGGTACGACGACAAGCCGCCATTTCCGCCGCCGCTGGTGCCGACCTGTGCTGCCGTCGCCCGCTGGGAGCCAGTCATTTCTGCCGCGTAGGGGTCCTGCACGTACCCTGGTGGGTGGTTCAGGTTGATCTGCTGCCGTTCCTGCTGCTCGCCCATGGCTAGGCCCTGGGCCAGGCCCGTCGGCTGCGGAATACCGCCGTAGGCTGCGCCTTGGGTCGTTGCCGTCGATGTGCCCCGTGCAGCCGAGGGATACGGCGACGCCGTGAGCGGGGCTATGCCCATCTGGGGTGGCAGAGACATGGTCGAGGTCGGTTGTTGTGCCTGCTGTGTTTGCGTTTGCGTTTGCGTTTGTGCGCTGAGAATGCCCGTGCTGGCTAGCGACTCGCCGGCACGTGGGGGCGGAGGCAAAACGGCCGCGGCAGTTGTCGTCGGCGGTGCAGGCGATGTGCCAGCCCGGACGTAGTTGTTGGCGCCGGCTGTCGAGGGCGGCACGGGAACGGCACCCGGTTGGGGCGGAGGCGGAGTGTAGTTGGTGGATGGTCTGGACGATGAGCCAACGGCCGACGTTGTTGCCGGCGGAGGCGATGCGTATTGGCCGCGGTAGCTCGGGCTTTGGCCGGCGCCGGTCGGCTGGGGCAGGCTGGGGACAGCGCCGGGTTGAGGCGGCGGCGGCCCTCCTGCACGCGCACTTAATGGCGATGTCTTTGTTGGCGTCTCTGGCGCGTATCTGCCGGCACGACTATTGCTGTCGGCGCCGCTCTCCGTTTTGGGCGTCACACCGTCTGCCTTGGCCGCGCTGATGGGGCTCTTCGAATAGATGGGGATGGGCGCCATTGCGGTGAGCTGTGCAGTGACGTCGACGGAGGTAAGCTAAGCTGGTAACGTTGAGCACCCTCCGAGCTGTCAAGAAGCGCGGAAAATATATGTGGAGGTAGGCGAAGCTGTAAGTGTTGTGGTGCTGAGTGTACTGTCCAACTTTACGTAGGTAGAGAAAGTGGTTGTGCTTCTGCGATGATCGGCTGCCTTATGTAGGGCGCGTGGAGTTTGTTATGCGGAATGAACCAGTTCGAGAGTGTGGAATCCGTGACGATTGTCTTCGATGCTCTCATTCCTAGACGAGAAAGAGAAAGTCGCAGACAAGCGTGTGCACTTTTATATAATAGGGGCAATGTGTCCTTCTTACCTCGTTGCTGGGGTATGATGATGATGGGCAGCTCCTTCCCTGGATCCTAGCTGAGGGGGTTGTTTAAACTGACGCCAGGGGTGCACTTGCCTTATAAACTCGGTGGCGACGTCATTGCTTGGAGCAGTCAGGTGACAAACTGCAGTGGACTTTCTTTGTCCATATATAGATGCCAGTCTGTTCACTTGAAATTAGGCAGCGAGCAAAATCAAGACAAAAGATAAAAAAAAATAAAGAAAAGAAACGCCGAAAACAGAGAAACATTGTCTCAAGGCCAAGGAATGTTCAAAGGCAAAAGCGGTTGACCCAGTCAACGCCACCACTCCATCACATGGCGCGGCTGCAGGACTGTCGCTGGCTTCTTGTATCCTAGAGCTCATTTCCAGTGCGAGACTGACCAATGAGGCACTCTTGTTTCAGCCAAGAACAGAGCAGAGTAGTTGGATACAAGTGTGTCTTGTTGTCCGTAACTCTGGCGTTCCTCACGCAAAGCGGACAACGTTTGGGTGGCAGGATACAGCAGGAAAGCACACTGGAGGCAGGTACTCGTACAGGTGTTACACGGCGGGAAAAACAATGAGCCGATGAGCGATCTAGCCTATTGTGGAAAGGCCCCACTTTCTCGCCAGGTCTATCAAGATCGCGAATCGTACAGGGAAGGCAGGCGTTGCAGCAGCCGATTGAGAGGTGCTTTTCTGGAGAGGAACTCGGTCCTGCTCCTGGTGATTCCCTTTTCCGTCGACATCACCGGAGCACCGCATTTTCCATCGAGACGGAGAACCGACGCATCCTATCGCGATCGTCCCGTACAACACCGCAAAGATGGTCGGCAAAGTCAGCGAGCGCGTTCTCCTTCGGGAAGGTAAGTAGAGCTGCCGAGCCGATTGAATGAAGATGGAATATGATGCGAGGGCACGGAGATGACGATTTTGTTGGGGCGACGCTGTGTGCATTTGAGCTCAAATTGGGAGAGGCATTGGCTAACACCGATACTTTATGCAGGACTCGAGCGCACCGACAATGGCATGAAGCCGACGAGCTGGCCCGAGGTCACGCCCATCAACCAGAAGAACTACTACACGTATGTCGGGCCATAGGACGGAAAGAGGGGTGTTTGGAAGGTGCTTTTGCTGACGGACTTTGCCATTCTCACAGAGAATACATGAAGCGCGACGACCAGGTGCTCGCGCTGCGTGTCCTTAACGAGGCGAGCCGTGACCGGCTGGTGCAGAGTGCCAAGGATCGCGACCGGGCGCTGAACCAGAACACGGCCGCCATCACCGAACAGCAACAGCAGGGCGGTGACTTGCCAGTCAACATGCCCACCGACGGCAACGACATCTCCAAAGTCATTGTCATCCACCCGGGCAGCCAGTTTTTGCGCATCGGCTTCTCGACCGACGTCCTGCCCAAGACGGTGCCCATGTGCCTCGCGACCAAGTACCAGCGCACCGAGTCCGAAGAATACGAGGCGCGGCCCCGGCGGCAGTTTGAGGCGCAGAAGATCGACCAGCAGTACGGCGAGGACTGGTCCAAGAAGTACAAGAAGATGAGCGAGGACCTCAAGGCCGACATGCGCCTCAACAAGCGCAAGGTGCTGCCCAACTCCAAGGAGCTGGTGGTCAACTACAACCGGCGGACGGAACCCGAAGTCATCCCGACACACAACGACCCGCTGCAGGTAGACTGGACCGACGTCAACACGCCTGTGCCGGTGCCGGACGACGAGGTCGCCGTGGACATTGACGAGGAGGTCGTGGCGCCCGAGGACGAGCCGCCCGTGACGGTGGAGGGTACTGTGCATGCAGGTACTGACGGCGGCAAGGCGGCTGACGCCGACACCAATGGCGACGTCGATATGGCTGATGTGGACGCAGCGGAGCCGCAGGCGGACGGAGAGACCGAGGCCCCAGCCGAGGCTGGTGGTGAGGATGCGGGCGGCGAGACAAAGGATGCGATTGTGGCCAAGACCGAGAAGCCCGACGAGCCAATGGTCGAAAACGGCGACGCATCCGAGACGTCGAACGGCGCGCCCTATGGAAACGACAAACTACGGGAAGAGGAGGCACAGGGGCATGGTCAACAGACGAAGCCGGAAGGGGCCAAGTTGCCCACTCCCGCCCCCACAGTCAAGCGCTCGATCGTACCCAAGACCCGGCGAAAGCCCATGCCGCCGACGGTGTTCTACGGCGCCGAGGCACAGCGCATCCCCGACGACTCGAATCCCCGATTTCGGCTGCGGTGGCCGATGCAGCACGGCTGGCTCAACGAGGACGACTACGACAGTGTCAGCAGCCTGTACAGCGACTTTGAAGCGATCCTGACACACGCCATCCAGACCGAGCTGGGCCTGAAGAAGGTGTCGTCGTGCCGGCAGTACAGCTGCGTGTTTGTGATTCCGGATCTGTACGACAAGGCATACGTCGAGACGGTCCTGCGCATGTGCATGAACTGGTTTGAGTTCAACAAGGTCTGCTTCATCCAGGAGAGCTACTCCGCCACCTGCGGCGCCGGCTACAGCCAGGCCTGTGTGGTCGATGTGGGTGCGCAGAAGACGTCCGTCGCCTGCGTGGAGGACGGCCTGGTCGTCGAGGACTCGCGCATCAACCTCAAGTACGGCGGCTTCGACGTCACCGAGACGTTTATCAAGATGCTGCTGTACGACCACTTCCCCTACCAGGAAATCAACCTGCAGCGCCGCTACGACTTTCTGCTGGCCGAGGAGCTCAAGCAGAAGCACAGCACGATGAACCAGGCCGACATTTCCGTGCAGCTGTACCAGTTCCACCTGCGCGTGCACAACGAGCCGACGCACAAGTACCAGTTCAAGACGTACGACGAGGTCATTTTGGCGCCCATGGGCTTTTACGAGCCGACGCTGTTTGACGGCACGACCAAGCTGCGTGGCCGGCGGAAGCTGATTGACCGCACATACAATGCCTACGACGTCGATGTACCCGACGACCCCGTCTCGGCGGCCCAGGTCGCCGTTCTGGCACTGGATCACCCGTCTGTGCTGCCGCCGACGGTGGGCGCGCCCGCTGCCGGTGGCGGCGGTGGTGGTGCAGCCGGTGCCGACGTCTCCACGCCGGGCAAGGACAAGTCGCAGCCGTTCAACTTCTTCCCGCGCGGCATCGAGGGCGCGACGCCGTCTACGTCCAAGGCCGCATCGCCGGCACCCGAGGGCGGCGCCAGCACGCCCGTGCCGGCCCCCTTTGTCTTTGGCGCTGGCCGCGACACGGTCAACGGCGCCGCCAGCCCGGCGCCCAGCGGCCGCAACGGCGGTACGCCTGCGCCGAACGGGCTGGGCGGCGCAGCCAGTGCGAGTGCCAACGCGGCCGCCGGCAGCCAAAGCCAGCCTGGCGGCGGCGGCGGCCTGTTGCAGCTCGACCCGCTGTTCCACCGCACGGCCAAGGACATTGCCGTGGAGCGCGACGCGGTGCTGCCGGTGGCGCCGCTGGACATTGCCATTATGACGTCGATCCAGAACGCGGCCAAAGGCGACGAGCGCAAGCTCAAGGACTTTTTGGGGTCGGTCATGGTGGTCGGCGGCGGCGCCAAGATCCCGCACTTTACGACGTACCTGGAGGAGCGGCTGCGGGCGCGGCGGCTCGACCTGGTGGACCGGATCCTGGTGTCGCGCAGCGCCCGCGACATGGACGAGCAGGTGGTGGTGTGGAAGGGCGCGAGCGTGTTTGCCAAGCTGGCGACCAACGACAGCTGGATTACGCCGCACGAGTATGCGTACCTGGGCCCGCGGATCCTGCACCACAAGGTGCTGTGGCAGTGGTAGAAACCTGCATCACGGCGTGCGGCGGTGGCGGTCGAAAAGGGAGAGCGGGACGGGTGACGATGAAAAATTACAGCCAAACTCGGATTATTTTAACGACGCGCGGGACGGTGTTTTGACAGGGTTGTTTTCTGCTTGTCATGTCTCACTTTTGCTCTAGGGAAATGGTATACATTTGTATTTGTTCAAGTCCATGTATGTTCGAAAATGGAATACGAGACACTACATCATATTGACTCACGTGGCACTCTTGATGTCGCCGCGTTGCCCGCTCATGAAATCGTCTTCTCAATCTTCACTAGGACGGCCGCTCCATTCCGCCGTCCATGCACCGGATCCCGCAAATGCACCAGCCGGTACCCTGGCCGCAACCGGTCCAGCCGCACCGACGCCCAGCCCAGCAGCACGTCCCGGTGCATGGTCCCGCCCGTGTCCTTGACCAGGAACCGCACAAACGACAACGTCGCGGCTGTGGATGCCGACACCTCGGCCGTTGTCTTTGCTTCTTGGGCGCGTCTGTGCTCCTCGGCCGTCGTCGCCGCCGGCAGCAGCGCGGCCATGGGCACGTTGGCAAAGCGCAGGACCACGCCGTTGAAATCCGGGTTGCGTCCACCGCCACCAGACGCCGTCTCCCTGAAAACGGGCGTCTTGGCCTTGTACTCGCCGCCTTCGTCCTCTTCGGCATCGTCGCCACCGGCACCACCACCGTCTGGCGCGTCGGGCCGCTCTGGGTGGTCATCGACGTGCAGGGCGACCTTGACAAACGGCCGCAGCGTGCGAGTGGATGTTGTAGGTGACATCACCTTGTTGCTGTCCACATCGCTGCTGACGCTGCCGTCCCGGCTGGCCGTCTTGCGCGGCAGTGCCAGGCCCTGGGCGGCCAGGACAGTGATGGAGAGATCGAGCAGTTTTGGCGCAACGGGCGGTGGGACGACCGTGCTATGCGTCGGTGGCGGCTGGAAGGTCGTGTCGACGGCCGGGGGCGGCGGTGCCGGCGTTCCCAGTTTGTCGCCACGGTAACCTACGACGTTTGTTAGCAGTTACACAACGGAAAGTATAGGAGGGGGGTAGCTCACCTTCCGGCTTCAAGACGTAGCCGCCGGTGCCGAGGAACATGGCCTCGTTGAGCATCATGCCCTCGTCGCAGTTTTGCCAGTTGAGCGCGACAATCTGCACACCCTTGCGCCAGAAGCGTGCCGGATCCAGGTTGGACGAACCGATGCGCAGACCCGAAGGGTAGGCGCGCATGAGAAAGCGGCGGTTGTGCGAGAACAAGGCGGGGCCGTGCTTGGCATGGACCTCCATCAAACTCTTCTCGGAGAGGGAGAAGACGTGGGTGGGCATGTAGGCCTCGGGCTGAGACAAGCTCTTAAAGGAGACGCCCTGGGTGTAGACGCCCAGCTGGCTGAGGGCCTGAATAATTTTGGAGGGCTTTTTGGCGGCAACCCCAGAGGCGGTGCCACCTGGTGTGCCCGGAGCAGGTGTGCGGCCCGTTGGTGTGCCTCCGGTCGGTATACCTGATGGAGGCGACTCGACAGTGGAGGTTTCGGTGGCAATGTTGGCGAGTTTGGAGGAGAGGCCGGGGTCGGCAGAAGTGCCGGTGCCGGTTCCGAGGCTGGCGTTCGAAGGCGTGCTGCCTCGTGGGCTGCTTGGAGACGACGCCCCGCCTGCCGGTATGTACTTGACCTTGATCAAGATTTTGTTGCGCAGGCTGCCTGGCGATGGCAGCGAAGCGGCCGGGTTCTTGCCTCTCTCCAGCAGCAGGCCCTTCCACTCCTGCTCCATGATCTGGACCATGACGTCCTGCTGCCCGGCCGTGCAGTGGACCTCGAGACTGACAATCAGCGGCGTGTCTGTGGTGGCAAAGCCATACTCACGGATCGTCACGCAGACATCCCGGAAGGAGACTTCCCGAGTGAGTGTGTGGCCGTGCAGCACGCGGGGCTCGACGGGGGCCATGCTGTCGACAGCTCCCGAAGCTGCTGGATTGCCTGCCGCGACAGCCGGTGTGGGTTTCGGCTTCGGCTTGGGCTTGGGCTTCCCCTCAATCTTCTTCTCCACGTAGTGCTCCAGTCGCCGGCCCAGCGTCGACCGCGACAGCCGTTCCGTGAGCGATGTCGGCAGCGTCTCCTTGGCCTTGGCCTTGTAGCGCTTCATCATGTCCTTGCGCGAGGCCTGCTTGGTCTGTTTCGCGGGCGCCGCGCCGCTCTCCTCGTCGCTGCTGCTGGCACTTGTGTCTTCCGCATCGTCGTCATCAATGTCGTCGTCGTCGCCGTCCCAGACGTCAATCTCGATGCACCGGCAGCCGCGCTCGAGCACGTGGCGGTAGGCGGCCGTGCTGGCGTCGCTGTACAGCTGGTTGCCCGTCAGGTAGGTGTTGTGGCTCGAGTTGATAAAATAACTAGACAGCGGGTAGCTGTCAATGTCCTGGACGGGCACCGGCGCGACAATGTCGGCGGCCTCGGACGTGATGTAGCGCAAGAAGCCGTGGAAATCAAGGGCGGGTGGTGCATTTCCTTGGGCGAGCGATTCACCCTGCACGTGCGTCAGAAAGGTAGCCACCTGGTCAGCGTGCCACTGGTTGTCGTTCTTGTCGGCGTGGAGCGCAAAGATACGTGAGAGATGCGACATGAGTGAGGCATCGAGGACGGTCTCTGGTGATGTGGCGGCAGTGGAGGTAGTGGTGGACGTTGCTGAAGCTGAAGCTGAAGGAGCTGGAGCTGGAGCTTGAGCAGGGACCGGTACTGCTGTTGTTGGCCCCGTCGCGGCCGTTGGAGGCACAGCGGACTCTGTGGGGGGTTGTGCCATGGCGATAGATGAGTGTTGGCAACGAGTGTAGATTTGGAGTAAAGAGACAAAATGAGAAACGGAGCCGATAATGGCACGTCGACGTTAGCTGAGGATGCTGGCCACAGTTGGGCGAGGCTGAAGAAGGCGGGGTTGTGAACGACGGGACGTGGCTTCCGGTTTTGTTAGGCTTCAGGTTGTCCTATTTCAGAAGGAATGCGGGTGACGAGTGCCTCAAAATAAGGAAGGAACGACCAGCAACGAGAAACAAAGAAGCATCGCGCAAAGTCGTGTCGTACTATTGTCAAAAGGCGAACACAGACAGGCCTCCAACAGCAGCCGCACTACAAGACAGCTGAGACAGCTTCGCTAAGATAAGTTCCCCGCCAAGTTCGTTAGCGTGCGACCTGACCGTGGACCGATCTGGCCAATCTCTGCCAAGTTTTCAATGTCCAATCAGGCCGTCTGCGCACCCTCCACATTTGTCTACTTAGACAAAATTTAGGCGCAGATGTATTCAAGTTGTCGACTTGCAACACCAATGACGAGGTAGTCAGGAATTACAGGCTTAAATGCTAGAGACACTCACGGAAATGCTGCTGACCACTTGCCCTGCGCGTACAAAACCCACGAATAGGAGAATAAATACTTGAACATTGAGACAGTCCAACCAGCAGAACCGCCAAACCTTGCTATGAAATATATTCTCGAGTCAATTCGTCGACAATTATCACAGATCGTCGTCCATTACCCCGGCCGAGGCCCCGCCACCATGGAATATTGAGCGCCAGCACCGGCCCAAGTCAAGCGCCGGTCACGCAGCGTTTTGCTGCGGAGGCACGTGGCCACGGGCACGTCATCGTCATCGTCCTCGCCGCCGCCAATGCCCAGCTGCGCTTGGCCGTTGTAGCCGGCACCAAAGACACCGTGCGGGCTGGCCGCAGTCACGATGATCGTGTGGTCCGTGCCGCAGGCAACGGCGACTGCTGCCGTGTCCGTGGCTGTGGCTGTGGCCGCGTCCGTGCCGAGATTGAGGTTGACGGTGGCGGGCAAGAGACAAGCGCGTGACCGGCCGCGTTCGTCGCGCAGGAGCCGTCGGTGGGCTGGGTCTCGCGCGGCGGCGTCGGCCGCTGCCAGCTCGTCGAGGGCTATACCCAGCTGCCCAGCGTCGATGCGGCCCCAGACCAGACAACGGCCGTCGGTCGTGACCGCGGTCGAGTGGTGGCCGCCGCCAGCGAGGGCCACGACGCGCTCGCCCGCCAGCGCGGCGACCTGCGTCGGCCCTGGTATGGTTGGTGAGGCGTCGGCACCGCGGCGTCGCAGCTCGTCCGGGGCCGCGCCCGTCTCGCCAAATGTGTTGAGGCCCCAGGCCCACACGCGACCGCTCGCGCCGACGGCAAAGGTGTGGTACTCGCCCGTGGCCACCAGGGCGATGTCCTCGGCGGCCCGGCCGGGCATCTCGACCAGGACCGGCTCCGTAGCGGCATTGAGAACCACATCGTCCCTGTACAGGGGGCGGCGGCGGGGCACGAGGCGGCGGCCAAGCTGGTCCACGTCATTGCTTCCCCACGCCCAAACGTGGACAGAGGTTCTTGCCCCTGTTCCTGTTCCTGCTCCTGTTCCTATTCTTGCCCGTGTCTGGCGCGGCCCGCCTGCGCGGCCCTGCAGGGCGAGCGCGTGGTTTGCACCGGCCACGATCTGCGTAATGCCCTGCAGTCCGGGGATGCGCACCGGCACGCGCTGTTTCTCACCGACCTAGCCCGTCGTCGGGTGTGGTAAGAAAAACTCTTGCCCGTCCTTCGTGCGGAACATGCCCCAGCCGTAGACAAGCCCCGTGTCGGTCAGCGCAAAGCTGCAGCTGTCGCCCGCCGCCACCTGCGTAAAGACGGTGCCCGCAGGGAAGCTGCTCGGATCAATGGCCGTCGGTGTGGACTCATGGGGGTTCAGCGATGCCCCTTGAGAAGAGTCGCTCTCGCTGTCACTGTCGCCCTCGTTGAGCTCTGTCATCCCGCCCTTCCAGTCTGTGTTTCGGCCGAGCGCGCCGCCGTCGTTGACGCCCCACGTCACGATCCGGTTGTCGCGCGTCAGCGCCACCGAGTGCATGGCGCCGCAAGCGAGCTGCACGACGTCAAATGACGTGGTGCCTGCCGCCGGTGTAGACGTCGCGCTGAGAAACGGGTTGAGCCGTGGCCGCGTCGCCTCTGCAATCTCCGGACCCAAGCCCAGCTCGCCGGCGTCGCCAGTTCCAAAGACAAACACATCGAGCACCGTTGTGGGTGCGGTGTTTAACGGGGGAGGGGGAGCTAGGGGGGCTCTTTGCGCTCTTCGTCGTGCAGTTGGCGTTCTCTGTTTGTTCGTTTTGACGGGCTGTGCCCTTCTCGTAGCGTTCGCAGCCCGTATGCGTTTGACTGGGCCATCTTTCGAAACAATGCGACGCTTCTGTGAGGGTCGGGCCATGACATTTGCTGTTATGTTTGCGTTTGTGGCGTTCGTAAGTTGTTGGAGAAGGCAGAAGTGCAATTGCGGCTGGATGAACAAATATGTAAACAAAAGTCAGCGCGCAGACCAGCTGGAAACATTCATCCTCTAAATAGGCGCCGGGTTTAGCACAGCGGACCGTGTAGATGCCAGTAGGCTGTGGAGGTGACATAACCCTGTCATTGGTTACATAAAAATAAGTCTAAATGGACACTACAATGGCCAGTGGCAGGAGGCAGGCAACAACCACGAAATGGTAAATGTATGGCAAGACAGAAAGAAACATTTTTTTTTTAAAAAAAAAAAATAAACACAAAGGGAAGAAGAAAGCGAAAGCAAAGTGATTGAGAGGAGTATTGAAACCCGTCTCCCACTAGACTTTAAGTTGTCACGCCCACATTTTTTAAATCTTCAGCAAATCTTCACCGGCTGACACATTCATGTTGCCTTGGGAATCAACCCTTGCCGCTTGTACCAAGCAACGCCACAGAATCTTTGACGAGGTTGGCAATGTCCTTTCTTGGCTCGGCGCCGCGGGCGTGGGCGATGAGACTCGAGCTCCCTCAGTTATTTGCCGGGATGCAGGGCCAGTTGGGAGCCGACTTGTCGCGGTTGACCAACCATGCGTAGTCGGCAACTGGACCAGTGCACACGGGGAGACGGATGTACCCTGGTGTGGTAATGTCCTGGTTATACAGATCCGTCAAGGTGGTCGGATCGCTCGGGTCGGCTACGGGGGCGTCGTTGGCCAGGCCGTTGGCTTGATACGACCGCACAGAACCGTTGATAATGTCCGTGACCGTGATACCGCCCCAAGCCGTTCCGTCCAGGTCGTCGATACCGGGGGGCGCCGAGAACTTGTTGTACGGGCAGTTGAACTTGGGATAGCAGTATTCTCTGGCCACGCCTTTCGGATACACGAGGAAGTAGAGGTGGTCGTCGATGCAGGCCATGGTCTTCTCTTGGATGGACGAGTCGACGTAGTAATCATAGGCACTGGGCTTGCTGCAGTCGTCACCCGCGTCGAGAACAAACGCGTTGGTGCCGGAGGCACTCCAGACCGACGGGATGGCAAAGGCGTAAAAGGCGCGCATGATGCTGGCGGCGACGCTCGTGGTCGTGGCATTGGACACGCTGAACTGAGGGCTTGCCCCGGACCCCTCCAGAAACTGGCCCTGGCCGACGAGGCTCGTCAGAAGCGTAATGGAATCGTTCGAGCCACTGAACAGGCTTTCGAGCTGCGCTTCCGTGCCGGTGGTCCAGACGTTGATGACCTGGCCGAGGTAGCTGGAAAAGGAATCCTGGTCGCCCGCAGACCACGAGCCTTCGTTGCCTTTGATGTAGATGCCCATGACACTCACTGTAAAGCTCTCGAGAGCCTTCCCGAGATCCTTTCCATTGTCGTATACTTCGGGATTGGTTCTAAAATAGGGCAGGCCTTTTAACAAGCTGTTGAAGACCGAAGAGACGACCATTGTGCCTGCCAGGTTGGACAGTGCGAAGAGAACCGACAACCAAGTATCACTCGGCGGCACAACGGGGGCAAATGTGTCTTCGAAGAAGGGCAGGGAAGGGTCCAGAGAGACGGCAGCCGCCTGGACGATGGCGTCGTGCAAGGTTTCGTACATTTCGTGGACATACACCAGCGAATTCCACAGGACATAGGCCGCGGGGCCGGTGCCGCTAATGTTCTCGACGTCCTTGCACAGCAGGATCGAGTCGCAGTTGCTCGTGGCGGCCAGCGTACCGCAATTGGTGTCTTCGGGGCCGTGAATCGAATTTGAAATAGACTCGCTGAGGTAGATGCCACCGGCGGGCTGGTCCACGGTCGTCCAGACGTTTATGACATCAGCCCACGCATCGGCGCCGTCCAGCTCCGCCCAGCGCTCCTGAGGCGACATTGTCAAGGCATTGACGACAGCCGGGTTGGTACAACTCAGTTTCGTCCAATTGCCGTGAACGGCCGACTTGTCCACCGAAAGTTCCGACATAGGATTCAGGCCCGCCCCGACGGCCTCTAGAAATGCGCCCCACGATTTCGTCACACCAGGCACCGCATTGAACGTCTCGAGATCGCTGGCCCAGTTGGTTGTGCCTCCAAAGCCATAGCTGTTGTACTTTGTCGCACGGGACGACAGAATGCTCGGCGTCATAAAGGACACCCACTGGTCGGTATCGTAAACCAGGATCTGGCTGTCACTGGGTTCATCGTAGTAGTAATGGTCGACACGAGTAGAGTTGATAGTCTCGCGCTTTGTGTTTGTGTTGTTCCCGTCGGAGTGAATGCCGTCAATCGTAATATCCATGCCGGAAATGATAGCGTGGATCTCGGCATCGGCGAGGTAACCGGCTGTGCCTGTGCAAGGGCCAGGGGCGGCAGTGGAGCCCGACGCGCCGCCGCCGTATGTGCACTGCGGATCGTAGCAGTTTGGGTCCGTCATACCGAACGAACGACCGTAACTCGTCACGCCGACAATCACCTTATTGGCGGGCACACCCGCCTTCGTAATCATAGACAGGGAGGTGAGCGTTTCCGTCAGGTTGACGTGACTGCGTAGGCAAGTGCCCGTAGGACAGTCGTCTTGCGAGTAGCTGTTACCGCTGTCCCACTGGCCATGCAGGTCGTACGTCATGTACACGATATAATCCACCACCTTGGAAATTTTCTGAATGGGAAAGTTCTTGAGGTACCAATACGAAGCTGGAGCAGCAATGCTGACGGTCTTGAAGGGCAGGAGGTTTTTGAGGACGACGAGGAAGTCGAGGTAATTGGCGCCGTCATCGGTGCTGGCAGCAGGAATGCCCGGAATGTCCGGGGCACCTGGGTACTCCCAGTCAATGTCGACACCGTCCAAGTTGTGTTGCTTCACAAAGTCAGCAATGGCCATGGCCATCCTGACACGGTTGGCAGCAGTAACACCGTTGCGGAAGATCTGGTAGGTGCTGGGATCTGTGGAGAATGACCACCCGCCAATCGTGATGACGCGATGGACACCCGATCCTAGACGAGCAAAATTGTCAAACTCGTAGCTGCTATAAACAGACCCAACAGACACATTGTAGGTGTCCGGGTCCAGCGTCGCGAACGCAAAGTGAACATGCGTCAGATCCGACGCCAGCTGTGAAATATCCTGGAAGAGGCATTGACGGTCCATACCGTAACCTTCGTAATAGGCCAGTTTGACTGGACTTGACGGCGCCGACCCGGAAACAATGTCGGTGCCACAGTTGGAAATGCAACCGTTGGTGCCTTGTTTGGCCGTTCCCGGGGGGCCAAGGCTCGTATCCACGCAGAAGGTGTCCGTCACGCCGCATTGCCCCCAAATGTCACAACAGGCATTCAGAGGACACGGGTTAAGGCCCGACAAGTTGTACGTGCCACCAGGCCCGGCGACCGTCCCAGTAACCTGGGGTCCGCACTCGGCGTTGGCAACGGCCGCGGGCATGGGCGGCGAGCCCGTGCTCAAGCATATCACGGCACCGAGTAGGACGTTGTTACAGCCTTGCCATCCCCATGTTGCGTTGTTAAAGCTCTCGATGAGGTCGTTGGTCAAGTCGTAGGTGGCCGCAATGGCGGCACAGTTGTCGTTTGCCACAACAGTGTAGCTGTAGCACGATCCGTCGCTGTTGGGCTTGGGCGCGAAATCGGGCAGTGTTCCAGACGAACAACAAACATGCTGACCAGGTGTCAGGGTCGCACAAAGCGACGAATCAGGGTTGTATTTCGTAAAATCCGCCGGAGAAATACCACATTTCGTCGCCAACGACGAGCAAGAATCGCCCGACACGACCTGCACGGTCGAGCAGTCGGCGCGCCGTGACAAGGAAGAGTGGGGATGCGAGAGCAAGCGGCCAGAACGAGACGCCACATGATGGGGGACTGTCCCGTTCAGCGCCGTGCTATTGAGACCGGCGGACGGGATGTCCAGCGGTGTCGTAAATCCAACGGGGCTGACAAACGTCTCGGTCGAGTCGTTGTCAATGCATGTCGCGTTGGACCACGCACGGAGAACCTGCTGCACAGGCGTGAAAGACGTGTTGCTCGTGGCAATGAATCCGATGACATGGTCCGCGTTGTACTGCGTGCCGCACAGCTCCATCACCACCGTGCCGGTGGTCTCCTTGGTGGCTGTCAAGGAAGCTTCAAGGCCCTCAAGCGCACTGGATACATACGACAGGCTCTGCACGTCCTTGCCGACGTAGAGGCCCACGGTACCACCCATGGTCTGCGCAAACAGAATTTGGGCCTGGTCCTTTGGCGACGTCGACGCGGCCGTGGAGCCACTGGCCTTGGCCTGGTATCCGGTATTCAAAAACTTGCGCACTTCCTGCGACAGGGCCCGAAGATCAACGCCTGCAGCGGCGCTCCAGTGTCCAACCTTGAACGTGGCGTTTGACACCGTCTCCTGGACCTGCATGGTCGAGTGGGACGTGCCAGCATCGGCCAGAGAGCCGTTCGAGGCGCAAGCATAGATGCGGTGCGTGGACGACAGATCATCGACCGTATCAAAGAGAGAGATGTGGTAGAAGATGGTCTGGTGACAGGTATCGAAATCTTGGAGGCTCTTGTATGCGGGCCAGTTGGCTGGGTTGGGGCCGGTCACAGTACAAGAAGTAGGACAGCTGTTATTGCGGCTCCGGTAATTGGGAGCAGCCGGTTGGCGGAGCTTGAACTCAGCGTTGACGCCGCCGAGGAGCCCCGACGACAGCAGGACAAAGCCAACTGCCGCCGTGGATAGACTCCACGAGGGAAGCATCGTGACGGATAAAAGGGGAAACAAAGGAAAGAGGTCAACGTAGTCGGAGGTAGAATAAACCGCAATAGGAAGGACCTCGCGGGCTCAAATATAAGGAAGGCACGACGCACTGGGTTGTTATATTGACATCAACAGCGCCGCTGAAGATGGAAAGTGCGACTGGGGTAAAATAAATGCAGTAGGGAAGATGCAGATAATAACAGAAACAGAATGCGGCGAGGGCGAAGAATGTAGGGCTCCGAGATAACAGGATGGAGTTCATCTTGAGGGTCGTCCATGCCATTATATCTCAGATTACAATGCTATTTGCTCGACGCCTGGTCCGACCCTACGCTCCATGGTCAACCGCCAGAGGTGCACGTTTCTGGATGTGCAAGTCTAAGAATAATCAGCACTTCCGCCGTAGGGAAGTATCGATTCTACTCGTCAGTCATCGCCATGTGTAGGACCAGTCTCCTGTCGCTTGTCAAATGTTCCATCATGTGCATGATCCTTGCTTCTCTTTCCTTAATTTGGGTTTGACAGACAACGAACACGCAACCCGACTGCCATGATCCCTGTAGACAAAACGTTACGACATACCACGGTAGCCCAATCTTGTCGCCGGTCCCAATTCATTCCAAAAGGTATCACCGATTCACATGCGTGTTGACTGCAGCGCTCGCGGCAGGCATCTCAAGACGCGCCAAAGTCCAATCCCGGCGGCTATCCTCACGCCAATCTTAGGACGTGGGTAGCATTGAAGATTTGATTTCGACAACGTACGCCAAATAGGACGGGAAAGAGGGCGAACAGATCAAAGGAGGGCAAAGCATGGACATTGTGGAAGACATCCCTAGTAAAATTACGTTAGGAAAGCCAATGGCCAAATTGCAAGGTTCACGTGCGGTACTCTATTTGGAATCTCAGAATGCATTCTTGACTGTAGCACGACGACGATGACAGCGGCTAATCCAGACATGGTGAAAGAGGAACCTGGACTGTCAACATGGGGTCGGGAGGAAAGGTGACCTTGAGGGCGACTAGTCGGTCGAGACCGACGGCCCTGTGGTGCAGTTGGGGAAAGATTAAACGGCTATGGCTTTCCAGGGGCATCGTGGCGCCGTGGCTGGATGCATGCAGGGCTGAGATTGCATCAAAGGATCTAGCGCAGGCGCCGGCCCCTGCGCCATCTTTGGACAGACTTGGGAAATCGTCCGATGCATCCCCTTTGCTTGGCTCCGCCGTCTTATGACCAGCCCAGTGTATCTGACCCGAAAGAATCACGGCACGTTTTCATTTGCCCTTTCCTAAACTCGGGACGAAATAAAAATTTTATTTATTTGGAATTTTCCGCGAGGGGGACCCTAAAATAAAACACGAAACTGTTTAAAAAAAGGTAAACATAAAAAAAGTAAAATCAAAAGAGCCCTACCGAGAAAGACAATGATAAAATGGAGGGCGTCAAATCCTCCAGACGACAAAGTTTCCGTAATATTCTCTTGTAATTTGTCCTTACGCCCAAGAAAGCATGGCGTATAGTCGATTTCGCCAACGTGCTCTCGGCAAGTTCATGTTCTTTGATGGATGAGATCCTACAGCCCTATGAGAGGCAAGCAGTCTGGAGCCAACAAACAATGGTGTTCATGTTCCTTCATACGTGCGGCGGAACACGGTGAGGCAACGTCAGTAGCGGTAAAAGTTGTAAAACGTACTACAGGGGATATCGATAGTTTTCTCACAGGCATTGCCCTATCGCGGTGAGATCTGAATCTGGGGGTCGATCGACGTTGGCGAGGTCTAGATTGTAAAATTTTAATATGGAGAGACCCAAGGCGAGGACGACCAACCGTGCAAAGGACCGACCCATACGGAGCATTAAAGGGAAGATTAGGTTGACGTCCAAGAAGAAAACAGAGTAGCCTAATGGAGTCATGGCTGTTTTTGGTACAATAGAGTTGATCATTACGGGCATGATTTTCTGGTGAGGACTACCAGGTAGCTGGAGGAGGGCTAAAAAAATACAAATAAACAGATGGAGGATGGGGCATCCATCACGGTTGTACAGCTGGTTGACAGTAGAGGAAGGCAAACAAAATATCAATAAATAACAGGGGCTTGAAAATTCGAAGGATAAAAAGGGCCGACAATTGAGGCAGTGAAACGCAACAGTAGAAAGAAAAGAATCTCTAAACAAAATCGTTGATAGAATAGCAACCTGCAAAGTAGCCATCGCTTCAATGGTTGCATTCGAATTTCGTTTCGATTCGACCATTGTCGCTTCCGGGCAGGCAAATGTGTTGTTTTCGGGATAGAGATCCACTTTTCGGTTTATTCGCCAATCAGGGGCGTTTGTGACATTCCAAATTTATTAGTCCAAAAGCCTTCCTTCGCGCCCTCATGCATTGGAACGCATCAAGATTGTCTACCGACGATAGGAGTCGGATCCCTGCAGTTCGAAAGAGGATGAGTTCAAAACAAACGACGAATGAGGGACCTGGAAAACCATGAAAAGTAACCTCATGGATGAATCAGGAAAATAACTGCGCGCGAGAAAACAAGCTTCAGTCGCTAAAATAAGCATATGCAAGGAATATCGAATTGCAATTCGTCCCCCACGCGCGGGACGCGCCACTGGGTCGATGGGGACGAGCACGGCCAAGCCGACGTGGCATCACAACGACAAATTCATACGACGTCCCGGCAGGATTCTACCAAGAAGAGAAGCTAGGATCAAGGGAATGAAACGTCATTTTCATGAAACAAGCGAAGCGCGAACAAGAAAATAAAAGAAGAGAAAAAGAAAAAAAGAAAAAAAGAAAAAAAAGGAAACAAAAAGACGCCCATGATTTTGTATGACCAGTCAATATTGGAAACTACTTCGGCAGCCAACACCGGCAAGTGGCAGAGATAGATTTTGAATTTGCTTGCCCCCTGCCCTTGTTCTCAAATCCTTTGAGCACGCAGCATCTCGAATGACTATCAGAACGACAGAATGAAGCACCGGGCTTCAAATATGGTGGTTACTTACCAAACTTGTCGTCTCGAGTAGTCAAGCGCCTAAAACAAAGAAGCATTTGCCCTGGTAAGAGCCTTTTTATACGGGAGACGAAAGGTAAAATAATTGGGGGATTAGAAGTTGGATCCGTGATGACTAGCGAATATCCCACCGCTGTACGTTTTCCACTTTGTCTTGTCACACTCCTGCGTATCTTGGGCTCTGGCAACGTTTCGATATCTTCTGAGATTGACATTTGACGCTTGTAAATGTGAAAAAGGGCCGCCCACCCCATATCGGAGATAAAATGCACCGTCTCGTGAGCCCATCAACCAACAACACTTAGCGACGCGGAGAGGAAGTGTGCATTTAGACTCGCACTTACACAGATGCTGTAACACTTCGTAGAGGCAACATCAAAAGACTATACAGTTCATCGGATCTGCAAAAGGACCGCTCGATTTTACCAAACCACCAGATAGAGTTAACGTAAACAACAATTGGTTAATACATCGAAACGACCTCGACATTCCCGCAAAAGTGATTAACGACGATGCCGTCCCTGACTGTCTGCTCTGATGGACAGTTGGGTGCATACTGGTCAATCTGTCCAAGGGATGGCGCCGAATATGGGGTGGTGGAAGCTGACAAGACGCGGCGGTTTTCTGGCCCGGGATGTCATGTTTCGTCACATTCAGTTCAAATTTATTACTTTGCTGTCGATTAATGTATCGTTCAATGTAGTTGAAATCCCTATGAAGAGTCAACCGTAATGATAGCTACTAGTTAAGACTTTCTACAAGGAGGCCAACTTCGGACGGTCTTTGTCGCCACATTTAGTCTTATAACCGCATCCTCCACGAGGAAAACCTTGCACTTAACAAAGTAAACAGAGCGTATAATGTAAAATAAGTTGGTTCGTCGGTTCGTGAATCCAGCTTTCTGTTCATGTAAAATCATCTTTGAGTCACATGATCACGTGGTTTGCATGCAGCTTGAGAACGTATAGATTTGGGGGCTGAAACACGTCTTCTGAATTGACTCATTCCTTTTATTTCTCCTTCACCACATCAACGACAACATGGCTACCCAGAATTCTGCTACATCGTCGCGACCAGGCGGTCAGTTAAAAACGCCTAAAGGAACTCGCGATTGGGTCAGCCGTGATCTCCTGCTACGTGACCATATATTGTGAGTAGTCGGGAGAATGCTGTATAACTGTTGGATTGTGATGCAGGAGGTGTTTTCGTCTCCTCTAACAGGCCAGCCGGACAATCAGTACAGTCCTGGAGCGCCACGGCGGTGTTCCTCTCGACACGCCCGTCTTTGAATTGCGCGACATTCTTGCTGAAAAGTATGGCGAGGACGCGCGGCTCATTTACAATCTGGAAGACCAGGGCGGCGAGGCCTGTTCTCTGCGCTACGACCTCACGGTTCCGTTTGCGCGGTGGCTGGCCATGCGCACCGACGTGCAAAACATCAAGCGCTACCAAATCGCCAAGGTGTACCGGCGCGACCAGCCGGCCATTACCCGGGGCCGCCTGCGCGAGTTTTACCAGTGCGACTTTGACATCGCGGGGACGTACGATGCGATGATCCCCGACGCCGAGATCCTGCGCATTGTGTCCGAGGTCTTCACAGCCTTTGGCATGGGCGTCACGGTGAAGTTGAACCACCGCAAACTGCTGGACGGCATGTTTGCCGTGGCGGGTGTGCCGGCCGACAAGATTCGGGCGATCAGTTCGGCTGTCGACAAGCTCGACAAAGCACCCTGGGCGGAGGTGAAGGCAGAGATGCTCCAAAAGGGCCTGGACGAAGCGGTGGCCGACCGTTTGGGTCGCTACGTCCGGCGCAGTGGCAGTCTGCCGACCTTGCTCGACGAGCTGCGACTTGACACAAAACTGTGCGAGGTCGAGAGCGTCGCCGCAGGCATGGCCGACTTGACGCGATTTGCCTCCTACCTCGACGCTATGAACGTGTTGGACACAGTGTCGTTTGATCTGTCTCTCGCACGCGGGCTGGATTACTATACGGGGGTTATTTACGAGGTAGTCCTGCCTGGTACCGAGGTCGGGAGCATCGCTGCCGGCGGCCGCTACGACAATTTGGTGGGCATGTACGGCAAACGTCCCGTCCCCTGCGTCGGCATCTCCTTTGGCGTCGACCGCATCTTTACGCTTCTTGACGCGCAGCGCAACCAAAACAAGAAAAGCGGCCCAGAGCTTGCGCATGAGGCTGATGTGTACATCGTGGCCTTTGGGGGAAAGGAGTTCGATGGCCTCCTGGCCGACCGGATGCGCGTCGCCAGCCAACTCTGGGATGCCGGCATCCGTGCCGAGTTTTGCCCAAAGTGAGGCCCAAGCCGCTGCAGCAGTTCAATTCATCAGAGGGCGTACCGGTTGCCGTTATGCTAGGCCAAGAGGAGCTGGCCGCAGGGCAGGTTCGCGTGAAGCAGTTGCACATAGGGGACAAAAATGCTTCGGGGAAGGACAAGGGGCAGCTTGTTTCCATAGACAATCTCGTGAAGGAGGTACGGAAGTTGTTGGACGCTTCCACTTTGGGATAATATATCCTAGAAAATTATTTTCAGGGAGGGTAGGGTTGTATATCGGCATGATTGTAATGAGTCGTTAGGCTAGAGCAGGCGTCTATGAATCTAAGTGAATGGAGATGTCCGACCTTTACGAGCTCATAATATACGAGTATAACCTATACTATGTCGACGACAAACAATACGCCAAAATATTATCGTGTAAGCTGACTAATATAGGATTGTAGAGGAATGTCAAGCTTTCTCTGAGCATGGACGTCTCAAAACAAATTCGGCAAGGGAGGTGTGCTAAATAGCGTACGTCGAGCATCCAAATGTCACACTCTATATGCTCCAACCTCTTCCCTATTCACATTTATTGGTCCTCGTTACACCCATCGTACCATCTTCTCACCTACGCGGCTCATCGTTCGGCACATGAACCACCTCGGTGCTTGTGAATGATGATGACTACGAGCCAGACCGTTGACGTCGTGCATAGCAATAACCAACAGACGCTGCACTAAACATTATTCTCTGTAAGAACGAGAAAATAACGGTTAGCGATACGACGGATACGACGAATACTCCTTGCAGCCTGGAATTTTACGACCTATCTAGACCTGCGAAATACCGACAATATTCCAGTCATTAGCAATGTTATCACTGTGGACGAGGGGGAAAAATGTCCAACAGATGTACATTACAGAACTGCATTGTTTTTCCCATCATCGGATTTTTTAATATGTGATTAAGCGTCCGCAACTAGCCGGAAACTAAGAGATCGTCTCATATCATCACCAACTGGAACCGACCCAGAGAAGTCGAGATCCGATCTCGTCTGGCTCCCAGGGATGTCTAAAAATATATTCCGCATGCACAGAGACTATATCCTACTTCCTGCCGCCAATTTCCGTTCCTGATAAGAATTACTTCCAAGTGAAAATTTCTGTTTTCAGTAATGCCCCCCAGTTCTCTAATGTAGAACGCCTCCAAGCGGTTCCAAGATGCTTCCAAGTGGTTCCACGAATTTTCATACCGGTTCTTACCTTCGTCGTCACATTACGCACCAGCCGCCCCTCGATTCGTATGTCCCTCGCGTTCCATCCCGACTCTTGCCACATGCTTTTATCCTGGCCTTCTTTGATGGGCATCTTTGAAATCACTGATCATGTCGGTCCACATGTCGGCGGTCAAAGGTACCATGAGATTGTATAACTCTCGTAACATTTAGTAGCGCATCTGTGATTTGATACACGACCAGGACTTCCGTATATTTATCGGATGAAAGCTGTCCGAACAAAGTGAGGCCCATAGACGAATTCAAACTATGGGTTGTGAAGAAGAGGACTGAATCTATTCAGATGAAACAAGCGACATCACAGTGTGTATATACCTGAGTAGCCTTACACATCCCGTTGCTGCCACCTTTCTCAGTTAAGGCTTGCCATCCCTACGTGTTCTCGGATAATCGTTATTTCTTTGCGCCCGTCTCTTCACTTTGTCCTGTCCTCCTCGTTTTATTATTTATTCTGTCTTTTTCCATTTTCTTCTTCCTTCTTCTCTGCTACCATCTCGATCTACTTGCATCTGCAATCTGAACCCCACCGTTCGTTGCAAGGCCCGTTTAGATTTGTTTTTTATTCATATTCATTTCATATTTTGCATCCATCACGCTCGCTTTATGTCAATTTGTCCGAGTTGAAGCACGCATCATGAAGACCTCTGCCTTTATCACGCTGGCCCTTGCTGGGTCGGCGCTTGGTGTCCGCCGCGGCAACTGGAGCCCTGACGATGGTGGCGATGGTTGGTCCCCGACCGACTCGGGCAGCTGGGGCACCGAGACGTCCGACACTTGGACGTCGGAGACCTGGAGCTCGGAGACCTGGAGCTCGGAAACCTGGAGCTCGGACTGCACCACCTCCACGACCCCTGCTCCGCCTCCGCACACCACCACGCATAAGCACTCGTCTATCCCGCACCACTCGTCTGTCCCCCATCACTCGTCGGTTCCTCATCATTCGCACACGACGGCGCCGCCACCACCGCCTGTGACGACGACCACCTACGTGACGACGTCCATCTGCCCGGTGACCACCCACAGCACCAGCTCCGGCAGCATCGTTCCGGTGACAACGTACGCTCTACTTACTCAGTGTCCCTTTCGTTTTGAAGTTATTTTGATTGTTTTTGTGCTGACATCATAGACACTCGACCTCGGTCTGGACTGTCACCACCGAGTGCCCGCCTGGCCCTACAACGTCAGCGCCTGCTCCTCCAGGTCCCCATGGGCCTGGACACAAGAACAATGGGACAGCCCCTCCGGGGCCCCCTGGGCCTGGTCACAATAGCCACAGCACCGCTCCTCCGGGCCCCCCTGGGCCTGGCCACAAGGGCAACGGCACCACTCCTCCCAGCCCCCCTGGGCCTGGCCACAAGGGTAACGGTACCACGCCTCCCGGTCCCCCTGGACCTGGCCACAAGGGCAACGGCACCACACCACCGACTACGCCGACGCCTTGTCCCAGTGGTAACAGCACTACCCCTACGGTTCCCGGTACCAAGGGCAACGGCACCACGCCAACGGCCCCCCCTTCCAGCCATGGGGGTAACGGTACAACCCCCCCGACACCTCCGACCCCGTGTCCCAGTGGTAACAGCACTACCCCTTCGGCGCCTGGTACTAAGGGCCACGGCACCACCCCGCCGACGTCTCCGACGCCGTGTCCCAGTGGTAACAACACCACCCCGCCGACTTCTCCGACACCTTGTCCCAGTGGTAACAGCACCACTCCTGTGAACCCCGGGCATCAGGGCAACGGCACCGTCCCGTCGAACCCGGCTGCCGTGGTGTCCCATCCTAGCGGAGCTCCTCCCCCGCCCCCGGCTCCGGGCTCGCCCTCCACGTCGGGAACTCCTGGGTCTCCTGGGTCTCCTGGATCTCCCAAATCTCCTGAGTCTCCCGAGTCTCCCGAGTCTCCTGAATCTTCCGGGGGCCATCCTGGCCCCAGCCATGGCAACGGCACCAGTGCCCCTGAGCACCCTGGCCCGGCCGCCTCAAGCAGCCCTGGCGGCCACGGAAACGGCAACGGCAACGGCGGCAGCTCCAACAAGCCGCCCACTGTTCCCACTAGCGATGCCTTCCACACCTCGGCCAAGGCGACCACGTTCGTTGGTCTCCTGGCCGGTCTGACCGGTGTGGTCCTGCTGCTGTAAAGCGTCGGCATCGTCTCAGCATCGTCCTTTTCTCTTTATTCTGATTCGGCGAGGCACCCGACCACCACGACCAGCACAAGTGCGATGGAGAGTGGCAATTCTTTGAGCAATTCAATCAGTTTGAAGGCCCAATGATTTGACTTTCTGTTTGCATCCTTTGTCTTGGGGTTCTCTTCGTCGTCTACAAAGGGTCTGGAGAACAGGGTCGAACCTGGAGTTTTGGAGTTAAGGAGTTTCGGAGTTTGGGACTCGTGAACTTTGGCCTTTGGGAACTTGGGAGTTTGGGGTCTTTGGAGTTTGGGAACCTTGGAGTTTGGGAACCTTGGAGTTTGGGAACCTTGGAGTTTGGGAACCTTGGAGTTTGGGAGGCTGGCGTTAAGGAGTTGTGATGTGACAGGTATGGCTGCGTCCCGTGGTTCTCCATCGTCTTTGCTTTTTCAAGAGCTCAGTTTTGATTCCATGGAAGAGACCGTTCCGTTTCCGTCCTTTTCTGGGTTTTTTTTGTCTCTTTGTAGTCTTTTTTTCCCCAGACGATGTACTGAGAGGAGTGGGTGGCTTTGAAGAACGGGGCATTGGGTACGCCTGTCCTTTGAATTTTTATTGACTTTTGTCATAACTTTGATTGCTGTCATAACTTGGCACACCCTCGTGCTCAAATTTTGTATGTAGAATTTGGTTTGTTTAGATTTCTCTTTTCATTCCTTTTGTTTTCTTCCTTTTCTTGTTTTGGGATGGGTTTTGGCTTCCATTTTCACCGCATACTGAATTAATGTTTAATATATCACTAAAAGAAATGGAACAAAACTAATGGTTTTTGCTTTATTGTAAATTGCTAAGTTTTGCATCATAACTTGACCAGAATTGAAGCTGCTTAAAAAACAGTAAACATACAAATCCAAAAGACTAACTATGAGGAGTAATTTGGCCTTTGGTGTTGACATATTGATTTTTGCAGGGTTGCAGAAATTGATGCTCAAGGCAAACAAACCTCAGTAAAGAGGTAGAACAGGAGAATCGCGAAACATCTGAAAATAGGGTGCTATTCCTACCAGGTACTTCTATCCATTGCGAAATTTACAGTGTTTTACTAATAGCCACCGTGAATGGCGTCGTTGGGGCAAAAACGACGTGTAGCGAACTATCCAGAATAGTTGGACTGTGCACAGGTGGCGACAGCTGTACTCCGATCACACAAGCATCGCCTTTGACCCTGCCATCAAGGGAGTCAACCACCAAGGAGATCTAGTATTGGGTACTATTTCATTGCCGGCAAATGTACGCAGGTCAGAGACAGATGATGGAATCCAAAGGCCAACGCCGAGGCAGAATTTGATGCCGCCGCTGTGCAAAGGTACGTCACAGGCACACCTCCAAAAAACGTCTGCATTGTCTCGCACAATTATACGTGAGGCCTTTGGTGACGCACAGCAGAATAAACTTTGTTGTAGCTGTATAGTTGCATAGCAGCCTGATTCGCTCTTTCTAACAATGCTGTATACCACGTGATGCAAGTCTCCAAGACGGTGATGTGAATATGGTAAGCCTAAGATAAGCCAACAAAATGCAGAGTGTATAAGTATAAAGCTCAGAATAGAACAATCAGAATATGGGCGCAAAAATCAAAGCATAAATCATTTTTTAAAGCAAGTCTTCACGAGCTTGGGTGAGACGTTTGATGACAAGAAGCTTGTCAGCGAATCGTCCGTCGAGGAGGGTCGATTTGACAGTACATGGCCTGTGTCGTGGCAGACACAGCACATTCCAGCCGCTGTCAGGCGGTGCCGTTATGGGGTGGTTGGTCAATAATTGTGTTGTATTTGTCGTTGTCTGCAAGGGCCACGCTATAATGAGACGCCGCTGGAGGTGCCCTTGTCGGAGGCTGCCGTCGTTGGGGCCGGGACGGCGATGGGTGCGGATTTGCTGCCCTTGGTGGCGGTCGCCAGGGCCTGCGCACGACCCTGAATGGTCAGCGGGCCAAGCTCCTGGAGCATTGCCTCGCGCACACTTTCGGTGAGCGCGGTGACGTCGTCGGTGGTGAGACCGGTGGTCGGAATGGGCTCGAGGACTACACAACGTTAGGAGCTGGTTGACAAGTCAAAGAACAAAACAACAAGAACAGAAAAGAAAAAGGATGCATGGTACGACGACGAACGTACCCTTGATCGGGATCTTGCCCGGCAGGAAACGGAGTTTGCCCGTCGAGTAGAGGTGGCTGTAGTTGGCGACGACGACGGGCACAACGGGCACGCCGGCCTGGACGGCCAAGTGGAAGGCGCCCTTCTTAAAGGGCAGCAGTGTCGCCTCCTGCGCATAGCTGCGGGTGCCCTCAGGGAACATGTAGACGCTCTGGCGCTGCGACAGGATGGCGTCGGCGGCACCGCGCATAGCGGAGCGGGCGTCCTTGCTGTTGGCGCGGTCGATGAAGATGGTGCCACTGAGGCGCATGAACCAGCCCAAGAACGGGTAGTTGCGCAGCGAGCTCTTGGCCGTGACACTGCAGTACTTGGGGAACATGCACCCCAGCATCAAGACATCGAGGGCCGTCTGGTGGTTGCCGACAAAGACGGCCGGGCGTGTGCCGCCCAGGTAGTCGTGGGGGTCCTCCACCTCAAACGTGATTCCCGTGAGCAGCGACATGGTGAACTTGAAGGCACGGGCGGTGGCCCACTGGGCGCTTTGCCAGCGGCTGCCGCCGGACAAGCGCAGGGCGATGGAAGCAAAGACGCCGTAGATCGCGCAGAAGACGAGGGCTATCCACGAGGCCAGGGTGCGAGCGGCAAAGCCGGCGAGGGGGCTGACGTAGGCAAGCAGGTAGAACATGACGACGACAATAAAATAGCGGACCAGGAACCACGCGAGGGCCGAGCCGACGGCAGAGAGGACGGCGACCATCGTGGTCGACGGGTTCGGTGTTGAAATGGGGAGAGGGATGGCGAGGCGAGCGTGTTGTCAGAAAGCGTCGTGGGCTGGGGAGAACTGCAGACGTATGTTTCGCCCAGCTGAGCGCTAAGTCTTTTGTGATTTTCTGGCTTGTGATCGAGGGCCGCTCACACGGCAGTCACACTGGCACACACTCGCACAGAAACACAAATTTGGGGGTTGAGTCTCAGCCAGCCACTCAAACTGTGTCCTTCTCCGTTACCCCAAAGACGGTAAATGGCGGGTGCTTTTTCAGGCAGGGTCCGAATGCGACGTTGCGGAAGAAGCGAGTGGCGGGCGCGGAGAGGTTGTCGAAAGGGCTCTGTAGATTGCAAGATCCTTGCGGCTGTGACTGTGCAAGACGACCGAGGAAGCGAGAGACGATCGGTGTCGTGTACAGAGTCTCGTCGGAGGCGGTGGAAGTTGAGGTTGTTGTAGTGGCAGGCAGGGATCGTTTTCAACGGATAAACTATTTAAATTTCTTTAACTTTTAAATGGGGAATTTCTCTTCGCCTAACATTTTGTTGGGATGGCGGGGCCCTGCCGAATGTGGAAGGCACGAGCAAGGCACGAGCCAAAAGCTCCTGGAGCTATTTGGACGGCGGAATGGTGTCCACAACAGCAGGAAATGTTTAGGAGCAAAAGTAATATAAATACGCAACAATATTATGAAGCGAGGAAGTATACGTAATTGACAAAACAAAAGGATGCTCCTCGACAGTAGGCTTTTGTTGATTTCACTGGAAAGTTGACGGTGCCATTGCCTGGTAGGGAAAGAGCCTTGACTCTCGTGGGGACCATATGCCTTCACCTTGGTACTGTGATTGGTTCAAATTCAGGCACTCGTAGGAAAGCCGAGGAACTGGGCCATAGCCAGGTTGGGTGGCTCTTGCCTTGGCTCTGCCATGGCTCACAGTGCCAAATAGCGTAAGGCTGCCTATGCACACTGTAGCATACAATAGCCGACAGGGCGCAGCTTCCCAAACAAACATGGAGGATTCCACCGAAGTCAATTGACGACTATGGAGCTGCCTCACGACAACAAACCACACGTCTCGACAGCCAGCCTGTCCCACGCTATGACGATTGGCCCCATCCGACTGCCTCGGTCCTGGATTCTGCGACGCGCAGACATCGCACAATAGAGAAAGAAACGGACCATTGCCAAGGGGCTACGGCACAGCGAGACGATTGCATCGACGGACGACGATAGGCCGTCAGGGTACATCTCAACTCGGAATTGGACCATCAGTGCCTGAGAAGCCAGCATCGATCAACAAAACACGACCAGACAGACACGATGGCATCGAGCACAGCGGAACCTTCGACGCCGCGGCGCGAGAATGCGGCGCCGGCTCCGATCACACCTGCGGGACTGCTCCCCGACCGGCCGCCGATTGCTGCCCTTTTTTTGATCGAATTTGACGTCAAGGCCGGCTACACCATTGTCTGGAAGCAGGCCACACCCGGGCTGGACCTGAGTGGTGCTGTCGAGTACAAGAGCCTGCCATCTGGTCTGCACGCCGTGTCGGAAGATCTCATCTACTTTGTGCATGAAGAGGCTAGCAACGGCGATGCTGGCTCGACATCGAGCACGCCCCCCTCCGACACCACCGGCTATGCGGGCCTCAGCGCGTTTGTCAACCTGCCGACCGAAGAGGCGGGCGCCCGCAACGCGCGCATGATTGCCGTCGGTGTGCTGGTCCGGCGCAGTTACGGCCGGCTTGGCCGTGCATGGCGACACGCTGCAGCGTTGATGGACATGGCTCGACAGTTGGCTGCCGACAGCACGCAGGTGCCATTGTTGGAAGCGTACTGGCTCAAAAACGGCTCGACGGGCGCGGCTAGTGCTGCGTCTCCCGTGGCGGATGAGCGCCCACTGCTCCAAATCACCGATTCGCCGTTGGGCTCGCCTGCCGTGCCCGTTCCCCCGCCCATGGGCTACCGGCCGCAACCTTCATTGGCAGTGCCAAAACATTCGCGCAGCCGCTCTGTCTCGGACGGAACCGCCCTCCTTCTACCCCCTGGCCACCGCCTGTCGCCGCACCATCCGGCCTGGAGCCTGACGACGCTGCTCGACACGTTTGGCCCGCTCATTTTCCCCATCTACCGCGCGGCCCTGCTGCGGAAGCGAATCTTGATCTCGACCCACGCGCCCGTGCGGGAGACCAACAATTTCGGTATGTCCCTGTGGTGTGCATTCGACATGCTGTATTTTCTCTGCTAACAGGCTAGTGTACAACATTTCGGTCCTGGCGAATGTTCCTAATTCGGCCCTTGATCTCGTCGAACCTTCGGCCGTCGCCCACCAACGCATCCGTCCCTTATTTACCATCGGGGTCAACGACATTACCTTCCTGATGGATGACCTAGCCGCCTCGAAACGGGCAACACGTGACACTGCTGAGGCAGGAGGAGCAACCCTGCTCGACAACAGCAAACCCGCATACACGGGACCAGGCTGGATCGCCTGTACTACCGACAGCATCCTGGCTATGAAGAGCGACCTCTGGGACGTGTTGATTACAATGCCACCTCCAGCAAGTGCCCACCAGGCATCACCAGTGAAGCCGTCACCGTCCTCGTCCTCGTCAGCACGAACGGCGGGTGTCAAAGACAGCAAATCTGAGAAAATCTGGCCGACGGTCGAGATTGCAAAGGGCGTGCCACTCAAGGCCACCCAGCGTGACCTGCGCCGCTACAAAGCGCTGGTGGCCGGCCTGGAGAGGCTGGCAGGCCGTAGCGAGTCGCTCTCGAGTCAAGCAGACGCACAACTCACCGACGCTTCCGAATCTATCGTGGAGCCGACAACCTGGGCCGCCTTGGCGTACCACGGCTTTATGTGGTGGGCCAGTGCTGGTGAACAGAGCCGGTCTGGGGAAACAGACGAGACGATTCATGACGCACAGCTTCTGGCCGACATTGCGCCTCCTCGGCCACAAGTGGCGCCATCTGACAATCCCCAGTCGCCCTCTGCGAATGCCAACCTCCTCGACTCGGTCACGTCCCTGACGGCAGGGCGGGCACCAGCGGACGAGATGGACGGTAGTAATGACAATGGCACCGACGAAGACGACAATGAGGGCGAGGAGCGTGCTCGCCTGGAGCTTGCTATTATTACCTACTTCCACCGCCTCACCACGCAGATTCTATCAGTGCTGTCAGACATTGTCGAGGGCAGCGATGACGACGAGTACGAGGAGGACGCGTACTACGACGACGACGACGGCGAGGGTGCCTATTATGAGGATGATTACGATGACAATGATGATGCAACCAATGCGGTCCGCGGCAGTGGCGAGGGCGATGGTATAGTGGGTCAGTCCAGTCGGTCGTCTGACGACGATGACCTCGTGGATGCGCGCCGTAGCGGTCTTTCCGGCGCCGCATCGTCGTCAACAGCGCTTCTCCTTAGGAGACGTGGTGGCCGTACTTCGTCATCCTCCTCGGCGCGACGACATCGCAACAACAATGCCAACAACAACAACAACAACAACAACCGCAGCCACGCTCGGCTCTACCCGCAGCCTTCGACTCATACCCTCCGCGTCGACAGCGATGCCGTCTCGCGCATGGGCTTGGATGTGTGGAGCCAGGCGGACGCTGCGTTTGTTCGGGACATTGCGCAGCAGTACTTTTCTGTCGGCAGCGGGCTACGTAGCCAGCGTGCCGTGCACGTGGAAAGCAAGGGCATCGAGGTGTGCGGGCTCAAGATCTGTTGACTCTCTGCTGGCGGTCTGGGCATGGGTATGGCGACGGCCACCACAGCGCTTGTCGTTGTGGGCGCTGCTTTGGCGATTGCCTATGTCTAGACTGCCATTGTTCGAGTTTGTATCCGTTTCTTAAGTGTGCTCTGATCGCCCCTTGATCTCCATTCTCTCCTCTTCCTGCTTCTGGACGGCCTCTCTGTGGGTTTTTTATTTCGGAGGGGGCCTCGTGGCGTCCTCGATGGCTCCGCTTCCTTTTACAACCACCTACTCTACGCACTACTCAACTACCTCTCTCTTTCTCTCCCCCATGCCCTTCCCTCGCACCTTTTCTACCCTACGCAACAGTATATGCGGGGAGGGTATCTGGCTTCTATAGCGTGTTCGATTCCATGCGTCTGTCCTACTATTTCCCGCCCTCTTGTCATTCTGTTTTTTCCTGGGACGATTGGCTCACAAGGCTACACATGGCGTTTATTCCATATATTTGCTTTTGTTCAATACGGATTTTTTTGGTCACGCTCATTTTCAAGATGCATATGTTCTTGGATTTCAATGCACGACATAATTGGTGCTTTGTTATACTTCATTGGATGTTCGGAGACAAAAGAAAAGAATACGGTGCTACCTGGTGTTTCCCGCTCTCAACTAAAAAACAGCCCGGCGCCCCTTGCCCTGGGACAGAAACTGGCAAGAGAGCATTGACCGTCGACGGGCTTTCCCAATACAACGAAACTATGTGCGGCCAGACGCTTAGTAGTTGCTGTCGTTGTTGTCGTTGTTGTTGCCGCCGTAGCCGCCCGAGCCGGTGTTGCCCGACGAGCCGTAGCTGTCATCGCCACCACGGCCGCCGCGGTTGCCCGAGTTGCCCGACGAGCCATAGCTGTCGTCGCCGGAGCTGCCACCGAAGCCACCGGAGCCCGAGTTGCCGGAGCCGTAGCTGTCCGAGCCCGAGTTGCCCGAGTTGCCCGACGAGCCGTAGCTGTCGTCGCCACCGCGGCCGCCGCGGCTGCCCGAGTTACCCGACGAACCGTAGCTGTCGTCACCAGAGCTGCCACCGAAACCACCGGAGCCCGAGTTGCCCGAGTTGCCCGACGAGCCGTAGCTGTCGTCACCGCCACGGCCACCACGGTTACCGGAGTTGCCCGACGAACCGTAGCTGTCGTCGTCACCGCGGCCGCCGCGGTTGCCCGAGTTGCCCGACGAGCCATAGCTGTCGTCGCCGGAGCTGCCACCAAAGCCACCGGAGCCCGAGTTGCCGGAGCCGTAGCTGTCCGAGCCCGAGTTGCCCGAGTTGCCCGACGAGCCGAAGCTGTTGTCGTCGTTGCGGCCGCCACGGCCACCGGAGCCGCCGAAGCTGCTGTCATCGTTGTTGTTGCCGCCGAAGCCGCCGGAGTTGCCTCCGTAGCCAGACTGCATTGTTAGCGACGATGGGTCACGGGTGGATGGACTGTCATGAGTGGGGGTGTGGACTCACGTCGTTGTTGTCGTTGCCGTAAGACATTGTGAAGGGTGGGATAGGAAGTGGTTTGTGGGTAGAAGAAACTGAGGATGATGATGAGGGGTGAAAGAAGAAACAAGAAACGGGAAGCTCGAGGGGATGGGGGGGAGCTGACAGGTACTTATGTACTCTTATGTTTCTGAGCGTGGCACAGGAGAGGAAATTGAGAATGAGGGACAGAGACCGTTACGAGGAGAGGGGCAGGAAAGAGGGAGCTTTCAGAGTGCAATGACCTCAATGGATAGGTTGGCCGGGGAAGCTCAGCTGTCGTCGAATGGGGCAACCGGGACGATACATACGTTGGATAGGAGAGCTAGGCAGTGTACAAAGTATTGACGAGGCGTAGGTCGATCCCTTGGTGGGTCTTGGGGCACTTACACGATGTATGGTGCTACACCCTGGTTGAAGTGAACAAAGAGGGGCGCCGAGCTAGGGGGTCCAAGTCGCCCATCACGCAAAATGGCTAAATTAAAAGGAATATTGACAAGGAATCAGAAAGAAAATAGGGCCATCGACGTCACTGGTCACTGGGAGGGCGGGGAGGGGATCATCGAGCTGAAAGGGATAGTTGGCAAAGGAGGGCGAGGGGGAAGAGCAACGATGGAGGGGCAACGAACAAGCAACGAACAAGCCATTCTCTGTCTCGTCATGGTCTAGGTCCTGTTTGCTCATATATTGTCATGTGGGATCCTCATTTCATGCCAGCATGGTGTGCTCTTTGGTCCTCTTTAGGTTCGTCGGCAACAGCTGGCAGCTGTGATGAAAACGTGTGCACTGCCATACGGGCCACCAGTTCGCATTCGATCGTGAGACGGTGCTTTACAACATTTTGGTTGCCATATGCAACTTTATGAACTGAAGGACAGCATTGGATTGCGAACGAGTGACGCAGCATGTCTTGTCCGTGCATTGGCTGTCTGGTAGTGTCCTTTTTCTTACCAGCTTCCAATGTTTCATGGACATTGCGTGTGCATATCTGAAGCTTCATTTCTCTGATGAAAGAGGGGAGCTATGGACCTTCTGAAGAGGCATTGCCAGAGAGGGGTTCTGGTGCTTTTCCTTTTCTAGAACGGTGATCGCAAGAGAGACCATGTCTTACAAGGCCAATACGGCAAAGACTGTATTACAAAATGGATTTATTAATATTAATATTGCGAACTAGGACGAAGTCGACCGCATGGACCCACGGATGATATTTTTGAGAATTCTCCTATGGACAGACAGATCGTATCTTGCACGGGTGGGCCTCGCCTGGTCGAGCTGGATGTCTCCCATGTGGGCAGCATGGCGTAACATTGTGCATTGCAGCTACAGGCCTTGCATACATCGTATTAATTGCGATGTATGTGCGTGTACGGAAAGTAACATGTGCGGCAATACATGCGATGAAATACTATTTCTTTGGGCTGACCACGCTTGAACGGCGGCTCCAGGCACCATTGAAATTTATTCCATTTTGTGCCATATCTGTATGTGGAATTGCTATTGCTCATATGTGCTAACAGTTGTCTAAGGGCCAACGAACTCTCCTTTTGAGCGGACTGACGGCCTGTTTCAAACGCCCGGCCCTACGATAGGCCTTCTCGTTGCGGCTACTCTAGTCCGTAGGCCGCCAGCCGTCGGCCATCCTCTGTTCTGTGTGATCTCTTCTTGTTTTGTTTCCTTCTTGTCTCGTCAACCAGTCGTCAATCTGCAGAACAAAGTAGAAAATACCTCATGTGCTCAAGTGATGCCGAAAGATGACAAGGGGGGGTGGGAAGAGAGGGGGGCGTGTAATGAAAAAAGGAAGCAAAAATATGCTTGTCGATGTTGAAGTTGAGCGCGACAAAGAGGGCGTCGACGCCGAAAAGAAGAGGGGTAATGCACGCTGTCATTTGCAAATGAGACTCAGTGGTGGTGAGAAGGGGCCATTGGCTCTGCTAGCTTGAGTCTACACAACTCCGGAGGAAGCAGAGGAAGCAGAAACAACAGGAACGGCAGAAATGGAAATGTAGCCCGTTTTGGACGAGATCGCGATGGTCTACAGAAAACGGGTCGAACCAAATGGATACTGTGAAACGCCCTTCTGGTGTTTGCACGTGTCATGAACAGCGCGAGTGCGAAAGAGCGTCACACGCAGTGGCTACGTCGCAATCGCCGTTATGCACTGGGGACAAAGGGCCTGACAAACTTAAAGTTTAAAGACGGTCAGTTCTGTAACAAGCGATCGCTGCCAAGGAAAACTGAGAGCGTGGGAGGGACGAAAGGCAATGCAACGCCGCGCCGCGCCCAGATACCAAGCTCAGTGAAATTTGTCCGTTCTTGGCGGAGCGTGGCCTGGCCTCCAGAGCAGATAGACCAGGCGGGCGGGCGGCCTGGGCGGCCTAGAAGCCACGGCTTGGTAGCATTTCCCCTACCACCGACCCATCAAGATCGAGAGCCCGTGGGCCCAGCAAGGGCTACGACGGGATGGACGGGCAGATGAGGGGCAGACCAGTTTGAGCTATGAGGGAGTGAACGAGAACGCGAGAGAATGCGGGATGAACGTCACAGAGGAAATGGACGGGCTTGACGCTTGAGGGACCAAGTGGAGTAGTTGCTTAGCTTGGGAGCTTGTGAGCTTGGTTCCTGTGATTGGCAAATGTGGGAATGGTAGGAATAGTGGGAAACAAGACATCCCATGCTGTCATGTCACTGCATTGTCAGTACAAAGTAATTCGTAGTAGGTCGTCTCTCTGCTTCCTTTTGTGTCGATATGGCGTGATTCGAAGCGCTCCCCCAAACCTGTATGTTTCTGGGCATCGTCTATTGAATCCAAGGAACAGAACCAGGACATGAAGAGACAAAAGAAGTAGCGCCAAGTGCCGATCGATGGCAGTGTAGTTGCAGGAGTGGAAAAAGAAACATGTTCCGGAAAGTGACGAGACGTGATGGACGGTGGAAGACGAGAATCCGGGATAATCGGCTGAGCAGATGAGAGCCTTGGAGGCGATCCCGATCGACCCATGTTCGGCGCATAACTCTCTGTTAGACCAGACTGAAGAAGAAGGTGGGCAGCTTGGGAACAGCGACGGCGTCGGCGAAGATGACAGAAAGGGTGTCGTCAAGTTTGAGAGATAGCGCGTCCGTCCAAAGAGTTGGAAAAAGTAAAGGGGACGAAAAAAGTGGACCAGCCGCAGCACGAGCGGCAAGCGACTAAACCATGTCCAGCTGAAAGTAGAAGAAGGAGGAGGGGAGGGAAAAGAGAAAGAACCAAGGAAGTGCTGGAGGAAAGAACGAGACGAAAACCGAAAACCGAATTTGCCCATCTAGGAAAGAAGCATTGCGTGGCCTCCTGCCCACTAGGGGCTGTGATACTGTGATGCCGGGGGCCGAGATGTGCACAGACTGGGAAAGAGCTGGAGACAGAGAGTAGAGAAGTAGTAGAACGCGAGGAAGGCGCAAGCAGTGTGCGCCGCGAAAGAAAAGGGAACCATCACACACATACAAGCTTGCTATGACGTGAGGAAGGATGTGCCTTACACGCTCCACAGGCACGGTCGCTAGAAACATGGAGATCATAGCTGGCAAGAGCTCTGGACATGCACAGCTTGGCAGTCTTGGCATGCGCTCACAAAGTCGTCGTTGCACGATATCGTCGCTTTGTATCGGTGAAGAGTCTACAGAAACCCATGCTATGCTACAGTAATATACACCATGATCAGCTTATTTATTATCTTCCGGCTGTCCTTCGACTCTCGAATGCCTACAGCTTGTTCGCCGGGGGCCCGGGCAGCGCACCGCTCATGACCACGGGCTCGCCGGCCGCCGTCGTCGCCGCCATCGCCCGCTGCCGCGCAAACCGCGCACCGCCGCGCTGGCCCGTCATGACCAGCTCGCCGCCGCCGCCGTTGCCCCACCACGCGACACCAATGGCGGCGCGCTCGACGTCCATCTCGCCGCTGCCCAGGACCTCCCAGAAGCGGCGCTGGGCCGCCTGCCGCAGGGGGCCGCCCCGCGCATGGGCGTCTTGGATGCACCATATTGTCTCGGCCGCCGTGGTCATCCACTCCTCGAGCACCGGCAGGGCCAGGAAGGGGAGGGCGTCAATGAGCGTGAGCACGAGCGCGCTTTGTTCCGTCACGAGCCCGGCACTGCTGCTCGACGCGAGAGGAGGCTCGCCCGGCGCCTCGCTCGGGTTGGCCGGCAGGGGGACGGTGGCGGCGCCCAGGGCCTTGAAGCGGACCATTTCCAGCAGCGTCTCGGCGAGGTCGGGGTGCGTCGCGTACACGGGGAACGGCGGCGAGAGGATCTGGATGAGCGTTTTGAACGCGAGGCGGAACTGGCGCGCAGAGATGCGCGCGGGGAACGATGCAATGAGGGCCTCGGCGTACACGGGGCCGAGGGCGGCGGCAATGGCAGCGTTGTGTGGGCACGACAGCACAGAGAGCGTGGCGCTGTGTGCCGCCTCAAAGACCTCGACCATGCGCGGCGAGTAGGCAATGTGGGAGGGCAGGGCGGAGACGGTCGCGGGCGCCACGTACGGCAGCGCCGGCTGGATGAGGAGGCGGTCGCAGTCCTCGGCGGGCAGGACGGCCGCAAAGTGCTCGGCGAGGTTGAGGTAGAAGAGGTCGGATGTTAACCGTAGAGGGTCGTCTGTCGTAGCAGTCGTAGCAGGCGGCCGGGCAGCCACCAATTGGCTCAAGAACTCTGCTGCGGCACGCGGATAACGCGCCAGAATGTCAATGGACGCCAGATAGGCAAACTGGTACGCCTGGAAGTGGCCGGCGCCGTCGTGCGACGCCACAAAGTCCAGCCCGTGCAGCACGCGCAGGGACTTGACCGCCAGCTGCGGCGCGACACTGTCCGAGGCCAGCGCGCGGTCCAGCAGGCTGCGTCCGACAATGGCCTGCAGCACGACCGCCGCCGTGTACAAAATCTTCTTGAGGTGCTGCCACAGCAGCGGCCACGTCGTCTGTGCCGTCTCAGCACTGAGGAGCGCCGCTGCCCCTTCTGCTGGTGCGAGGGCGGGCCTATGAAGTATCCGTGCCGCCGTCCAACGCGCGCCGGCCGAGTCCGCCAGGGCCAGCAGCGCGTCGAGCGCCACCAGCACGGCCTGCGGCGATGCCGCACGCTCTACGGCAAACGCCGCCATGGTCGCGAGCGGGCCCGCGCTGGCGACAATCGACAGGGCCTGTTGTGTCTCGCGGCGCCGCAGGTGCTGGAACGACCCCGACGCCTCGGGCCAGTGCAGGCCGCCATTGGGCGGCGGCTGCAGCGACACAAGAGGGTCGCGCGCCACCGCCTCCACGATCCGCCCGCCGTCAAACCCAAACGGTCCGGCCAGCACGTCGGCGATCGCCGGCAGCAGCGCGTCCGTCTGCAGGTTCGCCCGTGCGTGCTCCGACAGCAGGGAAAACGCGTAGTTGAGGCCCATCACCACGGCGTACCGACTCACAGCGTGCTCGGGGTCCTCGGGGTGGTGGTGCTCCGCCAGCGCCAGGTTGGCCGCCGCCACCACGCCCTGCTCCAGGGCCGCCCGCCGGCTGCGCGACAGCGTCTCTTGCGTCTGTGCTTGCTTTTGCGGAGACGTGTTGTCGCCGCCACCCAGCCCCAACAGCACGCCCACCAGCACCAGCAAATGCCGCCAGCGCGGCGACTTGCCGTCGGCGCCCTGGGCCACCGCCCGCGCCCAGTCTTCACTTCCCGGCCGCCGGTCCTCCTTGACGCCCCGCCGGTACGCGGCCGACCCGGCCAGCCCTGCCCGGTGGGCCGCCGCCTCTTCGAGCTCGTGCCGCCGCACGTGCAGGCCGGCCGTGTTGAAGACGCTGACGACGCGGAAGCACGTCTGCGCGGCCGTTTCGGACGAGGCTGTGGCCGCTGGGCCCGCGAGCGGGCCCCAGATGGCCGGGGCCGTCAGAAAGTGCGAGGTCAGGAGCGTGACATTGAGCGGGTTTGTGAGCGTCGTCAGCAGCGAGGTGGTGCTGGCAAAGATGCGGTCGCTGGGTGGTTGCGGATGGTGTGGATGGCCGCCGTCGTGGTACAGCGCGAGCGTCGTCTTGAGCAGCCGCTCGGTCGCCATCGTCGGCTGTTTTGGGCGTGCGCGCAATTGCCGGCAACTAAAGCGAGACGCGTGGGTGTTGTCGTGTTGTCGGATTGCGCTGTGAGGTGGCCACTTTGTCTTGTTGTTGTTTGCTGTGTTGTTGTTTGCTGTGTCGCTCTTTCGGTTTCTGGATGGAGCTGAAATTGGTTGTAGTCATTTGCTAACATGGCAGGTGCGATGCGCGTGCTACCAATCGCTAATCACACTGCCGAGGTATGGGACAAGCGCTGAGTGGAGCCGTCCAGGAATATTAGTCATCAAACCTACCGGGGCGCTAGTCCATATCCGACAATTTGTCAATACGACTGCATTGCGGTGCGAATGCCAATTCGTGCAGCATGGAGTTCATTGGCTTCGGTATACCCTTCTGTTCACGCATCGTGATCTTCAGATTCATCATTTCCGCCTCTTAAAACGAGTCCGGCAAGCAGGTCACATGCAGAACGATTCGACCATGATCTTGAGACCGGCCTGACCTGCTCTATGGCTTGGTCGTATTGCTTGTCAAATCGCACTTGTACTTGGATCTTGAATTTAGGGTCCGGTTGGTAGGCTTTTGGTATTGCAATTTCTTTACTTTGGACGCGCAAAACAGGCCATCTGTTACGGTAGTACGTAAGGGGGCCTTTATTGGCAAGCAGCCGCATGTTAATAGCATGCTTAAAGACACAATTATATGGTACAAGGATCGCTGGCCCCCCGGCAGTCCAACAGCTGCCACACGGAAGGCATGCTCTGCAGACGAGAAAGGACTCATATATGCTCTTCAGCCGCCGATAAGGACCAGTAAAGGAGTCAGCATACAGGGACTGCGCCGATACCGCCCAGACGAGTTAGTTGGGAGGACATCAGAGAGTCCGAAGCGATAGACGCCTGGCGAGCATACCGCAATGCAATGGCGGCAGCGTCTTTTGCGCCACGCTGTCTTCGTGGGATTCACCTCTGAAGTCAAATTTCTCATTCTCTCTCCTTCCGAGGCCGCTTGGGCGTCGGCGTCTCGACAGCTGTGCGGGTCCCATATTCTGATGACGCCAAAAACGGCGTAAGCTTTGCCACTCATAAGCAACAGCGTCATCTGTAATTTTTTGGCGGCTGCGCTGCGATGCGAGCGCTCTTCCGCAACGGGGCTGTGTCTGTTGGTCGCGTTCCTCGTCCTGTGGTCGGGCGTGGTGTTGCAGCGCCGCGCTGTTTGCTGTGCTTGGTCCCGCGCTGCCCGCGTCCACGGTTCGGCAGCTCGTGCTCGTCGTCTGCTGCGCGCTTTCTCTTCCGAGCCTCCGGCTTGCGTGTCGGCTCCGGGGTTTGTCGCTGCGGTCCAACGGCGGCGGCCGGCCCGTCCCTGAGATCCCGCAGCGGTGACGGCGTCTGCGTCCGTTGCCGTCCTGGCTCGTCCGGCCAAGGTGTCGCGGCGGCCGCGTTCGTGCCCCCGCTCAGCCACGCCGCGACCGTGTCCGTGCTCCGGCCCGTGTCGTTTGTCGCCCCCCTGCTGAGCGCCTCGAGTTCCTCGTCGATGGCGCGGTCGAGCAGCGCGATGCGCATCCGCTCGCCTTTGGAGAAGTGGTGCGCCGTCAACCGGCCGGCGCGCACGTCCTCGTACGTGCTGCGCAGTTCGGCCAGCTTCTGCTCCCAGTAGGCCACCGTCTCGAGGTCATCGAGTAGTGGGGGCTTGAAGCGGGTGTCGAAACGAAGGTCGAGGTCGCTGTCGATGAGCACGTAGCCGGCGCCGGCGCCGTCTTCGCCGTCTGCGTCGTGCTCGCGGAAGTGCGTGTCGTATTTCGGAACATACAAGTCTTCGCCGTGCACCACCCACTTCCCAGCCAGTTCGTGGTCCCACAGAGACTCCAGTTGGTTCACACACCGGGATCGCAGCACAAACAGTGACTTTTCCCGCGCTCGCGATTCGGGCGTGTCCTTGACGGGGGGGTTGACTTTCGCTTCTCTGGCAAACACTGCGAAAGCGTGGCTCGTGTCGGCTTTCAGTAGCTCTAGTGTATGCAGCTCCTCGGGTGTGAAACGGGGCTGCACAAGTCCCTCCTTGGCTTCATTCAGCTTGCCGGTCAGCTCCTTGAATTTTGTTTCCCAAAAAGGAAGGTCGGCAAAGTCTGGTGCTGGCAGGCTCCCAGCCCAGGTAAGCTCAAAGTCAATAGCAAGCTCACCGTCGCCCAAAAACAGCGTGCTTCCATCGTAGGTGGCATCGCGGATCACGATGCTGGTCTGGTGCGCGCGAGTATCCGGGCGGGTATCGATGGCAGGGTGGTAGAGGTCTTCGTTGTGCAGAATCCATTGGCCGGGGCGCCCGAGTATTGCAAGAAGAAAGAGCAGGTTGAACACGCCAACCTTTTCATTGCGTATGGCACACCGTTTTCTCTCCAATACTACGCGAAAGACATGGCCGTACTGCTGCTCCAACGATTCGATCGTCTTCAGCTCCTCCGCTGTAAAACGAGGCTGCACAAGTCCCGCCTCGACCTCTTTGATCTTCTCGCCGAGATCGCTGCGTTTTGCCTCCCAGAACGCAACGTCGTTAAAGTCGGGTGCCGGTCCCTTTCCGGCCCAAATGGTGCCTTGCTTTAGGCCTGGAACACTAAGGGGAATCCCTCTATTAGGATCGCGAGAATGCGGCCGCGTGTCGATGTCTGGCCGATATAGGTCTTCGTGGTGTAGTATCCATAGGCCTGGCCACTCGAGGTTCGCAAGGTGTGCCAACTGGTGGCTAACTTCGGTAGCTGCGTGCTTTAGTTGCATATGGTGCCGGCGCTGCGAAAGCATGCGTTCTTGGGAGGTGTGCGCGCGGCTCGCGGCGGCGGCCGGGGTGGAATCGGTCATCGCGATGTCGTTGTCGCAGTTCAAAGAAGGAGAGACGATATCTTGTGTGGGAAGTGGTGGAAGAGGGCGCGCGATGGCAATAAAATGGCCGTCGTGTTTGGGGTGCAGTCGTCGGAAGATGCGGCCACTTCTCGTCGCGTCGCAGTCCCCTCATTTTAAGCGCTCTGCCTCTGTGGCAATTTGGCAGGCGGCCTTGCGGCAAGCCCCGTACCGCCTCGACGGGTTAACGGGCGCCAACCAAATTAGTGCGTGTGGGTCCTTGACAGCGCTTCCAACCCTCGCAACCCTCCAAACCAACCAAATTCATACCAACACGATATAAGAATGTGCAAAACTAGGCTGCAGAGCAGGAGAAACGTTCACAAGTGTGTTCGTTTCAAGGCGGTCTTTTTTCTTTCTATTATTTCTTCCCGCCCCAGACTCTCTTTTTTATTGTTTCTCCTCTCTTCTTGTAGTCTCTTCATTTGTAGTTTCTCTTCTCAGTCTCTCTTCTCAGACTCTCTTCTCACAGATTCTCTTCTCACAGACTCTTTTCACACAGTCTTTCTTCTCGCAGTCTTTTATCTACTGTCTTTTTCCTTGCAGTCAGTCCTCTACACCGCACTTCATCTCCTCGTTTTATACCCTCCGTACTTCTGATTCCGTCCAAGCATCGGTATTCAAACAACACCCGAGTTAGCGGCACAGCAATACTGGGTCTCACAATGGCCGATCACAAGACCATTTTCATTGTAAAGGGGCCCCTAGCGCTCCTTGATGGCGAACATAACAAAAAATTCTTTTCCAGCGAGACACCGCCGACTGAAGACGGCGATGTTACCAGTCAGCATACGGATTCAGTCTACAGAGACCACGGCACGCCTGAGCCTGACAGGTCCCAACCTCTCGTCCTTCGAGTCACTACAGACCACATTCCGAATGACAATGTTCTTGGTTTCGTAATAGGCAGAAATCCGCACAAGTGCGACATCGTGCTCAACGATGCCAGGATCAGCGAGACCCATCTTCATATGCGTCTGAACTTGAAAGCGAACGCCAACACCCTCGTCGTGAAAAACAGGTCGAGACACGGCACCATGGTTCGTTTCTCCTGGAGAGCCAAGTAAAAGTGTTAAAGAGCACCAAGGTGTTGATGAATCTCGAAACGGCAGACATCAGAATTGGCAACGACCTGCACTTTCAAATCCAGCACTTTGACGATCCTGTGGGCTGGAAAAATTATTGCGAGGCGTACGCTCGCAGGGTCGGGGCCTTGGGCATTGCCGGGCTGGGGCTGAGCACGCAGCCGGAAACTACCAATGCTTCCAAGAAGCCGCCTGTGTACATTCTGGATCGCCGGCTGGGGAAGGGAGCAGATGGTGAAGTTTACAGAGCTGTTGAAAGACGCACCGGCGATGTGTACGCCATGAAGCTGTACCACAAGCCCGAGAAAGCGCGGTGGCAAGAGCCAGCGACGTTGCAGCGCCTGAACCACGTACGTTCCGCCTTCCCTTCCGCGTGCACGCGAGATTTCTCCGCACTAACAACGCACGACCCAGGAACACATTGTTCGGTACGTGGCGTACAGCCACGTGTCCGGCCAGTCTCCGCAGCTCATCATGGAATACGTCGAGGGGCCCAATCTCCAAGAATACATGGATCCGCGAAACAACTATGCACCGCTGCGCATGAGCGAGGCCCGCGAAGTGCTGCGGCAGCTGCTCGAGGCATTGGCGTACCTCAACGACAAAAACGTCACACATAGGGACGTCAAGCCCGCCAACATCATCCTGGTGAGCCGCCATCCCATCCATACAAAGCTCGTCGACTTTGGCTATGCCACCGACGTGTCGTCGTTCAAAACCAACTGCGGCACGCCTCTGTACCTCGCGCCCGAGCTCTTTACGCGGCGCGGGGGCTGGTCGTACAAGGTGGACATCTTTGCGATGGCCGTTGTCGCACTCAATCTGCTGGGCATTTCGGTGGACCTCACAAACGCCACCGAACCGCGGGACTACCTCCGCACCGTCCTGCGACAGAGACGGCTGCTCACCGCCACCAACCAGTCCCCCCCAGCACAGTATGACCTCGTCGTCCAGCTGCTTGCGAAGCGTCCTGACGACCGGCCATCGGCACGCAAGTGCCTGGACCACGGGGTTTTCCAGGACAGCTCCGATCCCGACGACGCCCTGGACACCCATGGCCTTGTCCCGGACCTGCAAACGCAGATCTTCCTCACTGGCCGATGGCATGGGGAGGGAGACAACGCATCTGAAATCGCCACCGAAATTGCCGACACCCCCTCTGGCCCGCTCCCCGCTGAAGCAGAAACAGCTTCGGGACCATCGCCGGTGCAAGAGGAGGGCGGTACAGGGCGTGTCCAGCAACGCAACGAGGAAGCCTCCGCCTCTGGCATTGCTGAAGAACTGGGTCCGCGCAGCAGCCGCCACGCTGTGTCGCTTCGCTCGACAGCCAGGCGCAGTGGTCGCCAATCCTCGTCGTCTGTGGCAGAAGGACGGAAGCGCCAGAAGCAGTCGCATGCCGTCGCGTCGCGCGGCGGCCGTCCTACGCGAAGCGCCAGGTCCACGGCGCCGTCGCCGCCTTCCCGTCGGCGCCACCGTGCACCCCGGTCGTCGATAGCGAGTGTGTTGAGCGGCGCTGCGGACCAAGCAAGCTGGGACTACAATTCATCGGGCAACGTTGTCGACACCGACAGCGATCTCCCAGACACGGCTTCGTACGGGAGCGTGCAGCAGCATCAATGGGCTTCGGATGGCGGCCGCCAGGCCCCAGAGCAGACCGGGAACGACGAGGACGAGTCGGGGTTGGACTTGCACGACGGCTGCTGGATGGACCCCATGCATGCCCTGGGCGGTTTTTCCTCTGTCTCTCGACTCGGACAGGATGATGGTGGCCACGCCGCTGCTGTGTCGCAGCCGGCGTCTGACACGACACCGAGCTTTTCGTCGCTGGGGGGACTTGGCTCTCTGCACGGCCAGAACGGCGGCTTTCCTGGTGCTGTCGACACGGAATATGCATTGGGGAGTGCACATGGCAATACCGCTTCTCCACACGGTGATGGATGGTTCCAGTCAATGCCCGGCGCCAGTGCATCTTTGCGGCAGGATGGTGAGCCGACGGAGCGAACGCCAAGAGGAGACGCTGGCGAGAATGTGCTAGAGGGAGCTGGTGGCGAGGATGAGGACGAAATCACCCATTCAGAAGAAGCTGAAGACGAAGAAGTGGAGGAAGAGGCGGAGGAGGAAGCTGCTGATGATGACGAAATCAACGGCAACGATAATGGCCATGTTGATGACGGCGACCACGACCACGACGATGCTGCCAATGATGACGATTATGATGAAGGAAGCAACGAAGAACACGAAAATGACGAGTACGGCGAAGATTCGAGAGTGGAAGAACTGCCAGGCAGCGAGGCGCGAGCCACCAGCAGACCCATTCGGCGCAGGAAATCAACGTCGTAAGTTATTTCCGTTTCTGCATGTCGTACATTTCAGCACACAGCTCTCATGGACACCAACTAACCATGTCACTCTTTGGCTTATAAAGACAGCTCAATAGACAGCTGCTCGAGACAGAATACCTATGGAATCCTCGACCCAGCAATGCTGATTACATTCGTATTCTGCAGACAGTCTCGATGGACAAGAAACAGCTGCAGGTAGGACATGCCGCCAAGTCCGTCTATTTTTCTTTCTCTACCTTGTGTCGGTTACTGATTTTCTCGATCCAGGTGTGGTTCCAAAACCGACGACAGCGCGACCGGCGCGTTGCAGGCACCATGGACGCTGCGGTGCTCAATGGCGCCGGTCCGGCAGGGCTGCCGCATCAGGGCCCCTTGGAGGCACCGCGAGTCCGTGCGGACGCGGTGGATGGCTGGTTGAATTTCGCCGACATTTGCACGGCGGCTCAGACAGACGTTGCCACGCGCAGCACCTGTTTGCGGCTCCTCTCCGGCCACGGCGTAGTGTCTCAGCGGCACGGCCAGCCGTGGATTCCCTTTGAAGACGGCTGGTTCCTCTGCCAGAGGCTGGACCTGGATCCTGCGCCGCTTGTCATGCCCGGTCTGCCTGCGCCAGAAGAGCCACCCAATGTCTTGAAAAACTACCTCTTTCTGTCTGCGCCGCTACCGCCCGCGTACAACGTCTTGTGGTGGAATGAAAAGGCAATACCCTACCGGCCCCAGGCCCAGACGGTCAATGCAACTCGGCTCGTGCTGGCCATGGGCCTGCAGAGAAATGTTGTTCAGAACTGGCTCGCGAAACGGACGGTCGTAAGGACGTACGTCAGGGGAAACAACACGGTGCAAGGCACCTACCTAGGACTGAACGACGCACTTCAGCTCTGTATGAGCAAAACGTTGGATGTGTATCCGGTGCAGATCATTGCAGGAGAGTGCGGTATAGTGCTCGATGATTTGGCTGCCGCGACGGGAGGCTGACGAAAAGGAAGCAGTTTAACAGTGAAGAGCTCTATATAGTCACTAGCGGGTCATTTTTGATGACAATCTAAAATTTATAGACAGAAAGCATCTAAATCATGCTCACAATACGCAGCACAAATATTTACCTTACGGTCTCCCACCGCTCTTTGTCTGGCTAGGCACAATCAGCCTCATCAGTTCCTTACTAATTGTTCTAAAGTCGTTGATAAAAACAACGTCTTGGGTGACGGACTTAATACTAAGCCCGCGATCCTTCGATTCCTAATTCGACAAAACGAACCCATGCCAAGCAGGGCGAGGGGGATCACCTCCGTCGTGCAAGTCTATAAATACAGCTGTACAACCAACTTTCCAAATCTTGACGTACGAAAATACAGGAACGGCAATCCCTTCCAACCAATTCAAACTCTGTCGTGTTCTATTTTCATTGCTCTATAATTTTCGTTTCCCACAATGGCTGACGGCATCTTGGTCCTCGGTGCCGGCGAGCTGGGCACCGCCGTTCTTGAAGCATTGGCCCGCCACCCGAAGCGCGGTGACACCAAGATTGCGGTCCTGCTGCGTGGATCCTCGTCGGCGGCCGATCCGGCGCGGGCCCAACTGCTCCAGCACCTGCGGGACGACCTCCACGTGCATTTCGAAACGGCCGACGTGGTCGCGGCGTCCGTGGCCGACTTGGCCGCCGTCTTTGAGCGCTACCACACGGTCGTCTCCTGCAACGGCATGGGCCTCCCCGCCGGCACCCAGACCAAGCTGAGCCAGGCCGTCCTGCAGGCCCGCGTCCCGCGCTACGTGCCGTGGCAGTTCGGCATGGACTACGACGCCATCGGCGCGGGCAGCACGCAGGACCTGTTTGACGAGCAGCTGGCCGTGCGCGCCTTGCTGCGGTCGCCCAACAACGCGACGACCGACTGGATCATTGTGTCGACGGGCCTGTTTATGAGCTTCTTGTTCCTGGCCGCATTCGGCGTTGTGGATCTGCCGCAGCGGACGGTGCGGGGGCTCGGGCAGTGGGACAACCGCATCACGGTGACGACGCCCGCGGACATTGGCACCGTCACGGCGGACGTTCTCCTCGATCCGCAGGGCATCCAGAGACAGGTTGTCTACGTGGCCGGCGACACCGTCTCGTACAGCGACGTGGCCGACCTGCTGGACGCACACTACGCAACCACGTTCAAGCGCGAGCTGTGGGATCTGGGCGCGCTGCAGCAGCAGGTGGCAGCAAATCCCAACGACACCATGGTCAAGTACCGGGACACCTTTGCGCAGGGCCGGGGCGTGGCCTGGGACAAAGACATTACGGTCAACGCGCAGCGCCACATTCCCATGAGAGACGTGCAGCAGTACATTCAGGGATTTGACAAGCTGTAGCCGACAGACTTATACAAAGAAAGGATCCAAGGCATCGAAAATGTATCTCCCGGTCGATTTGGCCGGAGCAGGAGTCTAAAGTGGTTATAGTTATACGCTAACGACACGGTCCATGGTGATCAGTGTGGCCCTTGCATTCTCAACATACAACGAAAAATTGAAAAAGAAACCGCTATTAGTATCCTCCCATGGGTTTCAATAAAAGTCATACATGATAAATGTGGAATACAAGTGAATATGGGGATATTGTTGGACCTTCGCTCAGGAACATATGTGACTTTTGGGTGGTTTTTTGCCCTTTTACGAGGGCGTCCCGAATTACATAAGCGCTCGATACAGCTTAGCTCCAGCGCGTCATTCAATTTGGCAGGCACGTCCCCTTAATAATTGGCAGGTGCCCCAGCAATAGCCAGAACCACCAAAACAAAACCACCCACCAAACAACCGACACCCGACAACAAAGCGACATGCGCATACCATAACGAAACCACCGCAGCCATGACGTCGTCACTGTCGTCGCCATCGTCGACGATGACCGCGCCCGCGGACAATGGCACGTCCTATGCCAGCTTCAGCCAGGCGCCGCCCGGTTACAAGACGCCCGAGTTCCCGAGCCTCTACTGGCCGCCGCAGACACCGACGGCGCACGGCAGCCTCTACTATCTGTACGACATTTGGCGGTTCACGCTGCTCTGGACGGTGATTCTGTACGCCGTTTTCCACGCGGGCGCCGCCGTGATTGCGCTGGCGATGCAGCTCATCTACTCTGGGCGGCCCGAGTACTGGCGGTACCTGTGGACGATTCCGGTGACGTACACGGTAGTCGCGGGTATCGAGGCCCTGTTTGCCGGCAGTTTTGTCGGGTTGATGTAGGTTGCTGTCCCTCGGCTGGCGCAGGAGGCAGGAGCGTTGTTGCACGCGGAACGCGAAAGGGGGCAAACCGAGAACTCTGCTGACCGACCTACCCAGCATTGGCGCCGCGTACCTGGCCGGTCCGTTTTGGATGTCGACATGGATTCCATTCATCTGGGGCTGGGCGAACCTGCTCATCATTGTCATCTCGTCGTTTTCCATCCAGGGCTATTTGTGAAACGAATGCAGTGGCCAAAGACGGGCTTTCTATTCTATCGATCTACGGACATACGCGACGACGATCGATTCACTTTCCTTTCCCATTCTTTTTTGAAACGGCGTCCCCTCTCTTCTAATCCAGCTTCCGGATCACCCGCGCCGGGTTGCCTGCGACGACCACGCGCGGCGGCACGTCCTTGGTCACGACGCTGCCCGCGCCCACGGTCGACCCGGGCCCAATGGTGACGCCGGGCACCACCGTGACATTCCCGCCGAGCCAGCAGTCGTTACCAATCACAATGGGCTTGCCCGACTCCGGTCCCTTGATGCCATTGCGCACCGCCCCGTCCAGCGGGTGCCCGCCGCTGTAAAACGAGCAGTTGGGCCCAATCATCGTCCGGTCGCCCACCGTGATGGGCGACGTGTCGATCCACGTGCTGTTGGCGTTGACGTACACGCCCGTCCCCAGGACGATGTTGTACCCGTAGTCGGCGCGCAGCGGCATCTCGACCCACGGATCGTCCTGAAACAGCGCCTCGTCGGCCTCGGGGGTGTCGGCCGGCGGCGGCAGCGGCCGGTCGTCCATGTTGAGCTTCCTCCACAGCGCGACGAGCTCGCGCCGCGGCGCATCGCGGGGGGCCTGGTTGAACACGTGGCAGGCCTGGGCGCAGCGACGGCGCTGGGCCGTGAGGTCGGGCGTAAAGGCAAAGTAGAGCTCGCCGTCGAGCATTCTACGGCGGTTCTCCGCGAGCTCGTCGGGCGTGGACGGGATCTTGGCCGGCAAAGCGGCGCTGTTGTTGGGGGCAGCCATTGTCGACGGCGTACGAGGGAGTGGTGTCGACAGAGTGTAGTTGAAAAGTACAATAAATAGAATGCTAAACCACAGCAAACCACCTTTGTTGGCAAGCGATCAGTGGGCTCTTTTATATGCGTCCGCTCTCTCGTGTCTTACTACGTGTCAGCGTGTCCGGTCGCAAGTGAGTGGAGGAATAGTAGCGCTGTACGGCCAAAAATGGTAAGAAACACGCCGTCAGGTCCGATCTCCGCGAAATTAAATGGGAGGCAGTGCTGGGCGTTTGCAAGACGTTGCAATTCCTTCCCGATTCCCACTACTCGATCGAGGGGTTGCCTTGTGGACCCCTGCTGGGTGAGAGGTTGGCGGTCCCTAGCGTAGCTTGGCGCGTGTTTTCAGTGGTCGTTTCAGGTCCTGGCCTTTCGACGGGAAAACTTCGGAGATGCCACATCACGACAACTGGTCACGTTTGTAAAACTTGCTGGAGATCTCCGGCGTGCGCTCTAGATTTGAGGAACAGGACAGAATTTGCACAGTTGAGCGTGCAACGCATAACTTCGATGAGTTGACGGCTCAATCCGTAGGGGTGCATTATTCATATGGCCGGGGGAAGGGCGGCAGGGCGCCTAGTGACCGTTTTTAGCGGCGTCAATCGCCGAATGCAACAAAAACGATCTTCTCCCAAAATGAATTTAGCTGTCTCTGAACGCACGTCGCGATCGATCTCTTTCACACCAACACCAAGACTGGTAGCGTGAACCCATTGAGCATTCACCGGTCGAGAACAATACCAACGGAAAATATAGTCGAGAGCAGACGGCAAGGGGGAAAGCCTCGCCCATATGCTCACATCTCAGCTCATTGAAGGTGTTTAAAAGGGCCTGCTTTCTCGTCCCAGACTTGACCAAACCCTAAGTCAATTTTGATCCAACGCGATATCGCATTCCCTTCCTCGCATCACATATTCTTCTACTCCACGTCTCGTCGCGTCGCTGTCCGTTTTCTTCCATCTCTCTGCCCTCATCACCATGGAGAATTCGACAGGCGCCGACACCAATGCCAATGGCGCATCGTTGCGGCGGCCCAGGTAAGATCTACATCGTTTCCCTTGCCCTTGTCAGTGCTCCCTTTCTAACGTATTGCCAGCCCCATTTCTACGACGTCGGCTTCCTCGTCCGCATCACCGGCGCCACGCCGCCCAAACGGACTGGACGCCGCAGCCCGAACCGCACCGCCACCCGGCATTGGCTCGCCAGAGACGCCGGCCATCGGGTTCCCGCCGGATGCTGCGTCGTACCCGGGCCAGACACGGTCGCTGGCCGGCATCGCCCTGCGTGCCTTTTGCCTCGGTGCGGCCCTCGTGGTCGGCGTGGTGTCGGGGACGCTGCTGGTCCTGTTGCCCCGCCTCGTCCCCGGCGTCCCCGGCGCCGGCGCCGGCATCGACGTGCTGGCGCCCCTGTGGCGCCTCCCCTTTTTCCTGGCCGCCCTCGCCACCTTCCACTTCCTTGAGTTCTGGACCACCGCCCGCTACAACACGCAGGCTGCGAGCATCGACTCCTTTCTGCTGACGGCCAACTGGCCCGCCTATGCGATTGCCCACACGGCCGCGTCCGTGGAGTGCCTGCTGCGCTACACGCTCCTCCGTGACGTGCATGTGTGGACGCACCTGCCGTTCGCGCTGCCCCGGACGGCCGTCCTGGCCACGGGTCTCGCGGTGGTGGTCATCGGCCAGGCCGTCCGCACGGCCGCCATGGTCCAGGCCGGCCGCAGCTTCAACCATACCATCCAGCACAAGCGCGCGACCAGCCACGCCCTCGTGACAGACGGCGTCTACGCCTGGCTGCGGCACCCGAGCTACTTTGGCTTCTTTTGGTGGGCGCTGGGCACGCAGCTGGTGCTGGGCAACGTCGTGTGCCTCGCCGCGTACGCCGTGGTGCTGTGGCGGTTCTTCTTCATGCGCATCCGGCACGAGGAGACGCTGCTGGTGCGCTTCTTTGGGGACGACTATGTGCAGTACCGGGCGCGTGTAGGCACCAAGATTCCGTTTATTTGAGGAGAGCCAAAAAAAACAAGAGCGCAATGGCCAGAGTTGAGTGTGAAAGGACTGCATGTGCGCTGCCAACGTTGTCTTGCGTCTCATTGGAACGCGGCCTGTTTGTACAGTCTGGTTTGAATTCCATATATCCCACCGTAGCCCATATATAATCTATACGCGTGCTGAAGAGCAATTACCCAAAAATATCCCAAATATACGATACAATACAAATTTGTCCTTATGCCATTCTGTATGTGGGTGTGACGACCTGCCTCCGCCGCTCGTTATGGGTGGCTGGCCAGCTGCTTGCTGACACTGCCGTATTTGGCCTGCCAGGCGTAAAAGTACATGAGCGCCGCAAAGGGCTGCCCGAGCACGGTGAAGGAGATCCAAAACGTGCAGTTGCCAATCAGGCGGCCCGTAGCCGAGTGCATCTTCTCGAGCGGCATGGTCAGGAAAATGAGCGGCAGCTGCAGCAGCATGCCGAAAAACGCCACGCCAATAATGTTGTGCGTCGGAATGCCGACGGCCAGCTCGTGCAGCAGCGCCGAGATCAAAAACACCATGAGCGACGCGGCCATGGGGCTCCAGCCGCGGCCCAGCAGCGGGGAGTAGACGTGGCGGCGGAAGAAGTGGTAGACGGGCTTGTTCCAGGTGCGCCAGTAGGTGCCCAGGCTCTCGCTGTTCCACCAGTCGTCGTAGAAGCCGCGGTCGCCGAAGCGCGTAATCTCGGCAATGGCGTTGAGGAACGACTGGAACACGGCGAAAAAGCCGGCCAGCCACACCACCAGCGAAATGGTCGACAGCTTGAGCAGGCGCTCCAGGATGGCAAACAGGTCGAGCGAGGCAATCTTGGCCAGCGAGTTCTGCAGGACGGGCGCCGCATACTGCGCGCTGCAGAACCAGATGAAGACGCTCAGGCCAAACACTTCGGCCAGGCGCTTGGCCACAAACATCCAGCGGATCGGCCCGGGCGCGCGGGGGTACGCAGGCTGGTAGACGAGCGTCGGTGCCCACCAAAAGTACACGAGGTTGCCAAAAGTGATGTTTTCCGGGTAGGGGCACTGCGCATAGAGAGCGGGCAGCGCTTCGCGTTCGCCGCGCGAGGGGTGCAGGTATGCATGGCGGAGGTCGCGGTTTGTAAAGGCATAGGAGGCCGTCTTCAGCCAGACAACAATGGCGTGGACCTCAACAAGCGTGCCCACGAGGGGGTGGTGGATGTGGAAGTACACCACATACGAGGCAATGGCGAGCGCCATGGAAATGTTGGCCGCGTGCAGCCAGGCGACGACGTGCCACAAGGCCGTGAAGCGGCGGGCCTCGTCTTCGGTCGGGCTGGACGCACCCGTGCTGCTCTTGGCGCCGTTGCTGCTGCTGCTGCCGCTGTGGCTGCCGGCGGCGCCAATCTTGTTTTGCAGTTTGGCTGCCGTCGTCCGCTTGCGCCAAACTTGCGCCTGCTGCGAGGCGCCAAGCTCAATAAGCAAGGCGACAAAGAGATGGAGGGGGATCGAGAGAAACAAGACAAGGCCGAGGAGAACATCATGCTGGCGGAAGTCGTGGCAGCGGACACAGATGAGGACGCCGTACTGGAGCTGTTAGATGGGGTGTGTTGTGTGTGTGTGTGGCAGGCCAGCGGATATGTAGCGAGTATGTAGCGCCATGTGCAACGTACCTTTTGGATGTTCTCAATCATAAGACGTAGGTTGCCGGCGACCAGCACAATCACCATGAGATTGCGGAAACCGAGGAAGCTGGGCGAGATGACACTGTCGTGGCTCAAGCAGGACGGCTGCGTCTTGGAGTGGATGGCGGCGACATGGCGATACTTGCGCTGGAAGGCCTTGCGCAGCTGCTGGATCGTGGCGTCATCGTGTTGCGGCTCGATGGGCGTGCCGTCGTTTTCGCTGGTTTCTTTCGTCAGCCGGGCAGGCACCGGCTCGTTCCTGTTGCGGCGCTGCGTGAGGCCGCTGGCGCTCGCGTTTGCAGCCGTTGTCGTGTCTGCCATGTCCGTGACAGGCGCCTTTGTGTTTGCATGGATATCTGCGTTGGAGGCGTTGAAGGCGTTGGTGGCGCTCATGGCTGTTTTGGCATTTGCATGTGAAGCTGCACTGGTGGAGTAAGCAGTGCTGCCGTCATTGGCGGCGCGGTCTTCTAGGGCAGAGACCAGTGGACTGCTGTTCTTGGTGGTTTGCGAAACCGTGGTGCAGCGTCCATTGCCAATTGCAAGATGTGCAGCGAGGCCGATTGACGAATTCATTGCAGAAAAAGGAGAAGTCAAAGGAGAAGAAAAAAAGGAGAACATAAAATATAAATACAACGTCCAGGGAAAGAGGGGTAGAACGTCCACGAGCTTCGTTTGTCGGCGGTTCTTGCCAAAAGGAAGCTCTGGGCAGGCTAAAAGAAGGCAATAGCGCGGCTTCCTGCGGCGTGAAGTTGGTACCTGTATCTGACGCTCTGTAAGTCGTACTAACGGAACTAACGTGACGTCGTTGAAAAGCGGCCGCCAATGCGAGACGCCAAAAATGAAAATAGCAACCCAAAATTTTCCGTCGGTCGCTGTTACGGGCCGAGGCTGCTCACTGTTGCGTTTTCGTATTGGCAGTGGCGACTGGAAGGGTAGGACCGGAACAGTCGACAAACAAGATAATGGAAAGGCCGAGATGAAATGTAGGAGATGCAAAAGATGCCGGGAGTGGGAGCGACTGCGAAAATATTTTCAATTGGCAAAGGAGGAAGTGCAAATAGGAAGTGACGTGAAAGTGGAGGACCATAAAAAAGCGAGATGGGACGGTCTCGACAGTGTTTATATCTTTTGCGACGGCATACGACACTGAACACGTTCGGACAATAACGCGACGCCAGGAGTGCAATAGGAATCACGAAAACTGCGACAAAAAGGACGAAAGGAATTCGAAAAGGGAAAAGGGTCTGGCCAAGAGTCAGCAAGGTGACAGTGTCCCAAGAGGTGTGTGGTATGAGATTTGGAACATGTACATATCTCCCCGTATCTTTGCAGTCCTCTCTCAAGCCACCAACACACAAGTCAAGGGACAAGAGGACGAAAGAGGCAACATGAGAGACACCCAGGTACCAGATAAAAGACAACGGGCACCGACAGAGACAACCTGGCAGAAGCAGGCCAAGACAAAAGCAGGCCAAGACAATGCTTCGGCTGACGAATGCCTGTCATCCCAATCACATACTCGCCCGCAAATGAGCAAATCCCTATCGCGCAATCTTTATGACTTGCGTCTGCTTGTACGGCATACACTCCAACATTAATACATTGGTAAATGCAATGTTCTTGAGTCCTGCATTGTGGCCTTGTCTTGCCTTGTCGAAGAGCTCGTCCGATTGACAGCCTACTAAGACGGGGATCTTCGTTAGGTCCGCGGGGGATTGACGGTTATCTAGAGCCAGTCCCATATCTTTTATCGTTCGGCCCACGCGAATTGGAATTGGCTAGTGGCGAGAGCATCTACGAGCAAAGTAACAGAGGGAGGAACCTCGGGGAGCGAAAGGAAAACGAGGGAGATACAAGCAGGGATGCAAGGCTCGATGCAGGAAAGGAGGAGGGAGCTACAGGTACTTTGCACAACAGGATGCAGGTGTCCGAGCGTGGAAAGAGCTCGAAGAGGTTCAAAGATAACGGGGGCATTCGCAACGTCTGCATCTTGGGAAGAAAAAACAAGGAACGAACAATATACATTTTCTGCAACAGCACTTATGCACGCCAACGGCAACGCCTAGAACGCGCCGCGGCTCACCGGCATCACACCTGTCGTGCAGTTTGCATCCAGTAGTTCGCCTAGTTCGCCCCGGGGCCAATCACAGGTGTAGGTGCAGACACAGGCCGGGGTAAAGTCGAACCAGACACCAGAAAATGGCGAGAGAGACAGCGACGGACAGGTTTGGTGAAAATCCCCGAAAATAGAAAGGGATGGCGAGCTAGCGATGTGATAAGACTGCGAATGTACGATATTGGCATTTGCGGAAGAAGCAAGTACAAAGGCAAGAACGAAGGGCGAAGGGCGCGCGGAGAAATGCAGTGTTCTTCGGGGAAGGAACGATTGTCAGGTACGACAGCAGGCAATAAGAGACATGTCTTCCCAATAAACTCAAAGAGAAGAAATGATCGAAAAAAGAAAACATAATCCAAGACAAGTTGAAAGCAAACATTAAGTGTCCAGCGCCGCGTGTACGGAGTAGAGTCGATAAAAGAGCAAGGGGTACAAAAGACGATTGTCGTTTGTCTCAGTTACGAAAGCGGACTTGGGTAGCTCATTTCTGGCCAATCAGAGGACACGGCCAGATCCAGAGCTTGAGTGGTCGGAGCTCCTCACGATGAGGCTGGCTCCACTTTTTGTGCCTTCCCCATGAACCAAAACGCGACGCAGTGCAAAAAGCGCGGCTTCCAAAAGCAGCTCAAAGAAATGTGCATCGCATCGCCAAAGCGACGGCAACGAACACGACGACCACAGTAATAGCAATTACGACAAGCTCGCAATTCCCACGACGACGACATCTGCGCTGGTCACGATCGTCGGCTTTTATAACAAACTGCGACGATCTACGGAGCCTAACGTGAAGCGCATCTGATTGGCTTCCCTCTACAGCGTTATCATCACACAAGGCCTCCGTCCTAGCGGGCGCGTGCGCCAACCATGGCGTACGATCCACGAGGGGACTACGGCGGTGGCGGCGGCGGCGGTGGTGGTGGTGGAGGTCGGTATGGCCAGGACGGCGGCCGGTACGGAGGCCAAGATGGAGGGCGGTTTGGCGGCCAGGACGGCGAAGGCTTTGTCAGAGTTCGGGGACGGCGACCCGTGACCGATTACGGCGCAAGCCTGGTGCATTGGATGCGCCATCGACATCCCAAGTACCGCAATGCATACGGCGGCGAGTCCGAGCGGCCGAGCGTGAGCTACATTGTTGACGTAAGCCCGCTGCCCTGTGCCCTTCATGTTATTTTCCTTCCGCTTCTAACTCCCCTCTAGATGCTCCCACCAGTGGCTCGTATTACGAATGCCGCCGATACCGTTCCCACACGCCACCTACACTCGTCTCTCAACAAGATCAAGCACCCCGTCAACGTCGTGCGCTGGACACCCGAGGGCCGCCGCCTGCTGACCGCCTCGAGCAGCGGCGAGTTCACGCTCTGGAACGGCACGGGATTCAACTTTGAGACCATCATGCAGGCCCACGACTCGGCCATCCGCGCGCTCGCGTACTCGTACAGCGACGACTGGCTCATATCGGCCGACCACGACGGCAACATCAAGTACTGGCAGCCCAACTTCAACAACGTCGAGAACCTGTCGGCACACACCGACCCGATTCGCGACCTGGCGTTTGCCCCGACCGATGCCAAGTTTGTCACGGCGTCGGACGACTCCACGCTGAAAATCTACGACTTTGCCGCCGCGCGGCCCGAGGCGACACTGACCGGTCACGGCTGGGACGCCAAGACGTGCGACTGGCACCCGACCAAGGGCCTGGTGGTGTCGGGCTCCAAAGACCATCTGGTCAAGCTCTGGGACCCGCGGTCCGGCCGGTGCCTGACGACGCTGCACGGCCACAAAAACACCATTACGAAAACGTCGTTTGAGCGCGTGCACGGCTGGTGCCTCGCCACGGCGGCGCGGGACCAGACGGCGCGCGTCTTTGACCTGCGCACCATGCGCGACATTTGCTTGCTGCGCGGCCACGACAAGGACGTGTCGACCCTGGCGTGGCACCCGGTCCACGGCAACCTGCTGAGCACGGGGGGCGGCGACGGCGCGCTGTTCCACTACCTGCTCGACGAGCCAAACACCCCGCCGGGCCAGGCCGTCACCGTCGCGCCGTACGACAGCCCCGACCCCTCGACCGCCCCCGCCCAGAGCATCTACCCGGCCCACCGCGTGCCCTACGCGCACGATTTTGCCATCTGGTCGCTCGACTGGCACCCGCTGGGCCACATTCTGGTGTCCGGCTCCAACGACCGCGTCACGCGGTTCTGGACGCGCGCGCGGCCGGGCGAAGACGTGTCGCGCGACCGGTACCACATTGGCGAGGCGGCCGCCGAGGCGCAGGGTACATGGGACCGGCGGGGCAACCGGCGACAGCGGCAGGAAGAGGAGGAGCAGGAGATGGAGGACGAGGCCGAGGGTCTTGTCGACCAAAAAATGCCGCTCAAACAGCAGCAGGCGGCGGCCGCCGCCGCCGCCGCCGCTGCAGCAGACGCTGCAGCACATGGTGGCGGCGCTGTGCCACCACCACCGATGCTGCCCGGTCTGTCGCTGCCCGGCCTCGGTGGTGCGACCAGTGGACGTGGTGGTGCTGGTCTAGGTATGATCCCGCCGCCGCCACCACCGCCGCCGCCGGGCGTCCTGGCCGCGGGTGGGGCACTGCCGCCACTGATTCCGGGCGTCGACATGAAGAACCCTCCCGATCCGGCGACGATGCTGGAGTTGATGAAGAAGGCCGGCTTCCAGCTGCCACCGCCCCCACCAGGAAGCCATTTCCCGCCCATTCCACCACCGCCACTGCCAGCAGGCGTAGGTGGCATGGTCCCGCCGCCGCCGCCGCCACCTGGCTTCCAGGGGGCCCTGCCAGGGCTGGGTGGTGGCGGCATTCCCGGCATTCCCGGTCTGCCGGGTCTCGGTGCCGAGCAGCAGGGCCAGCGGAATCGTGCACCACTGCCCAGCCAAGCAGACAGTCTCAGGGAAGAGCAGAAGCGGGGGCAGTACACGCAGCGGCGGTAGGTTCCGCTGCTGTGTTGGCGACAGGAAGGAAAGAGACGAGGAAGAAAAATGGAGGAGCTGCGGCATATTCCTGGTATTCTTACATATGCGGCACAAACCCGGGTTTCGAACTGGACATACATTTTGCAGGGCACAGGTGTCATGGTATGGGGATTTCCGTTCGCAATTACTTATTTCTCACGGCGTGATCAAGGTATCTCATGGAGCGCCCGTTGGCGGCTCGAGCAAGTTATTTGTATAATATCAACCACGCAAAACGATTATTTGTTCTTCATTGTATTCTCATTCACATTCAGATATGATATCTCCTATGCTGTGCTGTCTATGCTACAAATGCTCATTCTCATCTCGCGTCCTCTCTACCGCCGTCCCCCTGTGGCCACTTGCTTTTGCCGGTCGTTGTACTCCTTGACCACCAGCGAGCACGACGTCTCCGCACACAATCGCCGGCGCCGCTGTGGCGGCAGCTTCGCGGCAAACTCCAGGCCCGACGCCCGCTCCACGGCCTCCAGCGGCACCTCGAAATCGCTCAGCGGCTTCGTGTTGGGGATCGGCGCGTTGGGCAGCACAAAGGCGCCCAGCGCCACCGGGGCGCCCGGGTTGCCGCCGGGCCCCGTGGTGGGCGCCGTCTCGGCGTAAATGACCTTGTAAAAGTGCGTCGGCACGGCCACGTTGGGCGGGCTGCCAATCATTTCATACTTGACGTACCACTTGTTGTCCACGGGGTCCTTTTTCGGGAGATAGAGGGGCCCGGTGACGATGCGCACGCTCGGGTAGCGCGTGGTCAGGCGGCGGCAAAAGTCCTCGAAATGGGCCCAGTAGTCGCGGTTGAAGCCTTCGCCGACCTGGGGACACATGTTGGTGAGGAAAAACGTCTCGTTCATGGCGTCCTGGCTCCACTTGCAGTCGGCAGCGGGGACCTGGTGGCCGCGGTCGTAGCCGGAGCGGAAGTAGTCCTTAAGCTTGGCGCGGAACGGCTCGGGCACGGCGGTGTCCTCGACAAAGACGGAGTGCTGGCGGTCGCCGTCACGGACGGCCAGGGACGCCGGGGTGATGTGCTCGGCGACCCAGTGGGGGTTGCGGGTGCGGCGGTCGTAGGAGGAGACGAGGGCGCTGCGGGGAGCGAGGTCGTTGACGGGGCCGGGGAAGCCGTATTGGAACAGGCCGGCCGGGTCGACAAGAGCGGCGGCTGTGGCAGGGACGGGCGGCAATGGTGCCGGGGCGGGGGCGGGCGGTGGTGCAGAGAAGACCTTGGAGGCGGGCACGGCCGAAGATACAGTTGTCGACGTCGTCGTCGTCGTCGTTGTGGCCGTCGGAACAGGCGTGGCACGGTCGGACGGCTTGGACCGCAGCGAGAACATGGCGGCCGTGGCGGCAGCACCGGCACCAGCACTCACGGCCGCGATGACGGCGATAGTGGACTTGGACATGGTGGGCGCCAGTGTGGGGGCAAAGGGTGGAAGTGAGGGGGGCGTCGTCCTCGGATCAGAGGTTCCGGTCGATGTTGATCTTTTCTTGCCGTTTTGAGGTCAGGGTCCCCTAAAATTATTTTTAGCGCCCTGGAGCATCTGGCGGAGCCCCTGGAGTTTGACAGCCTTCTCAGGCACAGCTGGCGGATAGGGTACTAAGTTCCATATTCTAGCCAATCAGAGGGATATATTGGGTGTGGTGGTCGATGTACGGAATATGTTGTACGTCAGTGCCTACAAACTATGCCCCCTGCAACGAGCTATAGTAACAGCTCCAGCATGAACATACTATGCTTCCAAGGACCTCCAGATAAATACATAATTTTGTCAGCCTCGTACTACGTTTCACTGTGTTTTATTATCTCGTGCTCTGTGGTATATATGCATCCTACACTAAAACACAGCACACAACTGTAGGTCTAGCCTCGCAGCCACTTTGAGAATTTTGGCGGTCAATGGTGGCAGAATTAGGTCTGTTTTGCAAGCCTCCACCGCCCTGGCTTCACCGTGTTTCGAACCCGCCGCCTGTGGTTGGCTAGTGGGGTGCTCGGTGCCCGTGGGTCTAGAGCACCTTCCCCAATCCACCTCACTTCAAGCTGAGAACCCTGCTGTCCACCTGCGTCACCGTACACAGTATGGCGCTAGTCGCAGTGGCGATTGCCTGTTGCTGACCTATCGTCAGCGCGCTGAGATCGAGAGTCGATGCCGCCTCTGTTTTATTTCTCGACTACTGTGACAGGTCGATCACCAAGTCCTGCCACCCTGCTCTCCAGTGCGTACGATCAAGCTGCCGCTGTAGGAGGCTCCTTCATTTCACTCCTTCCCATCCTGTTGCTGCTTCCTTCTTCCCTCACGTTAACAGTGACCATCACCAAGCCGGCCGTGCTGGCTTCATTGTCCGCTTCATCCGGCGTCCTCTGCATTGCTGCAAAACAGCAAACGTATTCATTAGCTCTTGGCTCCCCGTTGATTTTTTTCTCGCTTTCTCTCTTGGTGCTCGACGCTGGACTGCCCTTCGTCAGGTATCGCCTCGTCACGTTTGTCCACTCTGCCACTGGTCGACTTGCGCACCTTGACGGCCACCCCATTCGCCTCAGCGCAAGCCTCAGACCAGGCCATCCCACATCCCACGCGCAGTCTAGTCCAGTCCAGCTGGTCCCTTGTGCGTCTGCCGTTGCCCGCTGGAACCGTGGCCTCCACTACGGGCGCTATCTTGTATCTTGCCATCTCGTTTCGACTTGCCTGGTCTCTTCTGCCCCCTTTGTTTCTACCCCGGAGACTTCCTTTTTCCCTTTTCGACTTTAGACTTTGAAGCTACGTCCTTGCCTCAACGATCTTTCTTTTTTGGTGCCCAAGTTCGAAAGACGATGGTCGTGGCGTTGTTAGCAGACCCTTGATCCCTGACACGTTCCTTTGGTCATCCTCCTCTCTCCTCGTGTCTCCCTGTCGTCCACCATCACGGTGGTCATCGAGGTAGGCAGCCATGTCCACCACGGCGGCCATGGCGTCTCCGGACGGCAGTATCTCCAACGACACGCGCGGGTGGATCCTGTGTGCGATCAGCGCCATCGGTACGTGACAGTTCGTCTGAACGTTATTGACTTGTCCCTTCTACGTTCTAACACTCCCAGCGTGCGTCGCCGGCGCGGGCATCGTGTGTGTCGACATCTTCATCCGCATGCTGCCGGGAAAGAAGAGCTTCAACATCCAGGATAGCAGTGCCTTTTTGTCGTCCTCGTTGAGTCTCAGCTTCGGCGTGATGGTGAGTCCCCCATGGCGGCTTCATATATGTGCAGGCATACCATACCTTGATGGCTAACCTTGCTAGATCTTCTCCTCCCTTTTCAGCATGCTGCCATCCTCCAAGAGCTACCTTGTTGACGATGGCCTGACCGACCAGGCTGCCGGCCTGCTCATGATTGGTGGCTTTGCCTTGGGCTTTGTCGGCATGCAGATCGTGTCCCGCATCATCCACCGCTTCATGCCGTCCCACGTCGTCGACTGTGATCACACCCATGATGACGACGATGACGACAATGACGAGCCATCACACTCTCACGCACATGGCTCTCACGGCTCTCATGGCCGCAGTCACGGCCACGCCCACCACCACGGCCATGATCAGGAACCGTCCTCCAACACCTACTTCCGCGTAGGCACCAAGCCCCGCTTCGTCTCACGCAAGTACTTCCGCCAGCGCTCCGTCGACGCACTTGCGACCGAGTCTACTCCACTCCTCGCAACCGTCGAAACGGCAACTGCAACTGTCCCGGCGGGCATTGCCGACGCGCGGGCGTCTCCGCAACGCCGGCTCTCCACACGAAGCGACGACATCATCGCGGCCTCCAACCCGCCCACAATAGGTGGCCTACAGCCGAAGCGATCCCTCTCCAATCTGCGTGCACCGTCCATGGTCAATGTCCGCAACCGCGTCATCTCCTTTGTCCAGGACATCAAGTCCAACTGTGACGAGTTTGGCCCGTGCTACGGCTACACCGACCCATGTGGTCAGGAGTGCAAGCGGACAATCACGATTAAGACGCCGACATCGACCCTCCGTGGCAGTGTCCTCCCGCACCCGCCAAAACGTGCAGCTTCCACACCGTCCTCCAACTGGGAGGCCACAGTCGTAGTACCCGAAGTCGTGCCCGAAGAAAATGGTGGCGATACCAGTGCGAGCGTCAGCCGGTCTGAGTCTCCCGGTGCAACTGGTACAGTACGAAGGCACCTTATCGACACGCACGGCCACATTGAAACGGACGAACACTACTACGATGCCCACTTGTCCGCCGGCAGTGGCGAGTCTTCGACGAACGTATCTAACGAAGAGGCCGGCAACAACACCACCAAGCATCACGACCATGATCACGATGGTCACCACCACCACGATCACGACGAGGGCCACGAGCATGGCCACTATTACGAGGACGACCCCGACGCGGATGTCGAGGCCGGCGCCGCTACCGGCGGCGGTCACCCACACCACCACCACGTCCCCGCCAACGCCTTTTTGTCCATTGGTCTCCAGACGGTTCTCGCCATCGGCCTCCACAAGTTCCCCGAGGGCTTCATCACCTTTGCCACCAACCACGCCAACCCGGCTCTTGGCTTCAATGTGTTCATGGCCCTCTTTGTGCACAACATCGCCGAAGGCTTCGCCATGGCCCTGCCCCTCTACATGGCCCTCGGCAGCCGCCTGCGCGCCATCCTCTGGGCCGCCGCCCTCGGTGGCCTGAGCCAGCCGCTCGGCGCCGGCTGTGCTGCCCTGTGGCTGAAATATATGGCGCGCAACGACAACGACTCGGGCGACGGCACGGCATACGGCATCCTGTTCGCCGTCACCGCCGGCATCATGGTGGCCGTGTCCCTTCAGCTGTTTGTCGAGAGCCTGACGCTGCACCACAACCGGCAATTGACAGTTGCATTTGCCTTTTTAGGCATGATGCTGCTCGGCATTAGCAATGCCATTGGCACGCACTGATCTCTGCACGGCTTGTGTTTTTGGTTACTTTGTGTCCGTCTTTTATCTCGCTCTTTTCTCGAGTTCTTTTTTTCAGCCCTGGTTTCCATCCGTTCGTGGTTTCTCAGCATTTATGATCGTTCAGGGGTACTCGCCGTACTGGAGTTCTTTGCACGTTTGCCGTTCTTCCTTTGTTTTATGGTATTTATTGGGTCTGTATTTCATCTGTGATAAATCATTTTCGGTCATTGTTTCTAGGGGCATGCATTCGACAATAAACGGTCGTCCAATAATATGTACATTTATTTTTATTTTATTTACAAAAAATGACTTTTCCTGTCTTTGTAAAAGAGAACCCGAAGACGAAAAATAAGCTAAATAAAAATAAAATAAAATAAAAATGCATTTCTATTTTTTGTCTTTTATCAGAAAACAAATACTCCTCTTTTTGAGTATAATAACAGTCCCATGGGTATCTCTTTTAAACGCCAAAAACAATGATAACAGACGAGTCCTTACTCCTTTTAATCACTACCCCATCCATCGCCGTCCTATAAGAACAGATTCGGGTCGAGAAAGTTCATGTTGGCACTGGTAGCCGAACTGCCACCGTTTCCCCCCTTTCCGTCGTTGGCGTCATCGCTGCCAATCAGCCGCCGCATCTCGCCCTCATCCATATGCCATTGCGGGTCATTGTTGTTGATGAGCACCTGCGAAGGCAGCATGCTGTCGTTGTGCTCTGCCTGTGCAGCCAGCCCCAAGTCAATATTGTCCATACTCATGTAGGTCTCAAACATGTCGTCGTCATGGGGTGCCAGTGCGCCGACATCCGCGCCATCGTCGTTCATGTGGTCGCCGCCGCCGATCCAGAACTCATCTGGGTTGAAATCGTTGTCGTCGTCAACATGTTCAGCGTCGACAGCGCTCCCCACCGTCGTAGGGTTATGGTCCCGCTGGACGTGCACGTTGAGATCGTGGTGGCGGACAAACCGCGCGTCGCAACCGGGCAGCGTGCAGACGAGGGTCCGGTTCGTGCCCAGCAGTGCATCAATGAGGACATCCGCCGAGGGTGTTGCCAGGTCGTCGTTCCCACCAGCGGTAGCACCACCGAGACGCTGGCCCGGCGTAGGCGACGGCGAAACCGTTGGCGTGCTGCTGGCGACCGCGGACGACGCAGCCAGCGGATCGGCATCGACGACGATAACCGGCCCAGGCCGTTCGTGCCGCAGATGCACGTAGCGAATATGCTCCTCGAGCTTCATCTTGGACACAAAGCCCCGGCCGCAGCCTTCGCCACGCGCTCCCCACGCAATCAAACGGGGGTCGGTCCAGCCGTGGAAGGCCTTCCGTTCAGCCCCCGTGCCTTGGGCAGTAGGTGTGCTGGCCGCATCGGCATCGTCGCCGCAAACAAACCGTAGGCCCTCGTGCACTGCGCGGATGTGCACGTTGAGGTTCGCCCGCCGCGTAAACGTCTTCTTGCACCCGGGGTGCGGGCACGCAATTGTCTTGCGATCGGCGACGCTCTTGCCCGAGTGGTGCATATCGATGTGCTTGTGCAGGTCCGCCGGGCCTCCGCACCGCACGTCACAAAAGGGGCAGTTGACATGGGCGTGGCGCATATGCGCCTCCAGAAGCGCGCGGGTCGCGAAGCCGATGCCGCCTCCTTGTCCGGAGGCATTGGCCCTCCCGCATTCCTCGCACCAGAACTTGGGCGCCGTGTGGTCGCGTTCCACGTGGCGACGCAGCGCGCCCGCGCTTTCAAAGACAGCCTTGCACGGCATCTTGGTACCGGATGCACCGCCCACGCCAGGGTTCGTAATCTCGTGTGTGCAGACGAACGCAGGCTGGTGTAGGTGGTCCACGCGGATGTGACGCTGGAGCGTCTGATGCTTTCGAAACGTGCGCGTGCAGCCGTCGTAGCCTCGGCAACGGAACCGTTCCTGGCCCTCGTGCACGGCGGCGTGGCGGCGCAAGCGTGTTGCCGTCAGAAACGCCTTGTCGCACTCGGAGCAGAAATACTGCCGCTCCTGGCTGTGCGAGCCCTTGATGTGCTGCCGCAGGTGCTTTTCTTCGAGGTATGTTTTGGGGCACTGGGTGCATTTAAAGGGGCGGTCGTTGGTGTGCGAGCGGAGGTGGGCGGTGAGGCGCGCGGGTCGGTTGAAGGTCTTGGGGCAGTTGGGCCAGGTGCAAGGGATCGTCTTGAGGTCGGAGGGAAAGCGGCGGGAGGATGTCGATAGGGCCGTGGTCACCGGTGTTGTGTGTGCTTCGGAGGATCCTCTGTCGCCGTCCTGGGACTCGAGGTCAACCTCGGTAGCCGATGGCTCGTTCTCCGCAGGGGCCTGCGTGTTTGTAGATTGGTCTGAGGCATGTTAGAAGCCGCTCTCCCAATCGTCGACTGTCTTCAGTCCAACCTTGATGCCATCTTGTACCAACCTTTCATTTTGTGGTGTAGTTCGCTACTTGGCGGTACTGGCCGGTCCGCCAACAGTTCGTCGGTCGCCTTCCGCTTCATCTTGTATATCGTATCCAGACTGTGTGCTCAATCATGTCTGTTTCTTTCGATAGATTGGGAATGGCGACGTAGATATGTAGTCACTTTTGCCGCCTTTCCATTGTTGTGTGGGAGATCCTTGGCTGCTCTTTCCGTGCGGTGAAGGCCAAAAAATACAACGGGCAGAAAAAAAGTCAAAACTCGGGTGGGGGACGGGCTTATCGATAAGCCACCTAAGTTCAGCCACCTCGTTCTGTGTGCATGGCCAAGTCAGCCAATCACAGGCCGCGCCGCCTCCAAACTTTTTCTGCTATGCAAGGAAGGAGCCAATGCTGGCCTTCGTCAACCTGTAGCCTCTTTGTTCGCAAGCAGACAATACCAGGGAGACGCCATCTTTTTGCTTGTTGTCTTTTTATTCTTTTGCTCTTCGCAACGCCGACCTCACGACAACCACGTCGCAACGACACCGCGATATCGATCACCTCCCTCTTTTCGCCTCTACACTCGTTTCGCAACTTTTGAATAGCCTCCTTTCATAATGTCGGACGACGGCTACGACGATGTTGGCGGCGGCGGGTAAGTCGGACACATGAAATGGCCATGTGCATGTCCATGATTACGTCGTCCTTTTCTAACACACAACACGCAGCGACGAACCTTTGTACGAGGACGACGATGTCCAGGAGTACTACGATCCCGAAGTGCTCGAGGGTGACGAGGAGGGCGAGGGCGCCGGCTACCAAAACGGCGACGGCGAGGAAGACATGGACATTATTGTGTCGGGCGATCCGTCGGCGGCTGCAAACCAAAAGAACGGCGGCGGTGCCAACAGCGGCCAGAACGGCGGCCGCGTCAACAATGTCAAGTCGCACAAGGACAAGAAGATTCCCAACGACCAGCGGACGACGACGCCGTTCATGACCAAGTATGAGCGGGCGCGCATCCTGGGCACCCGTGCGCTGCAGATTAGGTACGCTTTGGGGCCCCCTCGATTCCGCAGCAGCAGGAATACACCAAAAAACCAGCGTACTGACCAAATAGCATGAACGCACCTGTGTTGGTGGACCTCGAGGGCGAGACAGACCCGCTGCAGATTGCGATGAAGGAGCTGCGCGAGAAGAAGGTGCCTCTCATCGTGCGGCGGTACCTACCCGACGGTTTCTACGAGGACTGGACGTGCGAAGAACTGCTGCAGTAATTGGTAGACAGTCAGGGCGGGGGATGGGTGGAATGTCTACGGATGCCCACGGCGACGTGGCCGACTGCGAGACCGGGTCTGCATTTAGCGAAGGCGTTATTTTCGAAACTTAATTTGCGTACGAAACTTTGGATGGTATTTAGAATGTGGTAGAAGAAATTATAATCGGAAAAGATATACAAGTATATATTAAGAACTCAAAGGATGGGTCTGGAAGTTTGTGAGTAGGAGTAGGCCTTGTGTTGTCACGACTATAATACGAAATGCAATACGCCATGCATGTCTGTGATTGTGATTTACGTCGTGTCATTTGTGTTGGGTAGAAAAACGTTTTCATATTTTTCATGTTTAATTTCAGCGTCTTCCCAACGTTTCCTTCTGTCAACTGTAGAAGACGCAGCTCTTCGAGCTACAATATGCACATGCGTGAATTTCGACCAGTAAACAAAAAAACGCCTTGCCAAATGGAGTTCCTTTTCTTTTCCACCGCGAGTAACAGCCCCCTGGTTTGCTCCCAATCTCTTCTTCTAGCCGTCTTTCAACAACGGTGTGGGTTAAGCCAAAATAGTTGTAAGGAAGTGGAGCAAGTCTTTTTGTTTCATATATTACAGTAAACACAACAGCACAGAAGCATGAGGGGCACGAAAACAAACAACAGACGTGAATGTAAAGCAGCCACAGCCTGTGCTGAATACCACTCTAATCTTCCTCGTCCGTGTCCGTGTTCGTGTCGCTTGTGTCGTCGGCCTCCTCTTCTGTGCCGCTCTCGTCGTCGTCGTCGTCCGACTCGTACTTGGCCTTCTTTACTGGTGCGCCCTTGGCAGCGTTCATGATGCCGGCAATGGAGTCTGTATGTACCGTTTTGTTAGTGGCTGCATTTCATTTCACGCTTGCTTTGTTGTGTTGGTGCCATGACGTACCTTCCTCCGGCTCGCTAATCTCATCCTCGTCGGCCATCTCGGCCGCCTCGCTCGCGTCCTTGACGACCAGCGTCACCTCCGTCTTCGTGTCAAAGCCGATGTAGCTGTCGCACATGACGTGCATCACAAACGTGTACTGGCCGGCCTGGGGTGGCGCCATGAACTGCGCCTTGAGCGTCTGCATGTGGAATGTCGGTGTCTTGCCGTCCTCCTGAAACAACGGGCGGTCAAATGCCGTAAACGTAAAGGGAGGCACAACCATCTTGCCTTGCTTGGAGTCGGTCAAGAACACGTGCCAGCGCGGCGAGTAGTCGCGACCAAAGTACGGCGCGTACGCCAGCGGGGGCAGGTTGGGCTTGCCGTTCCCGGCATCCGAGGTGATGGCGGTGCCGTCCGGGTTGCGGCCGACAATGGTCTTGGGTTTCCGGCCCAGCAGCGCGTCCATGTCGTCTTCGGCTGGGTCTGTGTCAAACAGATCGAGCGGCTCGACCTCGGGTGCCGACTCGGCGAAGCCGGGCGGGATGAAACGGCCCTTGACAACCAGGCTGACCAGCGACGAGGGGATAATGTGCTTCTCGCCGGGCACTTTGAAGAAGGCCTTGGTGACACGGAGCTGCGGCAGCTGCTTGGCGACCGAGACGGCCTCCTCGTACTGCTCGGCGGTCAAGCGGCCGCTGCCAACGGCAATCTTCCTCCGCTTGGCGTCGGGCAGGTCCATGAGGCGCTGGATGGGCATGGTGACGGTGGAGTCACCCTCAATGGCCTTGGCGATGGCCGGCGTGACGTGCGGCAGCTGCTGGAGCGGCGAGGACTTGGGCGCCAGGGCCTGAATGACAAGCTGGGCGGCCTTGAAGGACGCGATGACGGGCGCGGTGTTGCCGTACGCCAGCGCAATCGCAGTAAAGGAACGGGTGAGGGTGTTGGCAATCGGGGCGACTTCGAACTTGTGCTTCTCCAGGGTCGCGTCGCCGAGGTCGACACGGCCCAGGTAGGCCCACAGAAGAGCCAACACCTTGCGCCGGACGCCGTTATCGAGGTTGTCGAGCTTCTCGCGGTCGGCCGTGGACAGGCCCGCAATGGTCAGGGCAGAGGAGGTAGTCGTGGCGGCAGCGTCGCCGTCGGCAGAGGAAGCAGCCGCAACAGGGGCGGTGATGCGTGCCTCCACCGTGGCCAAGCCCGAGTCGGCCTTGTCGCCGGGCAGGATGGCGTCAAACTCCTTGCCAGTGGACAGGGCCGACACGAGGCCTGCCTCGTCAATGTCCTCCTTGTACTCGTGGAAGAGACGGTTGGCGCTCTCCATCAGCACGCCCTCCTTGGACTTGCTCTGGGTGCCGTACCACCACGAGCCCACAACGTAGGGCAGCAGCACGCCAAACAGCAAGAAGTACAGCAGAACAACGTACTTGCCGTTGCCGTCGGTGATGATCAGCTTGGGCAGGCCGATGCTGATGCTTGTGCCCTGCTTGCCGTCGGGGTGGCCGTAGAGCAGGTAGTTGTTGCGGATCTCCTCGTCGGTCAGTGCCTGGTAGGCCTTGGAGATGTCGACGTAGCGCTCGTTGAGCATCTCCACGGTCTCGTTCTTGGAAACATCGGGCTTGATCTTGTCGGGGTGGAACTTGCGCGACAGCTGCTTGTACGCGCTCTTGATGGCTTTTTCTGTGGCAGACTGGAGGCGGTCAGTAAGGCGACACGTACAACGAAAAAGAAAACAGAGTAGACAGAAATGTACACACATCTGCAATGCCCAGGATATCGTAGGGGTTCCAGACGCGCTCGATCTTGGCAGCCTCGGCGAACTGGATCAGGTACAGCATGTAGCCGATGGTGGCCCAGCCGACGGTGACGGCCAGAATGAGGCCCAACCGCCGCTGCTGGCGACGGTACTTGGCGCGCTCGGCATCGACGAGGTCAGCGTGGTTGTGGCGGAACGTGGACTGGACACGGGGGAAGACGGCGGCCGGGTTGCCGAGGCCCTTGAGCAGGACGTAGGTCAGCGGCAGCGTAATGATGACGGCGAGCGTGAAGACGAAGAACGGCCACAGATTGCCCGTCTCGTCGTAGTCGTAGTCGACGGCCATGGCGTTGAGCGTGCGGCGCGAGACCAGGTGGCGGGATAGGAGAGAGAACGAATCGACGGACCAGCGATCAGGCCGGGCAAATGTGCCGACCGGTCACGAATGGGAGGTGTGGTTGGCAGCTCCTTCGAGGCACGCGCAGACGAAACGAGACGTCAATCGACGAGGGACGAGGAGTCTCGTGAACGGACACGAAAAGTAAAGACAAAATAGGGAAAAGGAAAAGGAAGGAAACGAAAAGAAGAAGACAAGACAAAATAGAAGAGTAAAAAGGAACGTCGGAGAGCAGCAGGTTGCTCGTCGTGGGTGCTTGGTGACGTTTCGCAGAGTGGATGTGCAAAAGGTGGGAAATGGTTACAAAGTGTCCCATATACGAATTATCTAGGGTATTTTTAAGTTCGCCAAACCATCTTGAATCGTGGCCTTCCCCAGCAGGGAGGCGACGTGCATTATTGGGGCGGATCGGACGAGCTACCAATAAGTTTTAACACTGTGCTGTGACGTGCCGTTTCAACAGATATTGAGTACAGTGTGTATACATTTCGCACTGTTAAGCACAAGCCTCCTATATTTGAACGCGCACAGAAGGACCCCCCCCTGAGTTGCCCAAAGCGGTAGACAATTGGAGAGCCCTCCAGTCGCACAACTGCACTGCGGCAGGTCCGGACCTTGACAGGAGACAATGCACATTCGTGCAGAAACGGAAGCGACGACCCGAACCAGGAAATACGGACAGTCTGTTTATGTACAGAGTGCGTTGGCAAGAGACGGGTAATTCTGGATAAATACATAGAACCACGACCATGCCTTTTACAAACACTTAAAAGGTCGGCTGCCTGCATTCCAGCAAACACAGTACACATTACAGTCGTTGCACACGTCGCTGCAAAGGTCATGTCATTTGTACGATTTTATTTATTTCTTCTATCCTATGGAACGCCGGTAGTCTACTTTGTGAAAAAAAAAGAGAGGATGAAAATGGGATGAAGACATGTTGGATAAAATAGGACGAAGTAGATAGGACGAACGGGACGACACCACACGTTTTTCTCCAAGTCTTATTTTTGAATTCGATCCAGTCTGCAAAAAACGAGCGGCACAGACCAACTATGCAGCCTTGACAATGATGGTTGTGGGATGACAATGGGGGGAAAGAAAGAAGGAAGAAAATTACAAGCAAAAAGAAATAGAACAAGAAAAAGAGTAGACCTCCCGAGCGAGAGAGCTCTTTACCTTGAACGGGGCAAAGAGCGTAAACTTTCCGGCAGGGAAGGAGAGGAGCCTCTCAACAACATAACAAACGGACAACAACCAACACCCAGAGGCCAAGACGAGGAACCAAAAAAGTGACAAGATAGAGCCAAAAACGTGGAGATATGTACTTGCCGTGCCTCACCCTCCTATGCGTGACAGTAGCTGGGGACGGACACGCTGCATAATGAGGTAGGCCAGGCCCGCTAGGACAACGAGGAGGACAGCCAGGACCGGCGGCAGGAGGACCAGGGCCGCCACGACGAAGATGCCGATGCGCTGCACCACGGCGAGCAGCCGCTCGTGGCGAGCCGTCGTCCGCGACGCGGCAGAAGCGGCACTCCATGCAAAGTCTTTTCCGCGGTCCTTGGCGTACTCTTGGTTTTCGTACTCCTCTTCGTCCTCGTCGCCAGAGTCGCTCTCGTCATCCTCGTCCTCTCCTTCCCGTGCGGGTTGTCACTGGAATTGGAAGCCGCCGGGGAAGCCGCGCTGACGTCCGCCGGATTGGTTAAAGTGGAAGCCACCTGCGCCACCACCAGGGAAGCCACCGGCGCCGCCAGGGAAGCCGCCGCCGAAGCCGCCGCCGCCCTGGCCACCCATCATACTAAACAGGATCTCGGGGTCAATGCCGCCGTGCATGCCGCCGCCGCCGCCAAACATGTCCGAGGGATCGACCAGGTCGTCGCCGCTGTCGTAGCGCGCGCGCTTCTGTGGGTCGCTCAGGGTCTCGTACGCCTCGCCAATGTCCTTGAAGCGGGCCTCGGCGGCCTCGTCGCCGGGGTTCTTGTCCGGGTGGTGAACGACGGCGAGCTTCCGGTAGGCCTTCTTGATCTCCTTGTCGTCGGCGTCCTTGGCCACGCCAAGGATCTTGTAGTAGTCCTTGCGCTGGCTCTTCTTGAGCTCGAGCTCGGCGCGCTTGACTTCCTTGAGAACGGTGCGGTCCTCGGGTTCGCGCTCGGCCAGCGCCTTCCACTCGCGCACGGCATCCTCCCAGCGCTCGGCCAGACCGTACGCGTTGGCCTTGGTGCGGCGCGCCTTGGTGTAGGAGGGGTCGAGGGCGATGGCCGCATCACAGTCGGTAATGGCCTCGTCGTACTCTTTGAGCTTGAGGCGGCACAGCGCACGGTTCTGCAGCAGCTTGGAGTTGATGCCGCGGTTGGCCGGGTCGATGCTCAGCGCGTCCGTGTACTTGTCAATGGCCGCCTGCCAGCGGCCTGCCTTGTACTCTTTGTTGCCCTCTTCCTTCATGCGGTCCAGCTTCTGGACGATGCGCAGCCATTTGATGGCATCCTTCATGTCCGGGTCCAGGTCAATGGCGCGGCGGAAGTGGCGCTCAGCCTGGGCGTTGTCGCCCTGCGAGTAGAGAGCGCGACCACGCAGGATAATAGCCTCCGGGTCCTTGTCGTTGTAGCGCAGCAGCGAAATGGCGGTGTTAGCGGCCTCGCCGATGTTGTTCTCGCCGCCCATCTTGAGATAGGCGTCACCGCGCATCAGCTGCCACTTGCGGGGCTGCATGGCGCTCGGGCCCAGCAGACGGCTCGCCATATCAAGAGCGTGCAGCACCATGGAGCCCGTGGTGCCATGGTCGAGGGCATCACGTGCCGCATTGACATGCTGCAGCATCTCCTTGGCGGCGGCCATGTCCTTGGCCGACGGTGGCGGCTGGATGCGGCCAAAGGTCAAGATGGCGTCCTCGGGCTGGCCGAGGCTGGTGTAGATGCGGGCCAAGCGGAGCAGGATCTTGGGGTTCTGGGGATCAAGGTCGGTGGCGCGCAGGCAGTCCTCCAGGGCGGATGAGTAGTTGCCTGCAGACATGTATGCCGCCGCACGATTGCTCAAGTAGGTGGCAGACTGCGGTACCAAGTTGACGGCTGACTATGTGAGCAAGGGATTGAGACCAAACAAAGAGGCAAAAGGAATAAAAAAGGAAAAGAAATGAAAAAAGCAAAAGTGATCAATACTACCCACCCTTTGTGTATTCGCCAATGGCCGCCATGTAGCTCTTGTCCTTAAAGTACTTGTTGCCAAGGTTCTTGAACGTCTCAGCCTCCTCCTCAGGCGTCGGAGCGGGCGTCGTGTGCGGTGGCGGCACGGGCACATCACCGTTGCTGCTGTTGCCGTTCACGGGAACGGTTCCATTGGTTGCTGCTGCCGGTGGCGGCGACGAGGCGGAAGGCCGGCCGTTCGACAGCGGTGGTGACTGGGAGCGCTTCTGAGGTGACTGTGAGTTCTGTGGGGGCTTAGGAGAGGACGGGCTGGCGGCACCGGACGTGACGCCAGGCGTTTCACGGTCGGTGTCCATGGAGGTGCGGTTTGACATGGCGGAGAGTAGAGAGAGGCGCTTGCGCTCCTCGGGCGGAAGGTTCAGTGGGTGGGTGTTGGGGTCGATCTTCCGCCGGCGAGACGACGAAGAAGACGCGGACGCAACGTTGTTGGCCGACGAGGACGAGGTCAACGGCGACCCTGGCTCAGCCGCTCGGTCTCGGTCGTAATGCCGTGTTGCAGTGGAGGCAGACGAGGTGTGATGCCGCGACGAAGACGACGAAGACGACTTCTTTGGCCGAGGCGAGGCGGCAGACGAGCCCGCGTACGGCTGCTGCGCAGACGGGGAGGAGGACCGGTGCTTGGTGCGGGAGGGCCGTGCAGAGCCGGAGCCGGCTGCGGCGGTTGAGGAAGGCGAAAAGAGCAAGGGAGAGGCCGATGCGGCGGATGTCTTGGTTGGCGATGCTTTGGTGGGCGACTTGGTGGGAGAGCGGCTCGCGGGGGAGGCTGGTTCTGACCGTACCGGCGAGGGTAAGTAGTCGTCGTCGTCGTCGTCGTATGGTGGTGCGCCAGCAGAAGCGTTGGCTGTGGGCTTTCGGGAAGTTTTTTTGTTGAAAAACTTCATTGAGGCGGCTGTCAATTTTTGGGGGGGCTTTTTTGCCTGGTTTTCCCTTAGTCCCTGCCGAGCCTGGTTCTTAGTCTCACGCCAGCTTTAAGAGTACTCTCAGAAGCAAGAGATAGCGGACGAGCGATCTCTCCAGCAGCCTCTTCGCTGTGTCCGCAACTATTTTTCTTCGGTGTTATGAATAATCAGAGTGCGCTAAATTTCGCCCTGCCTCGCACCTGCCGCGGGCTGTCTGGTAGCGAAAAAATTGGCGGAAAGATCGCGCAAGGGTTAAAAATGCAGTAAACCGGGTTTGTCCACAACTGCTGGTTTGGTGCTCTTTGGGCCGGTTGCACGCCGTTGTGTCTGTAGTGGCTGTGGCTATCCGTTGACGGGCTGTCTGTCAGTAGTGCCACTTGAAAACGGGAGCTTGTGAATCCCGACTTTTTGACAGCCGTTGGCGAATTTCGACTTCGGCAGCTATCCGCAGCTCGAAGCACCTTTGGATGTCCGGCAGCCTTTCGCAGATGGGGCCGTAGAACCGTTTGTGAAGACGGTTCTCCTGGTCAATGCTGTGGCCGTGTCTTGTTTCCGACGTGTCTTTTTCTCTCTGTGGCGCTTTGTCTCGTATTTTCAGTGTTGGCAATGGGTATGTTTACTTTCTGCTGGATGTGTTTCAACATCAACGGTCTTGTCGAACGGGGCTGTAGAATGGGAATCGAGTAGTGTCCGGTCGAGAGGCGCCGTCGGGAGTAAGATAGCTGGCATATAGCTGGCAGTCGGAGAGCTTCGTCGTTGAACTGGCAGTTTGAAGAAAAAGGAGGGAGAGTCGTTGGGACGAGACACGGTTGTCGAGGTGCCTTGGGGAAACGGTGGTGGAGGGATGGGGCAAACTGGGCTGATCAGGCCAAATTGCATGGCGCAGCCTCGCTGGCAGGCGGCCCTAGGCTGTCGTTTTTCGTTTGTTTTGCTTTCCGTCGTTTCGCCTGGTGTTGTCTTTGAGAAGGGCTTTTGTGTCGTTTGGTAATTTTGACAGCCCGTTCTTTCCTTTCTCCGTTTGCCAGCTCTTTCCTTTGTTGGCCCGAGTTCGAATGAAAGCAAAAGGAGCCAAAACAGGCTCACAGGCCACAACTGTGCCGCCAAACAAGTCGCTCCAGCTGTGGAAAATTTTACGTTTGCCCAGAATACTCTTTTCTGACTGGGATCGTACCAGGCAAGCAATCCCGTCACTGGTACTTGTGGGGAGCCTGCTATCTGCCAGGTTGTGCAGGTCACCAGTACGGTAGGTGGAAAACGACCAGAGCAGGGGCCAACGGAGTGAAAGAGGGATGAGCCGAAAGAAAACAATGCTCCATCTCCACTTGACAATAAGAAAGCAACATGCTGGAACCGAATCAAAACCAGAATTCACTCTCAGGGTTGCAAGCAATCCCACCGCGAACAGAACGGACTGGAACCATTGGGCCATTCGGGACCGTTGGCAGGGACAACACTTGTCCCCTTGTTCAGATGACCAGTGCGAGCAACAACTTATGGACGATGGTAGTTCCCAGTTTCTCTAGAGCGAAGTCTTGTTTACGGCGTACGATACATTCACTGGACATTCGAGGGCGTCGAAAGCGCCGTCTGAGGATCCACGAGTCAGGATGCAGAGGCCCCTCTCAAACGCGTCACCAAGTCAACGTGTTGCGGGGAACGCGGCGTGGGAACAGCACTGAGACCAATTGTAAGTCGATGGACAAACCCGTCTGCTCGTTGTACGATGGACGTGTCAATTCAATATTGTCATTGCTCTTGCACGTCGTTACCACCAAGCTCTTGTGGCTCGGGACCACAAGACCCTGAATATAGCCTCCCCTGTTATTATACCTACATATACGATACCTCTGTATCCCGTACACAACCGCGTCCCCAAACATGCTACGTCTGTTATTTGAGCTTTCCGGCCGGCAGAGTTACCGGCGTTGAGTCTTCTACCACACGGACGTCAAACAGCGTCTCCCACGCCGTCATTTCAACTGATGCTTCTGTCTACAATCTTGGTAGCCATCAACAGCTTTCAGTGCCCTCAAGTCAGCCATGCATTACCTGCAGTGTTAAAACGGCAGCAATGTCGTATGTGAACTTACGCCCAAGTTCTACAAGCACGTCGTGTGTCTCAGTTCCAAGAGTCTCCTAAACCCAAAACAAACTGCCTTCTCTGCCCAAGTTTGGGACCCATGCTCCTGTTAGTGCCGTTGCGGTTGCGCGTTGCGCGGGAACTTACCTACCCACCCTGCAACTAGGTGCCGACAGCGGCTCGGGTGCCCTGTCAGGGTCGTTGTGGTGGTTGTAGTGGTTGCAGCGGGTGTCCCATTATCGCTATATGCGAGTTTGTCCCGGGATTCGCCAGTGCACAAAAAAATGATTCTCGAAGCTTCGGTGGGGCTGGCGCAAATGGCGGACAACGACGTAAAAGTGTAATGTGGACCCGCTGTAAGACCAGTATCAGGCAATAATTTACCTCCAACGTTTAGCGCTTCCAAGAGGAACATTGGACCCTGTAATTAACGAGGCTTCTCTAACGGCCTTGTCCATAGGCATCAGCGCTCATGTGCCTGTCAGCAACAAATAAGTCAAGGCCATTTATTGTTAATAACGCAAGACAAAAATCATGGGGAGAACCAAAGACGCTTCTATATTCCGAACTCCAGACAAATCATCTTACCATTAATGTTCGTTCTGTGGCTTACCACATCATTTCCCACGGCGCTGAGAGCGACCATTCCACAAGAGCACATAATATCACTCGACAGGGGGAGAAGGGGAGTAAACAATACATAGTGTGCTATCAATGTTGCCGTGTGCCTTCCCCAAACCCATAAAAACAAACCCAGAATACGCAATAAGCCCATCACATAACCATGAAATAAAAATAGCAAATAGCAGCTGGCACACTGCACATGCAACTTGGCCCCTTCACTCGAGTTTTGGTCACTCGGCCGCCTCGCCGGCCTCACCTTGGCTGCCCTGGCCGCTACCCGCGATGGAGTGCACGAGGTCCTGGTACTTGAACACATCGCCGCGCTTGCCGAAGCCGGGGCCTGGCTTGCTCTTGTTTGTAAACGCCCGCCGGCCCATGAATCCCTGCATCACCCGGTTGATCTCCGATTCCGTCAGTGCGGGCTCGCCAGGCTCGGGTGCCGTGTGCAGCAGCGCGTCGCGCAGCTCGGCCGCGTCAATCTCGCCGCTGTCGTCTTCATCAAAGGCCGACAGCGCAGACAGCAGCTCGGCACTCGGTGACAGGGCGGCAAGGGCCGAGGCCAGCGCGTTCAGAAATGTGCCCATGGTCATGGTCTGCGGAACACCGGCCGGGAAGAACTGCGACACGTCGGACGGCGTCGACGGCAGGCCCAGCTGGTTCAGCATGTCGGCCACGTCGTCTCTACCCACCGAGCCGTCGCTGTCGCGGTCCAGGATCTGAAAGCCCTCGCGCAGCGTGCGGACCTGGGCCGGCTGCAGCTGCGCGAGCGCGGAGCCGTTGCCTGCCGCTAATGATGACGACGCCGCGCCGCCTATTCTGTGTCCACTGATCTCAGCAGCGGGCTGAAGCTGCGAGGAAGGAATCTGTTGGTTTCTGGGTGTCCAGCTGCCGTTGGTCGGCACCGGTGTTGAGTTGGTGCGCCCGTCATAGCGCGATGAGGGTGTGGGTGTTGTTGCCAGGCCACTTTTGAGCCCATCGTTGCCGGGTGTGTTTGGGCCCTTGAAGGGCGACGCAGTCGGGGTCGTGTGCCGCAACGGCGATGGAGATACGGGCGATTCGGGGCGCCGGAAGGGCGAGCTGCGCGGCGAGCCGTAGCCGAGTGGCGAGGGCTTGTAGCCGGCGGGCATGGCCTGTTTTGTTAGTATATGGCAATTGAAAGAGACGCAGCCAACAGACGTCTGTTCTCGTTGCGGTCCTTCCAGGTGCAGTTCGATCGTACCATGATGACGATAAGTAGTTTGCGAAAAAGAATGAATATTGTTGTCCTCAAAGTTCGTGATGTGACCGGAGATGGCGGTATTGTGATTGAAAGAAATGTGATGGTACTGACTCTTGACTTTCGTCGCAGTTATCAATATCAGATTTCCGTAATGTCGTATAGTTGCCGTTGCAGTTTGTGGTGATACTTGACTGACAAAGCGGCATTGGTGACGAACGATGCACAGGGGCCCGAATGTAAACAAACAACCCAGCAACGGCTTGCCACCAAAGCCAGTCCGATAAGATAAGGATGTGGCGGCTACGTCGCAGTGTGGCTGACTTGCCGCCAATCGCGCTAAGACGAACGTGGCCCGTGCGTGCCTGCCCCTGGCCCTTGGCGACTTTGCATTTGTGCGTGCTACTTTTCTCCATTTTTGCCCTTTTCGCAGGGCCTCCTTTTTCGACTGCGTTCGCCAACGACGGCCCAATATGGCTGGCCAAGGCCTGGTTTCGGATTCGCCAAGCCCACTTTCAACCCCTCTCCACACCAGGGCGCTACGACATATTGTTACTGGCCCCGACCAACTAGGACTGGCTCAGGGGAGGGATGCATAAGAGACGAAAGCGAGCAAGAAGACTTCAAAGGGGAAAGTCTGCGTTTGGATAGAGAACATCGCGAGTTGACGCCAACTCGACATCAGGAACGTCCACAGACGACAGTCAAAGCGAACATATGAACCAGTGGTGGCCATCGAAAGCCAGACGAGTGGCCGGGCTGTTTCGAATGCATCCAGGTACAGTGGAGAGTGAACGGTTTCACCTAGACGTCGCTACGTAAGGAAGGGAACGACAAGACAAGACACGACGACGGCCACGGCGCCGTCTTGCCAAAGCTCGAACGGCATATACGGGCCAATTGTCGCAAATACTTGCCGGTCTTCCACTGGAGCGTGTCTCGTCCCGTGTTGCGAGACCTTTGTACTGTCTAGCTTCTCGGCGCTGATTTGTCCGGAGATAACTTTGCCCTTCGATCACCACATTTTGTTCACGGTGCCAGCCTGCTCTGATTCCAGGACACGCGAACACGGGCCGGACGACTTTGCAGAACCCACCAGACTGCAGAACTGCGGCACCTCGACAGTGTCGTTACGGACGCAACTGCAACCTCGCCCACTTTTACACCCACGGTTCGCCATACGACTTTCCACACTGTCCGCACATCTAAGACATACTGCTCAATAAGGTGCCTCAGTGCGTGTAAGCTCCTTGGCGATCGCCTGCCCTCTGCGACCCGATCTCACGTTCTCTGCGTGGCGCGCTACGACCCCCAAACCCCTTCCCCCTTTTCCCGCGTGTGGTACCGGTTCTTTGCGAGCCGCCCTGGGCGGGAGCACGACCCTACTCTACGATCTTATCCGCCCTGTGTGACGGACGGCCCTGGGCGTCTGTGAAATAGGCCTGTAGGCGACTCCAATAGTCATGGCGACGGCCCAGACCACCGCACCGTACGCTTCGTCCGCCTCGAAACGACGCGGCACCAACGACAGCGTCGGGGGCAGCACGAGCTCCATCTCCACCGCCAGCGGCAGTCCTGTTGCCCAGACCAAAATCCCACGCCGCACCTCGCTCGCTTCTTTCCCCACACGAGCCGACGCCTCGCCATTGCTCGCCGGCGCCGGCCGACGTCCGTCGCTGTCTCCACAACCTCCCCTCCCGTCACATTCACCAGCGTTGCCGCCTTCGCCAGCGTTGCCGCCTGGCAGCGCCCACTCTGCTGCCATGGCTTCCACCGACCGCACATCCAACCAGAGCAACAAGTCCACCAAGGCGCCGTCGTCCGGCACCGGTGTTTCCTCCTCACAACACTCTTCCCTCTCCGGTCCCACGGGCGCTGGCGCCGGCGCCGGCGCCGGCGCTGGACAACAACAGCAGAACCGAAGCGGACAACAGCGCCGACGGCTGCGATCACAGTATCCGCGTGGCGCATCGGCCGAGAACCATGTCGAGTACATTCTAGTGGCGTCCTTTGACGTCGACAAAGGCCCCATCATGGAGCACCAATACCCCGTCGCCATTACGGGCGACGAGCACATGCTGGCCGAGCTGATGCTGCCCGACCAGACGCATCTGCGCAACCAGGACTGGACCATGTTCTTCCTGCACAAGGACATTACCCAGGAAGAGGAGGAACAAGAACAGCTCGCCAAGGAAGAGCGCAGAAAGCGGCGGCAACGGCGGCGTGCACGCAGGGCGGGGATCCCGGTCGGAGACGAAGACAAGGAGACTGGCGGCCACGTCGAGGACGATTCGGACGACGAAGACGACGAGGACTGGGACGACGACATGTCGACAGACAGTGAGCCCGAAGGCGGCGAGGGCGCACCGCTGATCTACGTGCTCAACCTGGTCAACACCAAGCAAGACAAGACACAGCGACGCGGCGCTGTCGTCAAATCCATGGCCATCTGCACGCGGCACCCCTTCCTGCACATATACAAGCCGCTGCTTCTGCTGGCGCTCGAAGAGTACTTCAAGTCGCCCGTCGTCGAGACGCTGTCCATGCTGTACGACGCGGTCAATGCCATGGACTTGTCGCTGATGCCCCGCCTGAGCCTGCTGGAGCGCCACCTCCTGCAAGCGAGCGACAACAAGGACCTGTTTGTCGAAAAGTTTGAAAAGATGATTCAGATGCGCATCGCCGAGGAGAACGGCGACGGCGTCAGCGACCAGCCCTTTGACGCGAGCCGCAGTCCGCCCAAACCGGCCGGCATCCTGCGCGCCGGCACCAAGGCGCACTTTGAGGGCCAGGCCGCCGCGTACTCGGTGCCGCGCGACACCCACGAGTTTGAGAGCAAGGTGTTTTACAAGGGCATCCCCATTCCCATCAAAGTGCCTGTGGCCGTCATGCCGGAGACCGTCGGCGACTTCTCGCTCATCAAGCTGATCCAGAACTTCTCCGAGACCCACGCCAAGGCACCACAGGCCTTTCCCTTGCACGCGCACCTGACGACCAACGGCCCGCACACGCACCCCATCATTGTGCTGGTCAATGCGCTGCTGACGCAGAAGCGCATCATCTTTTTGGGCCACAACATGCCCTCGGGCGACGTGGCGGAGGCGGTGCTGGCGGCGTGCGCGCTGGCATCGGGCGGTGTGCTGCGCGGCTTTACGCGGCACGCCTTCCCCTACACGGACCTGACCAAGATCGACGACTTGCTGCTCGTGCCTGGCTTCATTGCGGGCGTCACCAACCCGACCTTTGAGCTGCACCCGGAATGGTGGGATCTACTGTGCGATCTGCCGTCGGGCCGCATCAAGATTAGCAGCCGCATTGAGGAGGCGCCCGTCACCGAGGGCCTGGTGTTTTTCAAGCAGCAGCACCCGTCGTGCGCCAATCTCGTGGACACGGCCACCACGGCCAACGTCAGCTCGGCCAACAGCGACCTGACCGGCGACAACGCCTTCATGGCCGACATTCTCAAGAGCGTGGCCGCGCGGCTGGGCGAGCGCGTCATCCGCGCCAAGTGGCGTGACTGGGTCGTCAAGTTTACGCGCATCGCCGCGGCCTTTGAAGAGAGCGTCTATGGCGCGAGCGTGCTGCACATGGGTGGCGGGGGCGGCAGCAGCAGTGGCAACGGCAACGGCGGCCACAACGGCCACGACAGCAACGACAGCAACAGCAACCTCCACGACTTTGAGAACCTCGCCCTCTCGCCCTCCACAACCACGACCGGCACGCCGACGGCCACGTCACCGCCCTCGGCCCTCTCGGCCGCCAACGGCCACGGCTACGTCTGGGCCGACGAGAACGCCAAGCAGCGCGAGCTGGCCGGCAACGCGTCGCGCGTCGAGGGCTGGCGCGTCTCGCGCAGCTACCTGTCGTTTATCAAGGACGTCGCGCAGCTCTACACGGTGCGGCCGCTCAAGGGCTACGACCTGCACCACATGCACGACCGCCTGCGCACGCAGCGCCTGACGCCGACGCTGAGCCGCGACATCTTCCTGACGTTTGCGCGCACCGTGCACTCGTACGACGAGATCTGCCTGTTGCTGTCGGTGGCGCCCGAGGCGCACGGCGGCCTCTTTTACGTCGCCCTCGGCCTCTTCCACAAGGACCGCGACGTGCGCACCCAGACGACGGAGCTGCTCGAGCGCGTGGCCGAGCACGAGGCCGGGCAGCACTGGTGGCGGGGTCTCAGCCGGTTCGAGATGCTGGCGTTTGCGCGCATCCGGCGCGAGGCCGAGGCGGAGGCGCGCTCCAAGCTGGACAACAATGCAGGCGGTCCTGGCGTAGGAGGAGGAGGAGGAGGAGGTGGTGGGGGTGGTGGTGGTGGTGTTGGTGGCGGTCGCGACCGGGCCATTACACCCATTACGGGCAACCTGCCACCGGGCGTCGTCGTCGGCGAGAAGCGGGCCAGCTAGGTGCGGCCACGTCTTGTCTCGAAGCACGCAGAGGCGGACGGCTCAACATGCACACAAGCCTGGACACAAAACGAGGTCGGCCATCGTCTGTCCAGCAGGCCCTTCTCTCCAACCTACCTCTCTCCGCTCTCCCAGTTTGTGTCGCTGTCTTCGTTCACGTCGCTGCGATCCGTTTCTTCGACCCCCTCGTCCGCCTCGTCTGTTGTCCGTGGGTGGCGTTCGTTTTCGTGATTGTTGGCGCTTGCGAGTCCTTTCGTTTCTATTTTGTTGCCGTTCTTGTTCCTTTGGCACCTACATTTTGATGTCTGATGTCTTGACATTCTGTTCTATACGTATTTTCACATTCATTTGATAGTATCGAATTTTACGGGCTGTAATACTCCAATACTCCAGCGGATATCCTATTCATTCAGTACCGTTTGGTGTTGATAGATGGCGTTTCCACCATTCTCAACAAGGCGAGCTGGCCACAATCAGACGACCCTTTCCTCGCCTCCCTTACGCCAGCAGGTACTTGGCCGCGTGGTCGACGTGGTCCTGGCCAAACGTCGAGATAAAGTAGTACGAGTGGTCGTAGTCCTTTTGGTACCGCAGCGTCAGACCCGTCAGGCCGGCCTTCTTGACCGCGGCCTCCAGGTTCTCCGGCAGCAGCTGCTTGCTGGCGTAAAACTTGTCGCCCGTGCCCACGTCCACCAGCATCTTGAGGTCGCCGTGGGTCCACGTGCCGATGAGCTCGGTCGCGTCGTGCTCCTTCCAGGCCGCCGGGATCGTGCTGTCGGACGCGGACTCGGGCGTGATCGCAAGATCCGCCGGGCCCAGGTAGCCCTTGAACGCCTTCTGGCCCCAGGGGCAGCGCGTGGGGTTGGCAATGGGCGCAAACGCCGAGACCGACCGGTAGCGGCCCGGGTGGCGCAGGTACAGCGTCAAGGCGCCGTGCCCGCCCATCGAGTGGCCCGTGATGGACTGGCGGTCGCCGTCGAGCTGCGTCGGGAAGGCGTCCGCCAAGAGAGCGGGCAGCTCCTGCGTCAGGTACGTCTCCATGCGGTAGTGGGCGCTGTACGGTGAGCTCGCGGCGGCGTCGAGGTAAAAGGAGGCGGCCTCGCCAAAGTCCCAGTCGTCGTGCTCCTGAGGCAGGTCCAGGCCGCGCGGGGATGTGTCCGGATAGACAATGGCAATGCCGTGGCGCGCGGCAGTGGCGTGCAGGAAGCCCTTTTCGGAGCCGTTCTCGGGGCTGCAGGTGAGGCCCGCCAGATAGTAGAGGACGGGCGCCTTTGTCGTGGCAGCAGCGGCGTCGGCGACCGGACCAGGAAGAAAGATATTGACGTTCATGTCGGTGCCGGTCGTCTTGGACGCGTGGGACAGCTTGAGCAGCTTGCCGCCAAAGGTGGCGATCGTGGCCTTGGTGGTGAATGCCATGGTGATGGTTTGATGTGATGGAGGGAGCTTCAGGTTGCGACGTCAATTGAGACGGATAAGATCGAGAAGCAAAGAACAGTCGAGGAGAAGGCAGCGTCCCGTTTTGAAGGAGGTAGACGACCGGCTTTATTCGCCCGGCGCGGAGAAAGCGCCCGCTGTCCCCTTCCCAATTCGCACGGCCAGGTGCCGTCATTGACAGCGGGTCCAGGGCTTAGGTGCCGTTTTGGGCCCTCTTTTGGCGCTGTTATGCTCCAACTTGCCGATACAACCCCGAGAAACGCATGGCAGCCGCAACCCCGCCCTGGCAGGCCTGGAAGGCGCTGTACGATTAGCACTCTGCAGTAGAGGATAAATAATGTGCACTATGTAGAGCCAAGGTCTAATGTCAGGCACTTGCAGCTCGAAATCCACACTGCCGATTGGTTGAACATCACAAATGATCATGATTGTGATCAGTGCGCCGTACAGAATGATCATGATTGTGATAAAGTGCGTATACAGTTTGATGATACGATGATACGATGATACGCCGTACATGCTAACAACAAATATGTCCTCGAAATAAACGGATAATATACAGTGGTATTTACAAATGCCAGCCTTCTCCTTCCACCTTGTCTCCATTCGCATCCTGCTTTGCTTCACTGCTCTTCTGTCTCGACGGTCGTGGTTGTCGTCTTGGTAAAGCAGCGGAACGACGCGACGCCGGCCCAGTTCACGGCGCTCAGGTTGTACTTGTGCGCGTAGTCAAAGTCGATGGCGCCCAGCGTGCAGCCCTCGGGCGAGGTGCAGATGCCGCCGCAGGGCATGCCGTAGGGGTAGCAGGCAAAGGCCTCGCCGTCGGGCGCGAACGTGTTGGTGTTGCCCAAAAAAGGCGTCGTGACGTTGACGCACGTGTCGAGGGGATAGACGCTGTGGTTGCAGGTGCCGGTGGCATTGGCGCCCGTGCAGAGCAAGATCTACAGACATTGTTAGGTGTGTCCAGTTTCATACAACGTTCTTCCGTAGAGAAAGGGGCGTACTCCTCCAGCTTCCCGCTTGGCAATAGGCGAGGCGGCGGCCAGAGTGGCAGCAGCGAGGACGGCAAACGACTTCATGATGGCGATACAAGTGTGGCTGAAGGTGACGATTCGGTATGCGTGGTGGCAACAGGATGTGTGCCGTAGATTGTGGATTGAGTGGGATCGCCTTTCCCGGGTTCACGATCTGGAGATATATTGATTCAAGTGTAAAAACGGTGTAGAAGTTGGAGGCTGGATTGAAAGCTCTAACGTTGAAAACAAGGCAATGAATGGACTGTAGATGAAAAATAGAAACATAAAAAAATGATGTGGCGTGTCTCGAATATATATGCACGTCGTGCTCCCTCGTGCGAGCCATTGTACGCCGTCCCCTTGTATCTTGAAAACGGAGGGATGACTGGTACTCACTCACCGGCACTTCGTGGGCGTTTGGCGTTGTCTCTCCTCGACCAAGGCGGGCCGCCAAGACGCAGGGCTCGTCATTGCTGCTACCTCGCGCCGCCGTCGATTTTTTCCTCCGTTCTTTTTTTGTCTCTACATCTGCAGCTTGGCTTTCCAACAGAGCGCCGATCGCCAAGAGGGAGTGAGCACGGCAGGGAACAACGAACCAGGGGCCGCAAGGGCGAGTGGCCAGTGACATTGACCGTGCGGTTCCTGGCGAATGGCAAGACGCAGAACCTCTCAAAATCCGGATCCTGCGCGATGCTGCATACGGCATACGAGAAAACTTGTGGAGGCCATTCTCTGTGCCACAATGCATCGTCGTGCGTATGAGAGCAACGTCGTGGCACGGTGCAGGCACGGACAGACAGGCACACGGGAGCATATGACTCGGGGATACGAGCCACTTACGACTCGATAAAGCAGCATCACATCACCCGGTGGGATTGGTGGGCCTACGAGGCATATCGGCCGTTGAGAAAGACTGCACTGCCACGCATATCCTTCCACTGGGTCGGGTGTAATGTTACAATGAAAGGCACACAAGCTCCCCCATAACAAAAAGAAACAAGGACCAAAGAGCAGATCGTGTCCGTAGTGCGCAAGGGAAGACAAAAAGAAGAGGCAGTTCTGGCAAGTGAGGAGTTGAAATAAGGTGTGAAAAGGGCGGCAATGGCCCTGCAACCAAGGCAAAGCAGAGACACACACATGAGCTAATGGCCCCAAAGAGGAAATTTCCATTGCAACTCAGTTCGTGCCAAGAGAGCGATTGGGCTGGCATGGACACGCAAAACGACCTGCCGACGTCATATGGTGTCAGCGTACCGTTCGCCTACTAAACTCCCTTTGTTTCAACAACATTATTTTTATTTTTGACACATTCGGTCGCTGGGATCGCCTGTCATTTTCCACTTGTCCCTTGAGACGTTTGTAAGGAAGCTCTACAAAACTACTCTCTCCACATAAATTGTCAGGAGGCAGACAATCTTTGATGGTTTCAGACATTGTGTTTGTTTTCTCGTATCTCGCTTTATTGACGAACGCTTCCAGTCAATTGCGGCAAGTTGTCCAAAATTACTACTACTCCTTACTCTTCCTTTTGAATCCAGCTGACCCGAATTGATGCGCAATGGGGAGTTGCCACGGCCTTGTTTTCGTGGTGGTGCTTTTCCAGTCGGCTATTCTCACAGGCTGTCACCCGTGCTGTCAGACCAGCGTGACTGTGCAAATAGCGCCTGTAATGCGCTAATACAAATACGGCAATAAACGAAGCACATCAACAACACACAAAACGTCACACCCAAATCGTGGACCAACGAGGAGCAGTTATCCCCCTCCCCGATATAAATAAACTCTGACAGCTCGTGTTCACGACTCCTGTATCTGACAGGGGTACGACAAAGTCGGTACGTCAGCTTGCAACACGAAGAGATCGTCCCCAGCAGGCCCAACCATACATTGGGGACAGTGGCGATGGTCATGAACGATAAAGACGAAGCCGCTACAGCCCGTGTCCCGTATTCCGTATTCCGTATCCGCATTTCCGTTTTCCCTCACCTATTCATATAGTGTCATCATTTTGTGAAAAGAAACAAATTGCATTATTTTGGCTAGCTAGACATCGCCCTGAACCGCCTTCACAGACAAGATGGCCACAAATACGACCTACTACATGCGAGATGCGATATACGCAATGATGGCGTCCAGATTGCCAAGACACGTGAGCAAATGGAAAGGAGCTGTCCGACTACATCCGACTCGACTCCGACCTAGACTCTGTCGTTGTCCCTCCCATGGACTTTTGAAATCCTCCTGCGTCCGTCCCGAATATTCTTCCAAGGCAACTTGGCTCGTGAAAATCCCTCTTCTTACGGCGCGTCCTCCTTTTGATCTACCAGAATTCCGTGTCAGCCGGTGTCTTAATGTTGTTGGCAGAAGGCACCCGGTTGCTGTTCTTCAACCCTGACAAGGTCGTGTTCGAGGAGGCCGCCGCGGGAACCGAGACCAAGTCTTGCAGGAGCTGTTCGTGGAACCGGTTGCGGGAGATGGACTCTTTGCCGTGCGCCAAGTTGTACTTCATCCCGGCAATCGGAGCGGACATTAGCGATCCCACAGCATGCGCGGTCGGCGGAACGACTTGCTGGGCAAGGGGCTGCGTGATCGGCTGCATATCAGCCTGCACAACACCCTGCACCTTGGCCTGTTGTTGCGTATGTCCGTTGCCGGACAGCCCAATGTTCTGGACAGCACCGCCCAAGATGGCTTCGCTGGTCGGCGTGGGCATGCAACGACGGTAAAATACCATGTGCTTCACGGCATACGGTCCCTTGCCGGACCACTTGATGGTCTCGACCGGTTTGCCAAAGTACTCGAAGCCAAACTTTGTGGTCAACGATGCAATGTATTTCTTCTCCGCCAGCCCGTCTCCGCTGCCGCATGCAACAGTCATGTAGATATAGTGAGGCGCTGGCAGTGGCCCGAACGTCGAAACGTCGATAGTCTTCGCCAGAACTCTGCGCAGAAGCTCTTGGCCAAGACCCCGGTTGCGATACTTGGGCAACACGAAAACGTTGCACTCCGCACAGAGCGTAGTCGCCGCCTCGCCAAAGCCCACACCCGGGCGCGGGTGAACAATAGCAAAGCCGATGACTTGTTCGTTGTCCTTGTCGTTGAGGAGTGCCACAAGGGAGGGAGACTTGGTATTCAGACTCGCCTTGTAAAGCCGGCGAATGTCTTCCGAGGTGGCCGGATTACACCCGAGCCCCTGGGCACCGTTCGTAACCTCTTCATTATAAACATCCCGTATGCCTTCGATGTGTCGGTCACCGGACGCCACAATCTGCGCGTACATCGAGGGAAAAGGCTCGCCGGTAGCAGAAGAGAGCTCAGGCACAGGCTTAGGCTCATGGCGCTCGGCGTGGGCTTGAGGCTGAGGCGGGGGTTGATTTTTGGTCTGCAGTTGGGCCTGGGGCTCAATCTTCTGCGTAGATGGGGTCACAGGGACCTTGACTTGCTTGCCAGTCTCAAAGGTGACGGTGGGCTTTATCTTCTGAACCGTCACCGTTTGTTTGCCGGCACCGACATCTTGAATGGGCTGCTGAGACACGTGCACAAACCGTGTCTCACGCTCGACCGATGGCGCTCGCTTTGGAGGATCGGGATCAGACGCACGGATGGCAATGCCCTTGCTCGGAAGACCACAAGACGTGTTGGCGGTCTGCGTGGCAGCCCGCTCGTCCAGGTCCTTGTCACCAGTTGACTCCGGATCGAGCCGCGTCTCGGGGGCCTGGGGCGGAGGCAGCAGCTGCGTCGTCACAGAGTCCGGCACGGTATCGTATGCCACCCACGTCTGGAACTCTTCCTCACTCAGGGGGTTTGTCTTGTGAATTGTGGCAAGCCATCCCTTGACGCAGTGACGAAAGTCGGTCTCGGAAGGGAAGAGATGCATAGCCCGCCGCGTCCAGAGGCCGCCCGTGGACGCAGACGGCGTACCCTTCCAGGCGGGATCATCAGCTTCAATACAATTAGCGCCATCGGCAGAGACACTGTCACTGGGCACAATCTCCTCGTTCTCAGTGGTCTCCTTTTTGCCATGAGCCCTCCCCTTGCCCTTGCCAGCACTGGCCTCCAGCAGCAGCGTGTCTTGCTTGCTGAATTCCTCGGCCGCAGCAGCCAGCGAGTCACTGGTCAGCTCCAGACGGCGTCTCGGTTGTTCGAGAGGCTTCTGCACAATGATACCCAGAGGGGAGCTCGTTGACAGGTCATGAGGGTACTTTGTGGAAGCGAGACGCGCCTCTCTGTTCCAGAAAGTCGCCAAGTTGGCGACACCGTCCCCTGTCGCGTCCATGCTCGATGTAACAATTGTTGATGACAAGCACGCTCGGTCTTGGAAATGTGTTAGAGACCTTAAATACGCAGTGTCTCCATTAAATCACAACACATTATCTTACCTATCTGGACGCGTCCGGGTGGTGACCGGTATATAAATCGTTGCACGTAGAGATGACAGTCAAGCAACGGATAAGCCACAACAAATTCAGAAAAATATCAACGAAAACCAAGGAACAACCAAAAATACAGAAACGTAACAGGAGCCGAGTAGGGGGCACGATGTTGGAGGCGATTACCGAAATAGGAAACCACACGTATAGTGACTGTATAGGGAAGGAACGACTGAGTCTCTCTACTTCTTGGTGTTGGCTGGCCAGGAAACGGTGAATGTGAGCTTTTGAAAACGTTAGTTTTGTTGTGCTATAGGGTTTCCTCTGTACTTTTACAGATATTTGTGATTGTGCCCATCTTGAAGCACTGTTTGATAATATATGTTGGCAGCTCGTGAATGAATTATGTACGTGAATTTTGACGTGTCAATTATGAGTAAAAAGTCGAATTTCGTCTTTTTCATTTTCATCATCTTTTTTTACCCTTATTTTATCCGGTTTTTTAAACATTAAGCAGACAAAAAACGTCCCAGTACATTAATCGGAAATATAAGTATGAGTTACGATCAAAATTCTAGGAAAAGGTTCCAAGTAAGCTACCTCGACGGTAAAAGTGCGAGTATGTGTAAATAACTGAATTTATACGCATGGCTAGTTAAATGACTAATCATGGAAACAGCGCCATGCATCGCGGCTGGCAACCCAATCGATAGTGGCCCATTGGCGGCAGCCTAATGATCGAGCATATGCACAACGGCTTTTATACTGATTGTCCTCCCTTCGGCCCTCTTCATGGCCGTGGCGAGCCGTTCTCTCCAACACTATCTGTTACAATGTTGTCGATTTTGAGGAAAGCGAGGCTCAAAGACAAGGAGCTGAGGATCCTGATGCTGTTCGTGCCCCTTTTTGTTAGCCTACGTCTTGAAGCTCTTAACGCTCTTTGAAGCTCTTTTGGTACTCCGAATCAACCCTTCTCCTCCTAACTCGTTTTTAATCACCTCCAGTGGCCTCGATAATGCCGGAAAGACGACGATTGTCAAGCAAATCATGGGCGAGGACGTGCACACGGTCAGCCCGACGCTCGGCTTCATCATCAAGACCATTGACTACGAGGGTTACAAGCTGAACATCTGTGAGTCGCCCTTTTGGCTTTCTTGACCGCTGTCTGTCTGGAGACCGACAACTGAACGTGGCAGGGGATGTGGGCGGCCAAAAGACGCTGCGATCGTACTGGCGCAATTACTTTGAGCGAACCGACGCGCTCATCTGGGTCGTCGACGCGACGGACCGGCTGCGCATCGACGACTGCCGCAACGAGCTGCACGGCCTGCTCCAGGAAGAGGTGTGTGGTAGGCACATGTGGGCCCATGCTGTGATGACGCAGTCGCTGACAATAGGCAGAGACTGTCTGGAGCCAGCTTGCTGGTTTTTGCGAACAAGACGGATGTCCAGGGATGCATGGACGGCGCCGAGATTCTTGACGTGAGTTCTCATGACGAGCATCGCAATCACCGCCCCCTTTGGCTTGGCCAGTTGCGACTTTGATCGACAGACTCCCCCGACTGACAGCAGTTTGCGCGGACTAGGGCCTGAAACTCGACGAGATCCGCACACATCGCTGGCACATTTTGCGGTGCAGCGCCATGACCGGCGTCAACCTGAAAGAGGGCCTGGCGTGGGTGGTCGAAGACGCAAAGGCACGCCTGTTTCTGTACTGAAGTGCCAGACGTGCAACCTCCACCCAGTCTCCCACTACCGAATGGCCCCTGTGCTCTGTGCTCGTCCGTGCCTGGAAACATGGACGGTCCCTGCATGTTGATCACACGATACGGCGCTGCAGGCGCTCCTGGCAGACCGCTCAGCGGCACAATCACGCACGGCCCCGGACACCATTCGCACTGTTCATCGCACACGCGTTTTAAATAGGATGGCCGTTGCACTACGAATTACAGTGCGTGAGATATGTGCAGTTACAGTGTCTTGGAATTAGTTTTGTGCTGTCTCTGTCTCATGTGCGCTCAGGGGCAAAATGTCTCACAAACAGCGTACTCTACCCTGGGACGACAGATACGAGGATGGCAGGGAAATCTAGAATTGTCCAGAATTAATTTTTTTTTTAAAAAAAAATAACCAGACTGCTATGATTTTTCCCTTTTTCTCGTGTTTGTGTACTTCTTTCGGTGCCTGATATATTGCCCACTGTAAAACAGGGATACAGCGAAATATTGCGACAGGCTGCACCTAGACCTCAACACGTTAGAATGCGCTAATGGGGCACAGCGGGGCGAGGAACAACCGGCATCTGTTTGGAACCAGCGAATCGCAGCGCGTTGGGCGCGCCGACATCTCTGTTCTGGCCTGGCTGCCGCCCAGCCGAATGACGCTACGACGCAGCTGCGGAGTCTCTGTAAACACCCAAACCTGCAAACTCTCTTCTGATTAGCGGGCTACTTCTAGAGTAAACAGAGGGCAAGACGCTACTGTTGACCCCGTAACAGCTCGATTTTGGGACGTCCCGAGCGAGTGTTTTTCTGAGTTTTCGTGACATTTGAACAAAACATATTTTAGTCACCAAGCGCCCCCGTGCCATCGTGACTTTCGCGCCTGTTCCCGCTTCTCGCGATTCGGCTGTCGACGCGGATTCCGCTGTTTCAACCATTGACACCGACAGTCCCACGACAGTCCAATTGCTCAACCGACTATCTCGACACAGGCCAAACAGCTACCCTGCCTCACCCTCCCACGCTCTTTCGATCGATTTGCCCCCGTCAACGTCACATTTCAGCCGCTGTTGTTACTTCGTCCCTTCTATTTCTCCTTGTTTCTAAACAGCGAAACGTCCCGGGTATCAGCGTGTCATGTCTACGGGCTCGCCTCGTGCCGGACGAACAGACTACCAGGCGCATTGGCCACACTCAGACTTGAGCACACGCAGCAGCAGCCACTCACACAACGGAACAGCCTCCGAGTGAAGCATAACAATGTCGGACGAGGTGTCCAACTTCTTGCGCTCAGTGGAGCAGCTCAAGGATCGCCGGCTTGAGGAAGACGAGGCGCGGTCACGCGAGTTGGAGGAGCGCATTCTGCAGGACAAGCGAGAGCGCCAGGCGCGACGTGCAGGTGAGTTTCTTTTGTCCGGTCGGCCGGACCTTGTTGCATCTGGGACATTGGCAGTGGTGGGCAGATGAACCGTTTTGGCGATGCACATCATGGCGATCTGTCACGGGGGCGCTCCTTCCCTGTCTGTTCCACGCCAGGCATTGGGTGGTTGTATCGCTCTTGCCGTCTGGCTGCAATGCTGCACCGGCCGCTCTTTCCATGATTTTTGTTGCCCCGTTCCTTGCTCGCCCTTTCTAATACTCTCCAGAACGAGCCAGATCTATCTCTCCCCAGAAGTCGTCGCCTGCCAACACTCCACCACCCCCGTCTTCCCACCACCGCTACAACAGCTCCCAAACATCGGACGCTTTGAAACTCTCCTCCTCGCCTCCCGTGCTCAGCAGCCCGCGGAGCCCCACACCTCGTGCCTCCCAGCAGCAGAGCAACGGCCACGGCGTATCGAGCAGCAGTGCCGCCTTGGCCTCGGCACTCGACTACTCTGCACCCTCTTCGTCCGGCTCGTTTGTGACCTCGTCGTCTCCCACCAAAGAAAACGAGTCACCCTTCGATGCCGACGCCAAGACATTGGCCGGCTCGAACATTGCACGGACTCCGACGCTCTCGTGGCAGCAGAGACGGCCGCCGTCAAGCGGCCAAGCTGGCCCTGACCGGTCATCCCGCAGCCGCCCGCTCTCCGTTGTTGCGGCTGAGAACGCGGCAGCACGTTCGACCATTGCGGGCTCGTCCAGCCTCCATGCTGCTGGTGGAAACCCGCCGGTCTCGCCCGAACCTCAGAACATCGACACGGACGCCAGTGACGGGCCCATCTCGCGCGACCAGATCGCCCAGGCTCTTTCTGCCAAGGACCCGTCTTGGTTCCGTCAGACTGCCGACCGTGGCGCCAACTCAGCTGCCTACCGCCGCTCGCAAGTCGAGGACGAGGACCGCCAAGATCTGCACGCTGCCAGTGCCCGGCTCCCGGGCTTGAGCCGTGGCTCGTCTGCCGAGCCCGACGTTAGTAGGTTCTCTCCACCGCCGCCTGCGCACTCGGCTGCTTTATTTGCCCTGTCGCCCTCGTTGCAGGCTAGCATCGCCAGGAAGACAAGCCCGTCTCTGCCCTTGACGCCCACGCAGAAGCTCGACCCTCCACAGGAGCCGTCCATTGTGTCGCCACGGGACTCCATTGTATCACCGCCGTCGGGACGGACGTCTCCCATTCGGCCGCTGTCGCCGACGAAGGGTGCTGGCGGCTTTGTGCAGAGTGCTATGATGAAGCGGAGTGACAGTGTGAAACGTTGGAGCGTCACATCCCCACCCGGCCTGCAACGGGCTGATTCCATTGCATCGAGCCGTGCTGCTCTCGACGGACCCCGTCGCTCAGCCACCACCGCCCAGACAAGACCGACGTCCCGCCCGACCTCGAGCCACGGACGGGACTCTGCCAACAACAGCCGTCCGTCCACACCCACCCGGCTGCAGACAAGTTTCCCCGACGAAGCGACGAAGGAGACAACCACGGCAGAAGAGGATAAGAAGGTGACACCGCCTTCGAGCCCTTCCAAGACCATGGATCCGCGCCGTTGGAGTCCGACCAAGACGTCGAGCTGGCTGGACGCCGCGCTCAACAAGCCTGAGTCGCCCAAGCCCAAGGCCGCGCCGCCACTCAACAACCAACCTGCCTGGATGGTGGAGTTGAACAAGGCCAAGGCAAACAAGGCGAGCAATCCAGGTGCCGCCGACGCCACTGTCACACCGCCGCCTGTCGTACGGAAGCATGAGGTCAAGACCGGCGGCCTTTTGCGGTCAGGGCCCATGGGCACCGGTGCCGCGAATGCCACGCCTGCCCCGGCAGCTGCGCCCTTGGGTGGGCGTAGTGGACTGGGCATCTCCATGCACACTCCGTCGTCGTCCATCAGCAGCATCACTAATAAACCGTCCCTATCCAAAGACGGTACCCCACCCAAAGGTGATCTCCGTGCGGCCCTGAAGCCGAGACAGCCGCTGCCTTCAGAGAAGAAGGATAAGGATGCCGGAAGCAACGACGGCAGTGAGCTGAAGAACGTCGTTGGCGGCCTCCGCCGGACCAAGACCCAAAACTACGTGGCGCCCAATGTGCTCAAGGACAACATCACGCGGGGCAAGGCTGCCCTGAACGTGACGGGCGGTCCCAAGCCGCGCGAGAAGAAGGACGAGCTCAAGGACGCCATCATGCAGAAGAAGGCTGAGTTCAACCAGGCCAAGTCTGAGGGCCGTGGCATTGCGACCAACGCGCACGCCCGTGACAGCAACGAGCCTGTGCCAGAAGGCGTCGCCAAACGACTGGTGCTCAATAAGACGGGCGGTTCCCAGACCTCGACGACCCGGCGCGATTCGTCTCCCTCCAATGCTGCAGCCGATGCGGCAGCTCGCTCTGTCGCCGCTTCTTTGGCCGCGGCCGCCTCTTCCGAAGCACCAGGCAATTTTAGCCGCTCTAGCACGGCATCTACACTGTCTGTGCCGGGTACAACGGAAGTGCCCGAAACAACCACAGACACGTCGCCTCCGGTTAAGAACTTTGGTTCCCTTGGTCGTGCCGGTCCCCGGATAGGCGGGCTTGGCAGTCCCGGCGGGGGTAGTGGTATTGGAGGCGGTAGTGCCCTCGCCAACCGTTTCAATCCAGCCCTGGCTGGTATCTTGGCCCGTGGACCCCCCGGCATGTCGTCTGCTGGCAGCTCGCCCAGCGACGACGCTGCAGGAACATCGCCCATTTCTGGTCGGGTGACTTCGCCCCCGGCTTCATCGTCGGCCACCGACCCCCCGCCCGGTCCCGGCCCGCAGCTGACGCATATGACTAAGAACCGTGCCCGTGGCCCGCGCCGGAAGGCTCCGTCCAGCTTGCAACAGCCGTCAACACCGTCACAAACGGCATCCATACCGGCAGAAGAAACGCCAGAGACGCGAGCCGTCACGACCCCCAAGAAGGTCCCTCCACCGACCACCCCCAAAAAGGCAGACATTGTCGTGCCGCAGGTGATATCTCTGGTCGACTCCTCCTCGAAGAAGACAGCCCCAGAACCAGCACAGAAGCCAGCGAGTGTACGCGGTAGCCCCGTGATCTCGCTTACCGACTCTTCCAAGGCAAAAGCGGCGGCTGTGGACGGCCCGACGCCTTCCAGGGCGAACGTCATCTCTCTGGTCGACTCGTCGAAAAAGTCGCCGAGCCCGGCATCTTTCGGATCGTTTGGCACACCCACCAAGATACACGAACAGGTGGCGTCCGTTGCTGCGAGGAACGGCAGCAGCCAACCTTTCAAGCCTGCGGTGGGCAACAAGCCTGTTGTCGAGAGCAAGCCTGCTGCATTTGAAAAGACGGCCACCGAGGAGCAGGCGCCAGCTGTTTCTCAGCCTTCGTCTCCCCGCAAGATTGACGTAAAGAGAATGTCGAAATTCCTTGAGGATTCTGCCAACCGGCCGCCTGCGGTCAGCCAGCCGATTGAGGTCCCGCGCCCCTTGTCGCCGTCCAAGACGGGCGGTGCGCGGCCGCTGCCTGTACCCCGGCCACTGTCGCCCCAGAAGACCGGCGGCAGTGCTCGTCCGCTGCCCGTCGCGCCGGTGTCGCCTAAGAAGAACGAGTGGCAGCCGACCAGCCCAGCGACAGGAGGAGGGTTGACCTCTCTCACGTCCGTCTCGTCTGGCACCCTCCGCCGGTCCAAGGTCTTTGGCGATGCCCCAGTGCTGGCCGCGTCATCTTCGCCTCAACAGCCAGCGACAACGCCGTCGTCGTCGATGCGTATTGAGTCACAAGGCTCTGCACCTGCGTCGCCGGCCCTGCCGTCACCCATGCGGTCCCCGACCAAGCAGGCACAAGAAGTAACGGTTGTGCTCAACGAGTTCTTTGGCGCAGACCGGCCGAGCCGGACGTACCGTGTTGATACGGCCGACATCCTGGCCAATCGCCCGCAGGTCGACGTTAAGATCAAGACGCTCAGTGCTCAGCTCTATCGCCTTGGCAGTGATGGCAAGAAGCAACCTGTCCCGGCCCACCTCGAGCGTATTCTGTTTGAGCGTGAGATGTACCTGTGCCCACACACGTTCACCCGCAGCGCGGGTCGGAAGGTGACGGAGGTGTATTTTTGGGTCGGTGACGACGTCCCCGCGGCCAGCGTCCAGGACGTGCAGGTCTTCTTGAACCGCGAAGCACGGGCCGTCGGTGGCACGCTTGTGCCGCTGCAGCAGGGCAAAGAGACGGCCGAGTTTTTGCTGGCGCTGGGCGGCATCGTCACCGTCCGCCGCGGGTCGAGCAACACCTACGACTCGCTCGCGCCATCCATGTTCTGTGGCCGGCAGTACCTGGGCCAGATCGCCTTTGACGAAGTGGACTTTGAGCCCGCCAGCCTGTGCTCGGGCTTCCCCTACCTGATCACGCGGCAAGGCAAGTGCTATCTCTGGAAGGGCAAGGGAAGCAACGTCAACGAGCTCAGCTGTGCACGGCTGATTGGTATGGACTTGGCCCTCATGGGTGAGCTCGCCGAGGTCGAGGACGGCAAAGAGTCTGCCAACTTTTGGGCCTTGTTCCAGGGCAGCGGCCGCGGTAAGCCCGGCTCGGCGGACCACTGGCGCCTCAAGCCCAAGTACGACCGCTACGCGCGCCGCCTCTTCCGCTCCGATGCCGCCCATCCCCAGCAGGTAGGCCCTTTGTATACACGCAAGTCGTAAAACTGTAGACTGCAACACTAACGCGCGCTCCCTTAGATTGTTGAGATCCACCCCTTTGACCAGCGCGACCTTGCACCGGACGGCATCTATGTTCTGGATGCGTTTTTTGAAATGTACATTATTGTCGGCCGCCAGTCCGCGGCCCAGTACGCGGCGTTCCGCAATGCCCTCGATTTCGCCCAAGAGTATGCCATCCTGGCCGCCGGCATGGAAGACCGGCCGTTTGTGCCCATCTCCACCGTCGTGCTCGAGGGGATCCCGCGCGACCTCAAGAGCGTGTTCCGCAAGTGGAGCGACGACCTGAGTCCCACACGCATGGCGAACACGGCCTCGGCGGCCTCGGCGGCCTCGGCTGGTGTGACTAGCCCGTCGGCCTCCACGTCCATGAAGCGCGGCCGCAGTCTGCGCATTGTGCCGCTGACCGTGGCCCTGCAGGCGGTGGCAGAGTAGACGGGTGGGGAACGAGGTCGGAAGAGTCGAGTTGATCATTTACTTTTGAAGGGGCTGCAGCTCGGCATTTATTGTACATTACTCTGGTTGGCGTTTTTTTATTCGTCTGCTTTCTGGTGTCTGTATCGTTCCGTGTTTCTCTCTGTGTTTCTCTCTTGTTATGTACTTTCTTGCATTGCGTAGCTCATCATTTATTATACCCTGTGGATTGGGGGCTTCTGACCTATTTTTGTCGACGTTTTGTTTTGTTTTCTCATGTGCCGCCACTCCTGTGCACTCGTCGACCGGACAGGACGTGGCTCACCTGCATTATTAGGCCTTGGAGCATGATATGTGGCGTGCACAAAAACGCCCATACGTGTTGCTTTGTGGACGCACCGCGTTGCAATCCCGTCACCAACAACGATCTTGAACGTGACATGGCACGAGTCAAAAAGGCAAGTCAAAAATCAAAATCAGATTACTCCGGGCCTAGATGCCATGTGTATGTCTCCCCACATCTGTGTGTGACGGCCATTTCCCGTATCCGTCCATAATGCCAGTCATTCATGACTGCCCCCGGTGTCCGTTTCCCAAAGCTTGACCGAGCTTCCAAACCGAAATCATAAAATCACAAATAGTATACACAAAGCAGCGGGCAGGATGGCAACAAGTGACAGGGCTGAAGTCGGCCGGCACTTGCACGGAACTGTTAACATCCCACATACGCATGATGCTCGGCCCTGTTGAGTCTCAAGCAGCCATCGCCGTGCTAAGAAGCACCAACAAGGCGAAAGCCTCAAACCTTCAAAAAACAATCTCAAAATATCGTATCATAACAAGGCCTCGTCTCTCCAAACATACTCCATTCGGTGTTTCGGCCGCTCACTTCCGCAACTTCGGCCGCGCGAGGCTGTTCAACCGGCTCATGCTGAGGATGGGGCGCTTCTTGACCGAAACCGATCCAGGTGTCTGCGTCTTGCCAGCAATTGGCGTCTTGCTGGTACCGGCTGCGGCACCAAAGGTAACAGTCTTGTGCGGCGTCATTTTCTGGGGAGACACCTTGTGGGGAGACATCTTGTGTGGCGAGCTCCGCATACCGGCAATGACGCGGCCACTTTGTGTAGGAGGAACAGCCTTGCCAGCCAAGCGGGGAGCGAGAAGAGCCTCGCCTTCGGGAACGGGGGCGTTCTTCCGCTTCTTGGCGGCACGCTGCGCCGCCTCCTCCTCGGCCTCCTCGGCCTCGCTCACACGATGACGCTTCTTGTTGGTGATTCCGTGAGGGATGATGCTGACAGCGACGGGACGAGTGTTCTCTTTGTTGGTGCCTTCTGTAGCTACCAGAGCAGTGAACATGTCACCTACTTGGCTAGCGCCCGGGAAGCTACCCGGGATCTTCGGGAGCACGGACGTCGAGTGTCGGACTTGGCGCACGCTGGCCTGGCCAGGCGAGGAGCCGAAGCCAGCGGGTGATGTGGGACCAAAGTTGATCGTCTTATCGCTGCGGAACGTAAAGGTGCCAGGAACCGAAGGATGTGGTGCTGCCGGAGGGGCCAGAGCCGTCGGCGGCGAGAGTACCTTCTCCTGGCCAGGTGAGGCAGCCGCCTCACCAAGGAGCTCATGACCGGAGAGGTCAGGGTAGTATACGGTGGTGCCAAAGCGGCGACGCACACTGGGCGACTCCGCGGCGGGCTCATCCTTGCCATCGATCTGCATTTCCGAGCCATGTGCTCCGCCAGTATACGACTTCAAGGCAGAGCGAGGAATGCTGGATCGGAAGAGAGACGGCGACATCTCCGACATGACAGCACGCTGCGTGCCGGGAGTAAAGGCGACGTGCTTTACGAGCTTCCGACGCGGTGTGGTCATGGGGACGCGCGCCGGCACAACACGATCAGTGAGCCGAGCAGGTGCTGGTGTCTTTGAGAACGCCGTGGCAGTCGGGCCAAAAGATGTGGAGACGGGGGGCACGCTCCGTGTAACGCCTGTGTTTGCCTGCGACGAGACCTTCACAGCAGAGGACGTTGCGGCGGTCGTCTTCTTCAGGTGGTCGGCAGCACGGAACATGGGGCCCTTTGGCTTGCTCGCGGTAGTCTTGCCAGCCTGGGCAGCAGTAGGCGTCGAGGCAGCAGGCGGGGTGCGCACAGACGACTGTAGGCTGCTGGTTGTGGCAGATTTCTTCAGGGCCGAAAACAGCTGCAGAGGCGTTTTGCTAGGCGCTTTGCTAGGCGTCTTGCTGGGCGTCCTGGGCTGAACATCGCCATTCGTGTTCGCGGTTGCCGTTGCGGTTGCGGTTGCGCTCGTCCCCATGCTCGTGCTCGCACCCAGAGACGTACCACTTGCGAGTGAGAAACTCTTAGTGGGCGTAAGGAGAGAGGCAGTCGTGTGCGAGCGGCTGATGCTGGACAGGCTGCTGGCCAATGCAGCCGCAGGCCGCGGAAGAGAACTGCCGTCACGCGACATAGGGCGGCTGCTTGACGCGTCGTCGCCCATGTTTTGTTTGATGCGCTTGGTAGCAGACAGGGGCTGCTGTGGACTGTCGTTCGGCAACGGGAACAAGAGGTTGCCCTTGCGGGCAGACTGGGGCGGTTTGCTGTCTATGCCGCCGTGGCTCTGGTTGTTATCACACAGCGGGTTGTAGGCTTTCTTGGTCGACATGGACACGCTGCCCCTGGCGGGATTGGGTGCGGCATGCGAACCCGTCGTCTTGGGGTGAGGCGTCTCGTCCAAGTTGGCCTTGGATTGGGTCCGCTTAAGACCACGCGCTTGGCTAGAGATGGCTGGGGTAGCGGCCGTTGCCGTTGCACTTGGCGTCGACTTGGCAGGAGTATAACGCGAAGCGCGGAAAGCAGACGGGTGGTTGGCGATGGAGTCCATCTTGCTAAACTCGGCTGTGTGAGCAGCACTGTAGCGTCCAGCACGGCTCTTGGGTTTGGCAATCTTCCGGCCACTGGCGGCATCTTCTTCCTCGCGGGCCTTCTCCTGGTCCCGCTCCACCTCGAGATCCGCACGGATTTTCTGTGCCTCCTCGCGCAGCTCCTCCATCATGCGCCGTGCCTCCTCGCTGAGACCCAGGTCGGGCGTGCCGGTCACTTTCTTGGGGCTGGCAGCGGAAGCAGCATCTGTGGCCGTCGCATCCGCTGGTTGCTTGCCCTTGAGTCGCGAAAAACGGAACGTGAAGGAGGAAATGGCCGACAGTGGCGACCGCTTCTTCGAGGGCGTCTCGTTGTCTTCGGGAGACACGGCCTTCAGAGTCGCCGATGCGGCGATCTTGTTGCTCTTGGCCGTCGTGGGGCTCTCCTGTCTCGCGTCGCCGATGTCGGTGAAGCCTAGACGCAGAGCAGATGACGGCGGCGCCACGGCACCACTGGCCTTGCCCGGACGCATCTCAGACTTTGACGGCTTCGCAGATGACGATTGTGCAGGGGTCTGCGGCTGCTGCGCCGTCGGCGAGGAGGGCTGCTCTTCAATCTGTTCGGCCAGGCAGCCGAGGCCTGGCGTGGCGGCGACTCCGGTGGGCTATTTGCACGAGAGTTAGCGAGGAGGGCATAGACAGAAAGCGCACGGTGTGCGGGAGAGACGGTTCGCACCTTGGAGTTGCTGGCCAGCCGAGCCGAGCGGCGTCGTGTCAACGGCGCCATTGTTGAAGAAGTTGGATATTCGGTGTGTGCGAGAAGGCGTCTGGGTGTGAACCGGACGTCGTTTGGTACTTGGACGATGGCGAGAAACGTTGAAATAATCGAAGGAGTGGTAGAGTGAGAGAGAGAGATGGAGGGGAAGAGAAATACGCCTGAGTAGTCAACTTGGTTGATAGTAAACAAACCCTGGCAATAGGCAACGGAAATATCACCCAACGCTGGTCGACCTGGCGGATGGCGATGATGTCAACGTGGTGGGGGAAGGTAATGGAACACAGAGGCATGCAGTGACAGTGGTTCACTGCTGTTGATGGCTCGTGGCAAGTTTGGCGTCGAGCTGACGTCGATGGTATCTCAGATCACGCGTCGTAGGTGGCTCTCATTCCTTGTCCAGGGCAGGGAAAAGAGGAGAATACACGTAGATGGTGGGAAGAGGAACGCGAGAAAGAAGGAAAAAAAGAGGAGACTGCCAAAGTGATGGTGTCCAAGCTAGGGGAGCAACGGCGTTGAGGGTGATACAGTAACGAGAAGAGAAGAAAGCGTCATGCTTTGCGTAGTGTTTTGGTGAGAGGAGCAGCGGCGCGTGTGTTTGGCTAGAATGACGGGGTTTGTTTACTTTCTGGTGGCCCAAGCTCCTTCCCGTGTGCACCAGCAACAAGCCGTCCAGGACCCACACGGGGTAAATCACGTGACTAGATTTACGCTGGCTGACCACCAGGACAGGACACCAAGGCGTCCAGTCTGTGTGTCTTTGCGCATATGAACTGTCTGCGTCGTTCATCTGCAAGGGGCACGGCATTTCAGAGTGAAGGGGCATTCCTGCCGTACCTCTACGACGACTATTTCGCCGTGGAGAACAATGCCCCGCAAGCCAAGACTGGAAGACGACTTTGCGATAAGGATGACTTGGATTTGCAGTGTCCTTTTAATATTTGATGGCATGGGATCTCTATTTCCTCGGATCTCCGTCGACGTCTCCGCCGGTTGATCCCTTCATAGTCAACGGGATCTGGTTCTATTGTCTCTTGTAGACTCGGCAGCATAAATGACGCGCTGACTTGACAGAGGCAGTCAAGCTCGTGTCGTATGTCTCAGTTCCAGACTTCGTTTTTCGTCTCACGCATGGAGTATTATTGCCTCACTTGGTTCTTCCTTGCTAATCCTGTTGGTCCGGTATTTTCGATCCACAACATCCCGCCCGTCTCCATACAGGTGTCTGTACGATGGTGCTCAGACTACAACACAGCCGACTCCGGGGTCACCGACGCGCATCAGGGGAGTGCCGGATCCACGGGCACGGGCCAAAGGGAGATCGCAGGGCGGCATCGTCAGCGTCAGCGAGGGAGCGGAGCGGTCGTGAGTGGACTTGCATCGCTTTCCGTTTTCAACGTATTTCAAGACGATCAAGCCAATGACATTGTCGAGTTGCCTGTGCATTGGGACTCTTGGCCCCGTCTGCCCCATCGGGCATGACAAGGTAGGGCAGGTAATAGATGCCCTGGCACCGTGTCATGTTGCCTTATCTACGTCGTAATGAGGATGGGCGAGAAGTGGCATTCTCTCTCTAGACAAGCCACTCCATGGTGTATGCTTGCCGGCTAGCTGAGTCGACTGCAATTCCGGCGAGCCCATCACGGGCGTCGGCTGTGAGTTGACAACACTTGCTCTCAATGGTGGGTGGCTCGTGCGCTGTGGCGACGTCGGGAAACAGCTGGCTGCTGCTCTGTTTCTGAGTAAGAACAGTCATGCAAGGGTGGACCAGACGTGTTCTGAGCGAGGACAGCTGGACGACTGGTTCCTGCAGCTCGTCATAAAGGAGAAGGGAGCGCGAGGAGGCCAAAAGCATCAATGGAAATATGAGAAATGATTATGCACCTACGCATGTTCATTCGCGCCTTCCTCGAGTTTTCCTTGCCTGGTCGGGCCCTTCAACGAACGTTGTACTCTGTCTCTTACGCATGTTGCAGCTCGAGGCAACAGCTCCTCCTCGTCCATTGCCCCTTCCAGTCCAGTGAACTGTTGTTTTCTCAACAGGTCCCCTGTCCAGGTCCCCACCTTTTCCGAGCAGATCGCCCACAGCGGATGAAACGAGGCATAAAAGTTTCTCGCGCTAGAATCCTTCTAGAAGGTCTCCAAGTGTGTGTCGCGCCATTTCTTTCCCTTGCCAGGTGTGTGTGGATGGGGAATTTCATTGGCTCTTCTTATGGCCACCCTGGTATGTCGCAGGGAAGGGAGGATGGGGGTCAGTATCCAGTGGAGTGAAGAGGGATGAGAGAGTGGGAGAGTGGGATGCATCGATGCTTCATTGCCGACCGGAGCTTTAGTGCTGCCAAACATTGTCAGACGCTGCGAAACGAGCTGTGAGAATGACGGGAGAGCGAACAGAAAGGAGAGCCGGCAACGAAGTCGAGTCGCATCCGTAGGCGTAGGACGGGACTAGGAGGGCCCGTATTATCCGTCGTGGCCTGAGGTTTGCCAGGGAGAAAATGAAAAACAAAACAACGAACCAAGCCGTGTTTCGCAGGCTACTGAACGGACTTGTTGGCAGCAAAGGGGAATGTAAGTGTCGAGTGACGGGCGCGACCAGCAGACTCAGTCGAGGTACCTTGTCGTACCACCCGTTTTGCTGGCAGTATCAGGTCACTCTGGGTGCTGCCGGCGGGCTCCGCTGTCTGTTGCTCTTGAACTACGCTGGGCCTGTTTCGGACTGGGCTGCGGCTGGTCGTCTGCGCGGGCTGCCGGGTGTCGCTCGCTGCGCGGAAATGCCAAGTGCCAAAGTGCCAAGACCCAATACACGCAAGTTGGCTGGCACCTTCTCGCCTCGTCCCCCCTGTCCCCCCCTTCCCATTTCTCCCCTCCCCTCCCTCACCAAATCCGCTCAGGTGACGTGAAAAAATAGTAAATCTGCAGGAAAAAGGTAAATCGTGCAACAAAAACCAAAAGGCTGGAGACTCGAGTCCATGTCTCGTCGTGCAAGGCAATGATTGGTTCTTGCCTATGCTCATTCTAGAGTTTGTTTCTCCGTTGAGTTTTTACAACCACACACTACCGTGTCGACCAGGTCGTCCCAACGTTGCCCTTCCGAGAGTGAGAACAACCAGACAAAGTGAGTTGACAGGCCACAGCTAATGTAAGTCTTACTCCGGAGATGCTCTAGGGGCAAGCGCAAGTTAGAATGCGTGCTCTGTAAGATAGACATGCCACCACAAAAGTAAAAAAGAGAGCTGCCGGCGTCCCCGATGTCGCAATGAGCGAGTACAACAACACAGCTCTCTCTCTCTAATGGAGTAATGGGCGACAGCGCATTGCAGCACATCGCATATTCTCGCATTGCCCATCCTCCATGGGGAGCCAATGCAAGCAAAAGGAGAATTGGCAACGTGATGCCCTCCCCTCGTCCCACTCTTCTCCTTCTCTCTCCTCTCCTCTCCCTTGACCGTTGTTCTCTTGTCCTCGTGGCCTCTGTAGTCAACGGATCGTCAGGACGCAAGCAATGTGCGGCCCAGTGACTGCGGGCAGACAGCCAGTGGGAAATTTAATTGAACCCGATTTCGGCAAGGTCAGAAGTCGGTCAGGTCAGCCCCCGTGCCACACTCTCCACTAACACTGGAGAGAGAATGTTTTAAAAAGAAAGGGAGAACAGTGAGAAATAGCCGATGGAATTTGTCTGGGGGGATGGGGACAGAGCAGATTCTTTGTGGCCAGTCATGCTAACAATGAACAAAGAGCAAATGGCCAACCGCACATGTTGGCGGCATGGAGACGGCCATCATTTTCAAGTCATGCGTACCTTTTCCGGGATTTGTTGAGAGCCCATTTACTGAGTAGCCGTAGTAAGCGAAGACAAGAAGGGACAAAATGCGAGATGCTATAAGTTGAGAAGAAAACAAAAATATGAAGGACATACTTCATACGATTGGTATTCATAATTGTTTTCATTATTGACTTCATTGTCTTCACAGTTCAGATTTTATGCCTGGTCAGTACGGGGAGCAGTATGTATGCTGCCACTTTTCGCGAGTTAGCCGCTGTGGAAAATAAATGGCAGCCTGGCTCCAACCAGGCCACCCACAGCTACCATACAACCACTGAAAAGCGGGACAGACCCAAGCCCAAGCCAGCACAGCACCCAGATTCCGATTCCTAGCACTACGTCGTGTATCCCGGCAGTCCGGGGCCAACGAAGTGGGAGTAGTTGTTGGTTGGCGGCAGGCGTGGTTGGTTGGTCCCTGAACACCTGAGAGCCCCAGAGCACTAACAGGGAAAGGGAACTCCCACACACCCGCACGCCCCCAAAATAATGGGATCAGCGTTCTCATTGACAGGAAAATTTTTCTCTCATCTCGCCTTGTTTATGGGGGAGGGGGGATTCACTCGCACGTCAAACGGCGAATACGCATTTTCAAGAAATGGCCCAATGGCCGTATTAGCCTTCAAGGTAGCCAGTAATTACAGGCTAGGCAATTGCAACGGGGGGTTTCTTTCGGTACTTTCCCTGTATGGAATGCATGCGCTGGAGTGCTCTGCAGGTGGAGCCATGCAAATGAACAAAGTAAAGGGACACAATAAAACTCTGAATGCCAACACAGAGCGAGATGAGACCGGCAGGGGAGCAGCGACCAACGATACGAAATAAACCAGGCGGAAGGCGCGAGGCGCTGGAGGAGCCTACTGGGACAGAACCATCGATGACAGGTGTGGAGAGCATTCAAAGAGGGGAAGCAAGAAGGGGGCAGAATTGGGAAATGGAAGGGAATGGCAGCGAAGCCGTCGTGGTGCGTGGGCGTTTAGCCCAGGGCGTTATTTTCTTTTCTTTTTGTTAAGAAATTGTTTTCACTCCGTGTTCTTTCCCTCGTTCCTCTACCTTGTTCATTTTGCAACGGAAACAGACGGAGAAGCGAATTTCGAAAAGCTCTGCTCTAACTCTATTTCCAGATCGTCCATCTTTCAAAACGGCAACAACGTGCCACCAGCAAGAAACGCCTGACGTTGGTTGCTCTTTCTTTTGGTTTTTGCCTCCGCCCGCACGCCGCCCTCCGCTCCTTCCCCGGACAGCGACTTTACTTATTTTCGGCCTTTACCTGACCGTTCCCCCCTTCCCCCCTCCTCTCCCAATTCGCATTACATAAAACCAAACCATTTCGCCCTTTCCTTTACTCACACACAACCTGTCATCGTCTTTTTTCTTATCTTTCGAAACTCGACAGCAAAAGCACACAATCGCCTTTCTTGCAGCCTTTCGCCGCGACGCTCGCCAGCCCTGTCGCTCTCGCTCTCTCTATTGCCGCTGTTGTCTCGCCCTCTACTACAACGGTGCGGCTCTACCAGCAAATCAGCAAATCCAGTTATCATTACATACCACTTTCCACGCACCCCCCTCCCCTTATCTCTATCTCGAGCCTTGCACCCCCTTTCGCTTGTTCGATTTGTTCCTCGAGTGTTCCTCGAGTGTTCTATTGTTCCTTTTCGCTTACTCTCGTTCCTTTATCTGTTCGATCCCTTTTTTCCTAGCAGCCGTTTCCAAACGGCCGGGTCGGCCAGGGCCACTTCAATCATTCCCATCTGCCACCCCCCCTCCCCTACCCGTTGCACATCATCTCTCTCCTGTCGATTGTTGCCAGGCCTCGCTCGGTCTTCTCCGTGTGTAGATTACCCCAGCCAGGCCCCGTCTTTTATCCCCGTTTTGGGTTGTGGTTCCTGGTGGCTTATTGCGAACGACCGTCGACAAACACGAGGAAAAGCGTCATCCTCGCCCGGTGCTTGGAGATCGCGCCGCCATTTTTATTTCTTTTTTTGCAAGACAGCTACGGCTACGACAACAAGCTGCGACTAATTGAATTGCTCCACGGCTTGCGACTGGAACATACGGCACGAATCTTGTTCCGCAAAGCGACTGGAGGGATCAAACAAACATCGTCCCTGCATTTGCAGCCCGTGTTAGTCGTCCGGGACTCGATCAAGACGGCGCACGGAAACACCTGCGTTCCTGCACACCCCAGTCGCCGCCCCAGCTCGTCAACCGGGGAATAATTAGGGAATATCCGAGATTCAAAAGAGACGCCCAAGTAGAGAACAAAGGCCGCACCAAAGACAGCACAGCACCGAGCCTCGTATCCCCACGGCTTTGCGACAACACTCGACTCGATTCGCGCACAGCAGCTTTGTTTGCTTTGTTTTACACAGCAACTCTCACCCTCTTTTATTCTTGACACTTTGCTCTTGTCTTTATTATTCCTCAAATTTCCCTTCTCTTTCTGCGGCGTTTTGTTTTTGTTTCTTCCTCCCTCTCCTCCCTCGCTGCTCTTCCTTTTGCGTCTCCTCTTTCATCCCCCTCTCCTAATATCACGGCAAAGACCCACCCCGCAAACTACGCAAACTACGTCCCGTGGCGAAAAAAAATTATCCAATTCTTTTCTCCCTACCCAGTTTTATTCGCCAGGCTTGGATCTATTCTCTGTGTATTACATTATTGTCGCTCATTCCTGTTACTCAATCGTTTCGGTTTCCTTTCTGGATCTGCTCGCGACACTCTCTCTCTCTCTGCCACCTTCAGTTGCTTCGACCGGCCACTTCAATCCTCCTTGAGCTTGTCGTCTCGTCGTGGCGCTTTGCTTCGGCTTGTGGCTTACCTCCCATTCGTCCCCTCTCCACTTTCTTCTTCTCAACGCCCCCAACACGCTCCGTTCGAGGCGCTTGCCGTCCACCGGCTGAAGCGTCTCGATTCCTGAGGATATGGCAGACACTATGTCCATCGATAACAATGACAACATTAAACACGACGACTCCGACTCACTAGACTCTGGCGCCGAAGGCGAGCCTTTGTCGGCTGGCGGCGGCAACGGCGGCAACGGCAACAATGCGCAGGACAGTCAGCCCATCAAGCGCAAGGGCGGCCGCAAGCCCATCTACGCGACGTCCGAGGAGCGCAAGCAGCGCAACCGACAGGCGCAGGCCGCCTTCCGCGAACGCCGCACCGAGTACATCAAACAGCTCGAGGAAACAATTCGCGTCCACGAGCAGAACCTGCACAACCTCCAGACCGCCCACCGCCATGCCGCCGACGAATGTCTGATGCTGCGCTACAAGAACTCGCTGCTTGAGCGCATCCTGCTCGAGAAAGGTAGGTCGCGCCCTGTTCACGTTCACGTTCACGTTTGCTCCCGTTGTGCCACGCCGACCCCCTTTCTAACACACCCCTAGGAATTGACGTGCAAGCGGAGCTGCGCGCCAAGACCGGCAGCCCCAACCTGGGCCCTACACACATGCCACAGAATATGGTGCAACCACCGCCCTTGCCACGATCCATCATCAACCGCCACCACGCTCGCCGATCCAATTCCAGCATTGCACCCAAGCTCGACGTTACTGGCACGTCCCTGCCCGGAGCGGGCCTCGTCGGAATCAATCCAGGCCACCCAACGCCGACGTCGGTCGTCGCGTCGCCAAAGAGTCGGCCCACGCCATCATCGCACTCTGCGTCACCTGCAGCCTCCACATCTGTCTACGGCCAGTCACCAGCTGCATCTACGTCCGACCCATCCGCATCGATCCGGTCAGTCATGTCGGCCCCGGCGCCACCACCGCCGCCACCACCTGCACAGGTGCACCAAGCACCACCAGTCACAGCAGCGGCCGCGATGAAGGCAGCGCAGCTGGGTGGCCCTATTACCGGCATATCAGGCCCCGTGCCACCTCGAACGATGCAGCAGCGCCAACGCCAACACCACGCACAACAGCAGCAGCAGCAGCAGCAGCAACAACAACAGCAGCAGCAACAGCAGCAACAACAGCAGCCAATACTACAGCACCCGCAGCACCAACTGCCACAACATCAGCAGCTCCCGCAACCGACACACCCGCAACACCAACATCATCCGCAGCAGCCACCACAGCACCAACAGCCGCACCATCAACAGCAGCATCCACACCACGCACAGCATCCGCAACACACCCAGCACCAGCAGCACCAACAGGCACCTCTGCCGTCACCACAGCCGGCCACGCCACGGTCATCCAGCGGTGTTGGAGGTGCTCCGTACTACGCGCTGCCCGGGTTCCAGAACCACATCGACCAGCTCGAGCAGGAATACGACGCCGCGGACGACATTATGGAAGACCCGTCCGAGACGCCCGATACCCCCTCGGGCCCCAACCCGTACTCAGCGACCGCCTTCTCGGCAGCGCCGCCACCCCTCAGCCTCGCAAGCCCAGCCACCAGTGTTGCGCCCTCCACGGCCCCTTCCATCAACCTGGGCGCCACCGGCGGCAATGGTGCCGGCGCGCCCGGTACGGCTGTGAGCGGTGGTTCGAACGGCTACCCATCAATGACCCAGCTACTCGACCCGGCACTCGACTGGGATCCCTTTGGACTCAGCGCCAGCATGCAGTTCCCGACGCAATTCTCCTTTGACACGAGCAACACCCGATAAACGACAAAGACAGACGACGACAGCGACCGGTAGCGAGCGAAGTGACCCCACCTCGATCTTGGCTCAACAGAACGGCCCCATTTTGCGCTGTTTTCGGCCATTTGATATTATCAGGCGAGCTTCTTTGATACCCAACTCGGCGACTGCGACTGCCCTTTGTGTTTCCATAATAGCTGGAATGCGGTGTGATGCCTTAACTATTATTATATTGTTCTTAATGTCTACAAAAACATGTTTATGTCAACTTCTGCTACATATTTTTTTCCTTCTCTTTTTGTCTTTACTCTCAGGAGGATAACAGCATTTTTCGGCGACAAATTATACCACACAGGAAAAACACACATATGGACGGGGTGGACTTTTTGAATTCACTGCGCTGGTTGGAGTTCTAAAACACATATCATTTTTCGGGAGGACATCTCTGTTTTTTTGTTTTTTGGTTGGGTTTTTTTACAAAAGTTATTTCCATGACTCGTTATCTTTTTTTTCTTCCGTTTTCTCTTCTTTGTGGTGTCTCGTGCTTTGGTTACATGGTTTGCGTCGTCTTTTATGATCTTGACATTGTTTATCGGCGAAAATGAAAAGGGTTTGACAGCCTGCTTTCTCGATATGGCAAATGAATGATGTTTCTTTCTAGCTTTTTGTCTGGCCTTTCTGGTTCGGAATCGCGACGCGTGTTTATAGCGACCAGAGAGCAAAACAAGAGGCAGTCCCTCCAGACATATATAGTATATACTATAATAGAAACAGGTTATGAATGGTACAAATATCAGCGGGCGGGATGTACAGGTGACAATATTGGTTGGGGTGAACATCGAACTTACACACCGATGACCGTCCAAGCTGTCGTGTCCCATGAAAGCTGTCAAAAGACACAACTCACGAGGGCCATGCCGGGCACGTCCACTGAAAGCCAGTCGACGAGATGGGGTTGCCAGCGGCTCCTGAGACGTGCTACTTTTCACACTAGATAAGGAAAGTGGTCACGTTGCCAATTTCTGTCTTCTGTCACTCGACTTGCATACGTCGTGCATCGAACCTCGGACTTGGTCTCCTAGCCGCCTCCATCGTCCATCCCCCGCATCCAAACCCCCAATTACGTGACAGCGCAAGGGTGGTGTGGTTGAAGAGCCAACGTGGACCAAGCAGATGGGAATGCGTAGCTACAGGTAGGAGTGAATGCCATCGAACACCTTTGGGTTTCGATGCGGTCGGGTGTGGACAGGAGTGCAAGAATGCACAAAAATCGACGCTAATACGTACAATAAATTCTGCCCCCAAGACCATGAGGCTGAACCGAAAGTATTTACGTCGTGCACTCGTGTGTATTTCAAATTTGAATAGGTGCAATTCTATCAGAAAACATCGTCTTGTTACTAACTAAATCCACGTGTTTTATAAGGTGCTTTTTGGACTTCCTGTTGTCAACGTTCGTGATAATTTCCATGCACGCCCGTCGTGGCTAGGTTGCACGAAAGAACTCGAAATTGGCTGGCAAAAGGACAATGGTCCCGAAAGGAATAACAGAAACTCTTTGTGTAAGTGACTATTTTGTGTTACATGGTGCTCGGCCTCGCAAAAATGGATACACAACTGAGAAAAAACAATGAAAACCAACGCAGAGGATAACGTCCCGCGTCGTACAAAGACAGCCAGGGACGCAGGGCTGCAAGGCTGGGCGTGGGCTCCGCGGAGCCTTGCTATTTACTTACTTTTGTTGCAAAGCAGCCATATAAAAACTGGAATGCATTTCATAGGTTTCTGTGCTGGTATGAACTATAGATTTTTTATGGTTGTACATCTGTAGATTTGCCCCTTTTCGTCTATCATATCGTCACTTTTGATGCGAAAAGTACGCAAATTAGTTGATCCTCGTTTGCCACGCCCCTGCCAGTAGGACTGCGGTATACAGTCAAAAACATATAGTAACGATTATATAGAAGTCTTTGTCAATTTGAGGCGCAGGTTGAGACTACCTGTTTGTGTTGCGAGTCTCAGGTGCCGGGTAACACAAACCGAATTTTGTGGACCCGAGGCTATCAACATCACCACTTTGTTCACCCATTTTTTCAGAGGCACTCGACCAAGACCTGCGTCATTGTTTTTGTAAATTCACTCTATATTTTTAAACGCACATATTAAGCGGAATGGCAATAAAAATACACTTTGCAGCCTGCTAGCTGTCCGCTTCGGTTTCGTGATTTCGTAGATATTTGGGTTTCTAGATCCCGGCATCACCTTAATATCAACATCCGGGTGTATCACCTTGTCACCATCCGTGACTCACCACCTTTGCGTGCTCCGCTCGTCTATCGTTGTCATGTTTTATACAGGTAAAGAAACGTATGCTTTTCTTTGATAGACTACGTATCGAGATGTCGTGTTCTTTGGATTCTTGTGCACCGCGCGATCCTTCACCTTCAACACGATGCCCTCATGATATTCAACTACCTGCCTCGTGTGCTTTTGATCTTTTATTATTATTCACTTTCAGGTCAGTTCAGAACGATGTTCCACTTTACCACGAGGCTGCATCTACAGCTCACGTCGTACAAGCTATATTTTTGGAACCTCAATGGATCACGGCTTGCCATACGATACGCGACCACAACCATCGCACCTTCCTCACCTGGTGAATCGTCCCTTCCTCTTTCAGAATACCTTCAAGTGACAACGTTTATGCACCACATTCGAGGGTATCTGACAGCCCTCTCGGATATCTATATATATCTGGCCATGCCCACTCCGACGCAAATTTTTGTTTTGTTTTTTCTCTCCTTATCACCAGCATCGTCTTTTGCGAACTGTGCTTGCTTGTCCTTCAAGACCAAGCTCACGAAGCAAAACAATACTCCGACAACTTCAAATTTCATCTTCCAAGGAGGTCAGTTCTGTCTCCTCGCTCAGCTGCTTCACAACGCATCCGCCATCTCCCTCTTCTTCCTCTTTGCCCCTACGGCATTCTAACATACGCATCCAGAACTGACATCAGCGAGAAGCATGTTTTCTGATCAAGCAGCTGCCGCTCCGTCGGAGAAGTTGAATGGCCAGAAGGAAAACATCGGCATCTTGAGCTCAAACAATTGGAGCGCGGTCAATACCAGCGTGATGTCGAACATCCATGGTCATGGACAAAACAACACTGCTGGTGATAAGCAACCCGCTGCTCTGATGGACATCACAAACACTGCATCTGAGCAACAGCCCGTCAGCCAAAACAACTGGAGCATCGACGTCCATGACGACTTGGACGATGAAGGCGCTTTTATGCACATGTCTGAGGAGGAGCTGACCGGGGCCTCCGACCTGGAAAATCTTCGTGGCGCTCGTAACCGCCTCTGGGGTGCTGAGATCGACCAGCGTTTCGACAGCGCGGTGTTTGGTCACGTCGAGGGTGTCCATCTCCAGGTGCCCATGCCTGTCACAGCCATTGTCGCCAAACACAAATCCACCGCTGCGAACATCGCCGCGCCCGCACGGGCCGCCACCCAGGCGACCACGGTCGCAGACGTCGCTTGCAACATGGCCCGCCGAGTCACTACCTCGACCCACCTGGCCAACGCTGACGTCCTCGCTCGCTTCATCCACGGGAGCACGCGCGCACCTGGCCAGCTCTATTCGTGGGTCACCTCGGGCTTTTCTTCGCCGGGCGTCAGCTCCGGCTCGGACAACGCCAATACCGCGTCCTACTTTAGCATCCACGACCAGAGCGTTTTCCGACCCTCCGTCTATGGCACACCGCTCAGCACACTGCCCACCGAGATGGGAACCCCGCTTACTTCGCTGTCGCCAGCCCTCTACAGCACGCCGCCCACGAGCTATAACAGCTCGCCCAATGCGTCTTCCACCAACGTGGCGTCGACCGAGCATGGAACAATGGACCCCGGTGACTACCAGACTATGACTGCGGGTACTCTGTTTGAGCGTGGTCCTGACGGTGTCGTCGTGTCCGCTTTACCTTTCATCGTGAATGCTGCAGGTCGTGAGAATGGGCAAGTTGCTCGAATTCAGGACAATAACGAGGACGGCAAGGACGACGAGGACGAGTACGAAATGGTCTTTGTTATGGACGGAGAGGCCACGCCCTCCCAGAATCCTCGCGGCCAGGATCAGGATGTCATGGATGGAACTTTCTGCGTTCTTGATGCAGTTCCCTCGATCAACACCGGCCCCTGATCCTGCTCTCCATACGAAAAGCTTTGGTATGGAAGCCGCAGAAACGAGGACCCTACATCCTCTTGGCAAACAGCGGGCATCTTGCACAACAAAACCTCATGTATAACGAGAAAATGCGCATGAAACTTTGGCCATGTATAAGGAAAGGGAGAAGAGCAAACGCGGGATCTTCAATGGTCTTGTGTTTTACCTGGACGTTGAAGGAAATGTGGCGTGGACGTGAACGGACTCTGGCCTGTGGTGTTCCGGTTTTATTGATACCCTGGGATGTGCATTTCTACATGCGTTTTACTTTTAATTTCTGTTCGCCTTTTCATATCCTTTCAAACAACTTAATTCCTCGTAACAGTTTAAGTGATATGTTTGTTGTACGCAGTCAAGGATTCATGACAGTGATACAAGTACCAAGTTTACATTCTTTTCACCAAGGACGGAATGCCTCATAAATGTGTCATAAAAAATGTACATGGGAGATGATGTAGACCCCGCAATGGCCAGTAGCTGTGCATGTAACAAGAGGCAATTTGATATGTCGACTTACAAAGGACCTGCAAACCGAGCTTGAGACTGTCACTCAACGATTCTTGCGTGTTTTTGAGCACGTATGAAATGATGCAAGCCTCTGTATATACCCACGAAGGAAGTAAACTACCAGAGGGATCAAACTCGGGCCCAGGAGACTCGTAACGTTTGGTTGTGTCAGCAGAGCTACACCGATGCGTGCTGAGATCGAACGATTATAATTGAACCGATCTGATAAAAGTCTCGTCGATTTTGAACTTTAAGCAAACATACATATAAATATATATATATATATATATAAGTGTGTGTGTATTTACCACAGAGAAAATGTGTTTTGCTTTGTTCATTGTTCAAGCATGATTTAACGATGTTCAGTTCACGTGATTTACAGTGCTAGTTATAGTGTATAACTTATCCAGCACTGTGTCTTTTGAAGCCCTAACTGCGGACTAAGCATACGGGCTAGGGAGAGCCCACACACAAAATATCTTGTGGGGTAATTGCTTTTTTGCTGTCGGAATTGGGATAGCTCCGGCTGCATGGGGGAAGCTCGACCCGCGGCTTGGAGGATGACGAGCAGCATGTATCACAGAACAAGGCAGTCGCGGTACGTACGACAGGGGCCTGCTTGCTCCATTGAGATTGGCAAAGACGACTTTGGAGACGATCGTTCTTTCCACACGTTGTGCTTTCCTCTGTTCTGGTGACATTGGCCGAAGGAATACATTGGGAAGGACCGCACTGTCCGTGTGTCGTAGTAAATGCTTCGCTCCAAAAAGGAAGGCACACTTTATTAGAGACCAGTAGTTACAGGAATGGGCTCAATTCCGTTGCTCGTCGCAAGAACGGACTTTACGGTCGAGGAAACGGACCGGCACCGGCGTCTCTGGTTATCGAGTCAGCGGAGACCCAAGCAAAAGACGAGCCTCGTTTTGGCAACATGCAATGGGGTTCAAGTCGCACGTTCTTTCCTTCCGCAGTTGGCTCCGCACCTGCCCCATTTCTCAACATCGTGGCTGACCGCTTGCAGAAGGTACAGAGGGAGTACTTCGTACTTGCCTTGGTACCTCGACATGTAATTTTCCGCCATAGTCACGCAAAGTGGGTACATCCAGACGGACCTGTGGCTTGTTTCTCATCTGAAAAACAGTTCCTTCTCCAATGGGCGGTTTTCACCTTTTACCATTTTTTCTTGCTCCTGCTATTTTTTTGCTAGTCGCTTCCCGCTGTACCATTTCCCCAATTCTTTTTGCGCAAACTTTAATTGGTTTATTGCGTTTTTGTTAGATCCATTTCCCACTCGCCTACCTTTTTTCTCATACTCGCTTTTTTCTTCCTCTTCCCTCTCGCTCTCTTCCCCTTCTTTTCTTCCCTCCCCCCTCCTGCCCGAAGCCTCTTCTCGCCTCTTCGCATCGACGAAACCAACGTCTCTCACTCCGAACCACCAAACCCATTGTTGCGATTTCGATTTCGCCTTTTTTGAAAGGCGAACCAGGCCAAGGCGACAACAATGTCTGTCGCCTCGAAGGTGCGTTGCTAATTTTTTTTTTTTTTTTTTTTTTTTTTTTTTTTTTTGGTGAAGCCAGTGTCGTATCTCGCCGCCGTATCTTCGCGTCTATCACCGCCCACGCAAACCGACCAGTGAACTCCTTTGGCCCTCGGCTCGACTTGCACAACCGATGGCCCTTCGCCTGGGTCGCCTTTCTGCGGCCTGAAAACGGCTCGATTCTGATACCGACCTTCGGCCACCAGTCTCGCCGGCGTTTGCGCTTCGCTATCTGCCATCGCGACGCTGCCCCGGCCGCCGGCGACTCTGCGCGACATCGCCTACCGACAAGCCGACAAGCTGACAACCTGGCATCCGGCCAATGTGCAAAATACCGCCGTGTCGCCAGCGGCTACAGCTCGTGCTGTGAACCACCGGCGGGGTTTAGAGCGTCGGTTGGCGATGTCGAGTCATTGGAGTTTGCACCACCAACGATTCTCGACTTGACCTCGGCTTCACCTGGACCCTTATCCCGTTGCGCAGAATGCTAACTCGTGTTGCTCTCCAGAACCCGTACGACCTCCTCGGTAAGAAATTTTGCTCGCCAATTCTATTCAAACACGCTCCCGCTCCCTGTTCGGAGATGTTTCCAGAGCGAGTTCCCTCCTACTCGACGACCTTTTGAGCAACAAAGGGCCGTGCTTCCAGCGTCCTCGAGCAATTTCGACACCGTAGCGCGATTCCACAAAACAGCTGCCAACGAGAGGAGGAGCTTGGGCCATCTACCGAACCGGGGGGCGCGGTCCACAACACGCCCATTATCTATGGCACTCGCTCACCGCCATATGACTTATGACCCGACAATGACAACAACGAGCAATGCTAACATAATGTCTTCTTCTTGCTACAGGCAACGAGGATGGTGATGCCGCCGCTGCTGCTCCGGTGAAGACCGCCAAGGCCGACGCTAAGGCCGCCCCGGCCCGTCGTACTGGTGCTTCCGGCAACGAGGCCGGTACGTAGTAGCCCTAGCCCTGCTGCTTGTCATATCCTACTGGCAGGTTCACGTGCACGTGCTTTGTGCGATGACTAACATTCTCTGCAGCTTTCCGCGACCGCAACGCTGGTGCTGACCGCAACCGGAGCAAGCCCACTGACGAGGCTTCCCGTGGTGGTGCCCGTGGTGGCTCGGCTGCCCGCGTCCGCGGCGGCCGTGGCGGCCGCTTCCCGCGCGACCGTGACGACCGCCACTCCAAGGGTCTGCCTGGGTACGTCAACCATGCACTCGCTGCACGCGCTGCCTTATCCATCCCGCATTGCTAATATATGTCGTTTCACAGCGCAACGGAGAAGCACGCCGGCGGTAACACCGAGGGCGAGTCCGAGAAGCGCGACGAGGAAGCCGGCGAGGCCATCGCCAAGTCCGACGAGAAGGCTGCCGCCAACGAGGACGCCGCTCCCGAGGAGGAGGCCGAGCCCGAGGAGAAGCAGCTCTCCTACGACGACTACCTCGCCCAGCAGGCCGAGAAGAAGCTGGCCATTGACGGCCCGCTGGCCGTCCGCCAGGCCAACGAGGGCACCAAGGCCAACAAGCAGTGGGCCGCTGCCAAGGCCCTGGTCAAGGACGACGACGAGGATTTCATTGCCGGCGGCGGCGGCAAGACCAAGCGCGAGCGTGAGCGCAAGGTCAAGCAGGTCGTCGAGATCGACCAGCGCTTCGTCGAGCAGCCCGAGCGCACTCGTGGCGGCTTCCGTGGCGGCCGTGGTGGCCGTGGCGGCGAACGTGGCGACCGCAGCGAGCGCCCTGAGCGCGGCGACCGTGCCGAGCGTGGCGACCGCCCTGGCCGTGGCGGTCCCCGTGGCGGGCCCCGTGGTGGTGCCCGCGGCCGTGGCGAGCCCCGTGGTGCGCCCCGTGGCGGTGCTCCTCGTGGCGCCCCCCGTGGTGGTGCGAACCTCAACCCCAAGGACGAGAGCGCCTTCCCCAGCCTGGGCAGCTAGGTGCGCTGCACCCCTCATACCCAGCGCCATATACGGGGACGTGCAGAGGCGGTTGTGTTGTGGAAACCGGAGGGCTCTGGCTTCTCACCCCGGGGGTGGGTAAAAGCCCATATTTTGAATGACTTTGCTATTTTTGAGGTCCCTCTTTCTACGAGGGCCATGTAATAGGCACCTCCCGGTTTCCTTTCACCTCTTTCCTTGTTGGGTCCCCGTACCGAACGACCTCTTACAACCGAGAGCGCGTTTATTGCTTGCACAACAAAAATCAAACCAAAATATGAGTGAAGAAAACAAGATACGAAAGGAACAAGAGAGAGCAGGGGGGGACAACAAAAGAAGAAAAGGATTATATATATTTATCTGCCCTTTTTTGTGTTTTCTTTTATGCAAAGGCGACTAGTCGGATCAATCTCTTTCTTTTTTTATTTTCAAATGTACCTAGGAAAAGAAAATGGGAATTATGGATGGAGGATGGGCTCTGTGTATTGTGTTTTTTATCTTTATCTTTTTATCATCATTTTCTATGCCGCGTTTTCTTTTTTTTTCTTTTCCGGTTCCATCGTGAGGAAAGAGGTTCGGTGTAAAGTCGACGGAATATAAGAAAATTGGTCCCCATCCCATCAACAGCGTTATGTCCTATATATCAGGGTTTCTTGCGCTTACATTTTGTGGCTCTTCTTCATTCAAGGTCACTTTTATTTCAAGAAACTTACAAACGAATACCAAACAAAAACAACAGTTCAAAACAAAACAAAATAAATTGAAACAATGTCGAGCCAAAATAGACTGTTAAACGGGATTTAAAAAATACAAGTTTCGATACACTTCTTTTAAAAGGGATAATATAAATAAGAAACCAGCAATAATAACAACTTTCCTTTTTTATTTATTGTTTTTTTAAAAAAAACTTCAATTGTTACAGTACTCTTACCTTTATTTCATTCGCATATGGATTTTTTTCATTGGCTTTCTTACTTTATGCGAACAACATTTTCGCGCATAAGTGCACGACTGTTAATGATTTCACAAAGGCACACGACCAGAACAACTGACTTGTACAGCGAGCGTTTATTGTTGCAGATTCAAATACAACCAAGACCCCCAGACAAGTGCCTTTGTTTTGGTTTTTGATTTTATTTCTTCTGTTCTCTTCTGTTAATTTCTCTTCTTTCTGTACCTATTTTTGATTGCTTCTTTTCATCCACTCGGCTGCGCTTTGGGATCCTTGAGCAGCAAATTGACGTGGACGATATTCTCTCAAGAATTCGAATAGAGGCTGACAAGGCTACGGATTTCTCATCTACTTGCTCTTGATAGAATGAGAATCGCCCTCAGGACAGCTAGTCAAGGATTGGCAGCAGCAACAGTGGTGGTGTACATGGCTGTCGGACGCACGTTGAATGATCGAAGACTGTGCAGCTGCCGCCACTTCTGGCGGACTCTGACAACGCCCTTCCAACGTCTCTCAGCCATGCTCATGGCACTCAGAAGGTTGAACAAGAACCTCGCCGTTGTCAATGACAAGGCAGAACCTCCCAAGGTCACCGCCGAAGGCGACTATTTCCCGTCGGCCCTTTCACCGACTGCTGTCCCGCCTGCTCCTCTCATTCCCTTGGACGCTGTCACGCGAGCCTGGGTAGACGAGCGTACTGCCCAGCTGGCCGAGGCGAGAGCGCAACACGTTCTGTCCAGGCCACTTCGGGTGGACGATGCAGTAACATGGATCGAGGGCAGTCAGAGACGACAGCGACCGCTCATGGCTATGCCATCCTATGTATTGGCCACCGAGAAAGAGTATCCATGCCGCGGATTGTGGAATGACGATGTTGCCTGGAGCGGGACCCAAGGCTTGTGAGTACAATGTATGTCATGCACTTTATGGTCATGTCCACGTTCACTCAAAACAAAAGCAACACATCTTGGCGTTGGGTGGGAGAGCCGTGTAGCATTCTCCTTATGTACAAACAAATTACGGTGCAGAGACGAAGGAAAAGTGGACACTGGATAGAACATAAGAATGCGAACAAGAAAATCATACAAACGTAAACGCCCCATCGCTTTCATGAAAAATACTATATGCAGGATACGGAAAACAAACGTTTGGCCAACACAGACAGCACAGCCAACAACTATCGTAGAGTGCTGGGTCTACCGCTTCCGTTTCTGGAACGTGCGTGCGGCATCAATACCAAGACTCGCCAGCAACAGCAGCGCGTTGAAGACGGCCATCATATAAAAGGGCGCGCCCCGCGACCAGTGGTCGAACAGGTAGCCGCCCAGCTTGGTGAGCAGGAGAATGGCAGCGCCTCCACACCAGGAGTAGACACCCGCAATGGAGCCCTTGAGCTGGATGCGCGAGGGGGCGTCCGCAGTGCCAGGAGACGGCGTGCTGCTGCTGGAGGCGGTGGTCGCACCGGCGGGTCGCGTCAGTGCGGAAAGGGCGCGCGCGCGACCGTAGCGGCGGGCGGACTGGGGCGACGCCACGAGCTCTCGAACCGTATCCCGATCACTGTCGTCGGCGGCATCGCCACCCTCGTCGTTGGCCGAGTCGTTCCCGCCGGCCACGAGCAGGGGCGCGGCTTCGGGCGCGTCGTCCTCGTGGTTGGGAGCGGCATAGTCACTGTACGAAGAACGCGCCTGCTCCTGTTCCTGACGCTCACCATCGAGCACCGGCCGCGAGGCCAACGGTTGCGTTGACAGCACGCCACGGCCGAGCGAGCCGAGACTGCACACAATGGCACCGATCTGGCTGATGCCAATGAGCGTGGCCACGACAAATACGGCGGGCGTGCCGCCGCGGCCGTCGACGTTGTTCGGTTCCGGGCTCGACAGGAGCGGGAAGGCGATGTAGCCGACCATGCCAAACGTGGTGGCGACAACCAGCGGCACATTGAGGCGGCCTGGCCGGCTGGACAGGTAGCCAAAGAGGGGTGCGCACAGCAGGCCCATGAGCTGGGCCACGCCGGTCAGAATGGCGGCCAGCACATAGGCGGCGCGGCATTCCTTCTTCAGCTCGGGCGACGGGTCGTTGGGCGAGCCCTGGCAGAAGCCGTTGCTGATGAAGAACGCGTTGATGAACAGGGGCATGAACAGCGAGATGGCCACGGTGGACGCGCGTGCCACAAAGCCGCCGAGGTAGCCGAGGGCGATGTTGGCATCCGTACACCCGAGCCCGACCGAGTCGCGCAGCAGGCGCCAGTACGGCACGGCGTCGCCAGACGCGCCTGGCCCTGCTTTCCTGGCCCCGGGGCCTTCAGCGATGACGTCCTCCATGCGCACAATCTCGTCCCGCCGCGCAGCGGCTTCTGGCGACGGCGCATTGGGCCGGCCCAGAAGCATGCGCCAGCCCTTGCCGTCTTCGCCGCGCACGTGGCGCAGGCCGACAAAGACAAAGCCAGCTACGAGCAGAGCGACGGCGGCCACGACATAAAAGCTGTCGGCCACCGCCTCCGCCATGGTCACGCCGTCCTTGCGGCCAAACTCGGCGGGCAGCGGCAAGAACAGGCTCAGCGCCACAAGAGCGCCGCAGCCGGTGAACAGGCCAACGAAGCCGGCCAGCTTGGACGGCTTCTCGGCGCCGTGGTTCTGGTTTTGGACGGCGTCCTCGCCATCCCCGCCCATGGCTGACGCTGCCGACAGCGCGCTGTTGCGGTGGCCCTGGTCGGGCGAGTTCAGACGGGAGCGCAACAGGCTTTCCGCAAAGCGTTCCGGGGTGATGGTCAGCTGCGACTCGAAGGAAAGGGCGCTTTCGCGTTGGCTGCGGCGTGCCGTTGCAGCGGAGGCACTGTGCGAGGCATTGGCAGCGTTGCCCGTGGTGCTGTTGTCCGTGGCCGGATCGGAGTCGTCCGTCAGCGAAGGAAGAATGGCCGTGACCATGGTCGTTCTATTTTTTTTTTGGCACAAGAGCACATGTTAGTGACGATACACCGTGGAAGCAGTAGAGAGAGATCAGCCAACGTACGACGCTGTAGCACCCATGGCAAAGAGGATGCGCGCCAGCAGCAGCTGCGGGTAGACATTGGTCGCCTGCACAGAGAGCACGAGGGCCAGGGCAATGACCGTGTAGCCGATGACGGCCACGAGACGGACGCCCAGTCGGTCGGAGACGAGGCCCCAGACGGGGCAGGCCACCAGGGCCACCAGTTCGTCGACGAAGCCGAGCGTGCCGACAATGTTGCCGACGCCTTCCTTGACGCCGATGCGGTCGGTGATGACAAAGGAAATACTGCTGTTGAGGAAGACGAGGAACGAAATGGAGAAGAGCGAGATGCCCAGCAGGTAGGTTGCGGCCTGCAGTGGCGTCGTCGTGTGCGCAAAGGGTAGACGGCGCATCACAGACCAGGCGAGCTGCGCGATGGAGGGCGCCATGCTGGGGGAGAGATATGTTTGATGGTGATATTTGCGTTTAATCGTGTCGTTTGTTTCTTTGTTTTTGTCTTTTTTGTTTTTCTTTCTTTTCTTTTCTTTTCTGTCTGCAGTCGTCGGATTGGCCCACGGCGCGACACGCTCGTATGACGAACGCACTTTATCGTGTCCCTGCGGCCTGGGCGTCGAACAATCGCATTGTTGAAGATCCGCTGTTCTTCGACTCTCTTGTTACTCGTTTATCGGTACGTGACATATGACAAAATAGTTCTTCTCGACTCCCTTGTTTGAGGCACCGACCACTCTCCAGTCGTGCCTTCTGTACTCGAGTGAGCTCCTTCCCCGGCCGAGACATCAGTTCCTGCCGAACAGAGCTACGACTGCTTAGTCACTTTTACGTGTTTGCGTCGGCATTTGGTGCAGTTGGGCGTGCGGGGGCTGGCGAAGGCCTGTAATTGGGCCTTGTCAGGCCCCTAAAAATAATAAACGTGGCGGGACCTTGTGAGTTTTCCAGAGCGCGCCCAGTGTCCTCAGCTGGTTACCGTAGCTGAGACGCTGGCCGACGTCGGAAAGTGAAGAGAGGGAAAGAGCGATCACACTGCACCAAAACAGGCCCCACCCACTGTGCACAACGCTGTGATGCATTTGTTTGTACTTTGCACAATGAACTTGGCGCACAAAACTGACCGCCTTGAGATGGGGGAATGGGGAAGGTGCGCTCGGTTATATCTAGTCTCTGGCGGGTTCAGCATTTGTGCCTGGATTCGGACCTTCCGCATTCAATAGCGTAATTGTCGCCTGTAGCGGCCTGTTGCGGCTATGTGGTTAGTCGCGGGCTACGGACGACCAAAAAAAAAAGAGAAATCAAAGTGAAAAAAGGACTTCAAAAGATGTTCTGATAGCAAACCGCCATTCGCTAATCGCCAGCCTCACCGCTCGGATAACGGCGTTTCGTACGTCGTAGAGCATTCACATTCGCTTCTTATCTACGGGGTATTTGGATTTTGAGTTTTGGCGGGGCATCGAGCCGATTGTGGCAGCACGAGACTCTCGGACGCGCCCTTCTGACTTGGTCCTTGACTCACCTGCACTCCATTCAGCCCTCGCACCGCAGTGACCACCATGTCGGCCTCTTTGCCTGGCAGCCGCGAGCTGCCAGCATCGCAGTATGATCTCAGCACATACTGGGGACGGGTGCAGCACACGGCGGGCATCACAGACCCAAGGTGAGTCCGATTTAAGGCTTGCGCAGGCACATGCGACCGGCATTTTACTAACAAGTCAGGACGCTGCTTGTCGGCCGGACGGGGCTGGAGCAGGCCAAGAAGGCCATTGTGGCCTACAAGCAGGGTGAGGTCAAGGAGATGACGCCGCAGCTGTGGAAGGCCAAGAAGATTGTGGACTCGACGCTGCATCCGGATACGGGCGAGCCGGTGATGCTGCCGTTCCGCATGTCGGCGTTTGTGCTGTCCAACCTGGTCGTCACGGCCGGCATGCTGACGCCGGGGCTGGGGGTGAGTCGAGAGACAGACGGGCGAAGCGATGCACATGCGTGGGATGAAATAAACGTACTGACGATTTTTTTGCATTTTGCAGACAACCGGCACCATCCTCTGGCAGATTGCCAACCAGTCACTCAATGTCGCCATCAACAACGCCAACGCCAACAAGTCCACGCCGCTGTCGTACGGCAAACTGGCGCAGTCCTACTGCCTGGCCGTCGGCGCCTCCTGCTCGGTGGCCGTCGGCCTCAACAGCCTCGTGCCCCGCCTCACGCGCCTGTCGCCGGCCACGCGCCTGGTGCTCGGCCGCCTCGTACCGTTTGCCGCCGTCGCCAGCGCCGGCGCCCTCAACGTCTTCTTGATGCGCGGCGAGGAGATGCGCACGGGCATCGACGTCTACCCCGTCGGCCACGGCGACGAGAAGGCCGCGTCGCTCGGCCGCAGCAAGACGGCCGCCACCCTTGCGGTCGGCGAGACGGCCCTGTCGCGCGTGCTCAACAGCTCGCCCATTATGGTGATCCCGCCGCTGGTGCTCGTGCGGCTGCAGCGGACCCACTGGCTCAAGCAGCGGCCGCAGCTGACGACGCCCGTGAACCTGGGCCTCATCCTGGTGACGAGCTACGCGGTGCTGCCGCTGGCGCTGGCGGCGTTCCCGCAGCAGCAAAAGATCGCGGCAGACTCGCTGGAGCCCGAGTTCCACGGCCGGGGCGGCGTCGGCGGTCTTGTGGAGTTCAACCGGGGTATTTGAGAGGCATGGGCAAATGAGGCCGGATGCCGGGTATTGGAAACATAGCGAGAGCGAGACAAAGGCAGCGTCTTCTTTTTGTTTGTTTTTTCCAGTTTCGTTCCTTTCATGCATCTGTACCACACTGAGCGAATGAGCGAATGAGAACCATACATTGCGAAGCATTGCTTTTCTTTACTTGATTTCACTGTACTTGTTTGCGCCGGCTTGAGCATATTTGAAATGTCATACAATATTTGCTAG